GTGTGGAGACAGGCCGTTCGGTCCGAAACTGGCGTCAAGAGGGGAGATGCCGCCTGCAGTGTCCTCTTCGATCTTCGTAAATTTTACGAACACATCCCCTTGGCCGCCCTGCAAGAGAGATGTGCTCGGCAGGGGTTCCCGCCTGTCATTGCTAGGGTGGCTCTTTTTGCCTACCGGTGCGGGCGCTCCCTCAGCTTGGGAGGCATCGTGGAGGGCCCCTTTTTTGTTTTGAGTGGAGTGGTGGCGGGATGCAGCTTCGCCACCACCTTCATCCGTGTTCACGGGATGGAGGGCTATGACAGGATTACGCGCCAGCCCATCCTTGAGCTCGATGTTTACATCGACGATCTTGGCCTCTCGAGCGTTGGTCCCCCCTCGAAGGTCATCGCCTCTGTGGTTGGCTGTGCGCAGCAGTTGAAGGGTGTTGTGGAAGAGGTTCTGGGTTGCAGTTTCGCCCTGGACAAGACCTGTAGTGTTGCCTCGTCGCGTGCCGTGGGGGAGCAGGTGTCGTCCCAGTTGGCCGAGCTCTCGACCCAACCCTCGTCTTCTGCCGTCAACTTAGGTGTTGACTACACCGCTGGTCGCGCGCTCAGGGTCGGTGGTCGGTGTGCCAGGCTGAAGTCTAGGCTTGCGGCCGCCTGTAGGCGCACCAAGCGGCTCCGTAGACAGAATAAGGTGCTCAAGAGGGGCGCCATCATCAAGGTTTTTTCGGCTGGCCCCTTGGCGGGCGCCAGCTACGGGAGTGAGATCACGGGGGCCTCCGACCATGACCTCCTCCTCCTCCGCAGGAAACTTTTCGGATCGGTTCGTCCTCTCTCGAAGCTTCGTTCGCTCACCACCTCGGCCATCCTCGATTCGTCTCCCTTTTTATTGTTTCTCTATTGTTTTTTTTTTTGGTTATTTTGCTCTTTTTTATTTCTTTTATTTTTTTTTTTGTTTTTTTTTTTTCTTTGTTTTCTTTTTTTCACTTGTTTTCTTTTTCCTTTTTTCTTTTAGTATTTTTTTTTATTTTTATTGATTGTTTTTTTTTTTTTCTTTTTTTTTGTCTTTCATATTGCCTCGCATTGCATCTCTTGTTGGAGAACCGCGTGCTCTCCCATTATTCGGTGGTCGAAGGAAGTCCGGCTGGCTCAGGTGGGCGAGTTCCCCTGGGCGATCGGCCTCCCAGAGCTCAGGCGAGCTTGGACGAACATTTTTAGCCAGGAAGCGTGTTCCTGGCGCAGTGTGGCTGGCCCCCTCTCTGCCCTGCGTATGTCGCTCTCTCGGATTGGTTGGGTGATGACGGATTTCATGACCATTAGAGACGACCGTGGCTTCGTCATCCCTCTTGGTCTGTTCTCCACTGCCCTTGTCAAAAAACTGTGCAAAGAGGCCTACTTGCGCATGTTGGAAAGGGACTCTGCGGCCAAACGAGGGGTTAAGCACCGGCTGTGTTATGACATTGTCAAAGAAGCTCTTGCCAGCAGCAAGTACAGTGCTCTCGAAAAGGGTAGGATCCGAGCTTTCGCCACTGAAGCCTTCCTCACTAAGGAGCGTGCGCTCCAGCTGGGCTACCAGACGGATGTTGAGTGCCAGTTCTGCGGAGAGCCTGACAATATTTTCCATAGGCTGTGGAAGTGCCAGGGTGATTGTATCGTTGAAAAACGCAGCTCCTTGGTCAAGGCTGAAGAAATCGCGGCCGCGCTCGAGGCTGAAGGTAGTGATAGGTCTGTTTTGCTCCCGTTCATCTCAGGGGCTTTCGCCCATCCCGCCGACTCCAGCCCGAAGCCCGCGACGGATGCTGATGATGGTCCTATGGTTGTGTGGCATGACACCGATCAGGTCTCCCCTGTAGGTGGCCCCCTAGACAGGCAGCTCTGGGGGCCCCCCTTTATAGACGGCTCGTGCACCCGGCACCCCATCCGTGAATTAAGTCGGGCCGCGTCTTGCGTGGCCATGGTTGACTCTGCTGGTAGGTGTGTTGCCGAATTCAGAGCCCCTGTCTGGGCGCCCCATCCCCAGACCCCACAGAGTGCTGAGTTTTCGGCCTACACGTGGGCCCACATGCTCGGCATTCCAGGCCACACTTCGGCCCTGTCTGATTGCCTCAACGTTGTAAAGATCGCTGACCTGCCTAAGGCGGCCCATCTTTCTGGTCAGCGCATGTACGCGGGGGCCTTCCTCCAGTGTTACTCCACCGCGTCCTCCCTCCTCCCTGTGGAATAAAGTTGCTGCTCATAAGGACCGAGATGAGCAAGGCATCTCCAGTGAAGAGAGATGGCGTAGGCAAGGCAACTATTGGGCCGATGTTGGTGCTAAGCATGCTGTCGACTTGCATCCCAGCTCGGCCGAAGCCAATGATGTCACGGACAAATTAATCAAGGCGGCCCGCGGCACCCTGCGCCTCGCGGCCCGCCTCCTGCCCTTGTGGGACCCCATAGATTTGTCGGGTGTTGAATTGCTCAGGAAGCCCTCGACTGCCTCAGCGCCTGTGCCACATGTCTGGAGACCCTGGGCTGGAGCGTGGAGGTGCGAAGTTTGTTTACGCGGCACTCGAGCCCTCGACGAGCCCCCTCCTGGTTCCTGCAGTGGTCGCAGTAAACTTGACGAGGGCCGTCTCTTGGCTCTTGAGCATCGTGTTTTAGCGTTTGACTGTTCTGACAGCAGCGTTCTATTCATCTGTGTGCGTTGCCACTGTCACTCCTCGGGCCAGAGAGTTCGCGGTTTGTCTGTGAAATGGGTTGGCCGTCCGACCAAGACCACTCGGACGGGCTGGAACACGTTGTGCAAACGAGGCCTGCACCCCCAGTACAGCAAGAGGGAGGTCAGGGTCCACACAGGTAACATTATGAGCCTGTTCAGCTCCGTGGATGGAGTCCTTGAGCCTGCCGAGGAGGAGGAGGAGGTCCCCACTCCCTCGGTTGAGCCTCCCCCTCCCCCGTCCTCGGAGGTGGAGGAAGCTCGCAGCAAGCACCAGGCCGTCCTGGCCCAGCGCCTGCTAGAGGCTGCCCGAACAGGCTCCTCTCGGCCCTCATCGGGCTAGTCGGCTCTCCTGGCCACCCTTTTTTCGGCCCAGGTGTCTGCCGTGGCGAGTTTTTCCTCGCCTTTTTCCTTTCTGCCTGCAGGGTTCGTGTCGGTTTTTTCGTCTGACACCTTTGGCCCTGCTGGCACACATCTGTCCCTTTCCCCCCGCAGTAGAGGGCCAGGCAGAATGTTGCGGTGCAGAGCGTGGAGCTCAAAAAAAATCCTCCTCCTCCTCCTCCTCCTCCTCCTCCTCCTCCTCCTCCCTCCCCAAAACCTCGCTCTACACCCCAGACGCCCTTCAAGGGCACCAGGCGACCCAAGGCCCCCACGAGGCTCCCAGAGCCATGACGCTGAATAATACAACCCGTGAGTGCACGCGGCCCTCGGAGGTCCCCGAACTAGGGCAGGACCACGTAGTGGATCCTTTGTATGGCAATCGGAAGCTATGTCGATGCAGCGATGGGGCGGAGGCGAGGCGGGATTCACCACAGGCAGCTGCACATACACACGAAGCAACATAGTGCTCAAGATCAAGATCCCTCCAGGCGCCGATACCGTTATGCCCTCTCAAAAAGAAGCGGATCGTTGCACACGGCAATTTCGTGTCATGACTTCGGCTCTGGTCCCTGCCACTCCGTGCGGCGTTCAAGCTTGAACGATCGGCGGCTTCTCGATCGCCAGATCGTTCCATTATTGGCCGAGTTGGGGTGGTCGGCGGCATTCCGCTTGGAACGTCCGCGCTGGCTGGTCCCTGCCGCATCGAGACGACCGCGGTCGTGATTTTTCCATGCGGGGGCCCCGGACGCCCCGACCCTTTTCACCAACGCGGGCTATGAAACCTGAACGGTCTTACGACTGTCCCGTGGACTGGCGGCTGCCCACGGAGGCCGAGCACTGCCCCAAAAACCTGCCGTCGCTACTTCTGCAACACATGAGGGGGGGGCATGGGGCTCTCTACCTCTGGAGAGAGAGGACCGTTGCATGCCTCGCTCCGTTGCCCTCCATGTCTGCATGCCTCCCACATTGGGGTCCGATTGGGTGGGGTCGGAAGATAGAGCCGCATCGCCGATGCACCGTCCTGAAGCATCGGCGATGCATCGGGATCCATATCGAGCGCACACCGACGCATCGGCGATGCGGCGCGATCTTCCGACCCCATCTTGAAAGACCCCATCTGGGAGGCCTGGAATGCCCCTCCGCTATCCCCAACTCCGTGGCCCGCCAGGTTTTTTACCCGAATTATTTTTGACGGTCTCGGGGCCCAGCGAGGGCCCCCGGAGGCCGAAAACTGCCAAAAACCGCCCATCGCGATTTTCTCACGCCGCAGAGCGGATCGCTGCATACCTCGTTTCCTCGCCCTCCCTGCCCTGCAGCTACACAACCCAACTGGGTCTCCTAGATAGGGTTCGAGTAGATAGCGTCGGAGGAGCGCACCGTATCGCGGATGCATCGGCGATGCATCGGCGATGCGGTGCAATCCTCCGACACCATTTATTCCAACCCCCTCTGGGAGGCCTAGACCGGGGGGCGCACTGACCCGGGGAAATACAAATCTGGGCCAGTCAGGCTTTGCAGGCTCCTGCAGGATCCTGCAGGATCCTGCAGGCTCCTGCGCGCTGGACCGGGCCAATGCACCCCTGGCTGTGCAGGACTCTGCAAGATCCAGCGCTCTGGGTGACCCCCGATTGCATTGACCCCCGTCTAAAGGCTCCCGACTAGACCAGTGGGGATCCCACGAAGGACGCACGCGCCCAACCACGTACATGAACACTGCCCCCCAGTCCGCGAGACCAGCCTCGTGATACGAAAGTTCGCGCAGTGCGGAGAAGGAGGAGGAGGAGGAGGAGGAGGAGGAGGATCGAGGGTCGAGGAGGAGGATCGAGGAGGAGGAGGAGGAGGAGAAATTCCTGAAACAGAGCAGTGGCCCGCCGGGCCTCCCGCATCTGCGCCGTCAGCGCCTCCGCCGCCGTGGCGGTCTCGTGGGTGCTGTCGGTGGCCATGCCGTCCGCCTCTCGGCAGCGCAGGGCGGGGAGGCGGGAGCGGGCCGGGCCACCGCGGGGGGGGGGGGGGGGCGCAGGGCGGGCTCCCGCAGGGAAGCCGCCCGGACCGCCTCGGGGAAAAGGGTCTCCATCGGGGCGGCCTCTCGCGGAGGTCGTCTCCGCCAGGGACCTAAGGGCGAGGCTCGAGCTAAGCAGTGTTCTTTGGCGGCGCGCGGAGGGGGGAGGGGGGAGGGGGGAAGGCTTCTCAGAAGGACCGAGTTCTGTGGCAACTCAGGGGAGCCTCCCATAGCATCTTGTTGGCTCTTGCGAATCGACGCTGATCGACGCTAGATCGTCGCTATTTGGAGCTAAGCCGGGGCAAATCTAGGGAGGCAACGGCGCAGGGGGGGAAACGTCGACCGGAAATCGGCGATACCTCGCGGACAGAGCGGCGATGGGCCCGATATCGAATCCGCACGTTCCTGGGCGGGGTGGGGCTATCAGGCCTCCATCAATGAATGATTGGGGGTCGATGCATCCCCCCTGAGCCTACTCCCCCTGGAAAATCGTGGCCCCCGAAGGCGCCAAAGCACCGTTCAGCCTGGACCCTGCTCCCATGGCCTGCTCGCGCTGCGGCACCTATCACGGCGAACGGTGTCTGGCCGTTTTCGACCTCCGGGGGCCCTCGCTGGGCCCCGGGGGCCGTCAGCAAGAACAGTTTGGGACGGAAAGTCGGTCTCCGGGATGGCCAGGCCTCCAGGGGTCCGCGTTGTGAGGAAATCACGGCGCCGGACTGCTGGGTCTGGCGGGTATGCTGCCGACGGGTCTGGCAGGTATCGCGATGGCTATCTGCAACATGATCTCTTCGGGTCGGACGAAAAGGAAATTGCAAAGGGGGTCAACGAATCAGCTCACGTACATGGTTTCTCCTTCGCCTCCCGGCGCTGGAGGCGCCAAGGTATCAATCAAGGAGCGAGGCGGCGGGGCCGAAGCAGGCTGCATGCAGCAGATTTCTTCCCCCCCTTTCCCTATCCCCCCCCACACTCGTCCGGTCAGGTCTCTGGCAGGCATTTTGGCGGCGTGCACAAGGGAGCAGAGGCAGGGGAACACCTTCTTAGAAGAAGGCTGCTTCTCGGAAGGCGCCAGCACTGCATCTATATCAAGATGTCTCTCTCTCTCACTCTCTCTCTCATGTATATATAGCTATAGTTATGTGTACATACATGTATATATATATACATTCATATATATATATATATATATATATATATATAGTAGGCCGGCGCCTGCTAAGCAGGGGTGCTTCTAATCAACCTTTCCCACTCCCCCTGCCCCCCCCCTCTGCGCGTGGCCGAGGTTTGCGCCGCAGAGACAGCGTGCAGCATCGACCTCCGAAAAAAAGCACGCTGAGCCCCTGTGCAGCGACTGCCCCCCCGCGAGGGCCCCTTCTGCGCACGCTATGCCCCGCCGCTGCGAGGAGTCTCGCCGGTGGCCGCCGCCCTGCCGCGGGGCTGCCTCGGTGCACGCTGCCCCTCAGGTGGGGGCTCTCGTGCAATACCATGGAGGCCCGTCCACACGAAACTTTCCGTCCAAACGTCCTGAGACCCCAGGACGTCCACTGGTTTTTTGGTGTGGGAACGTCACGCTTCCCAGCGCAGAACCATCAAGGCTCAAGAAACCCAGGGCACCCTGGAGGCAAGCAGGGTGTTCTTCTTGGCATGGGTCTCCACTGTTGATGGGCCTGTTTCCACCACCACCACCATAAGTTGGAGGGAGAGGAGGAGGAGGAGGAGGAGGAGGAGGAGGAGGAGGAGGAGGAAGGAGGAGGAGGAGGAGGAGGAGGGGAGGAGACGAGGAGGACGAAGAGGAGGTGGAGGAGGAGGAGGAGGAGGACGAGGAGGAGGAGGACCCCCTTCCCATCCAACTCATGGTGGGGGTGGTGGAAAGCAGGCCCATCAACTGTAAGCCAGCCGGCGTCGCCACGCCGCACCCGCTGCCTCTGCAGTACCCAGCGCAGAGCGGGCACGCTCGAGGAGAGGTCTTGCCGTGAGCAGCCTCTGGCCATCGCTCGGACGTCCATTTCCTGTGTTTTTTTGTCGGTTTCGTGCGTGGCTTTTTCGCGAAATGATCAAGGATGCTCCTCGATGGTCCTCGCCGAAGGAAAGATGCACACGTCCGAACGATGCCAGGGCCTGGGCGCACGCTCGCCGCCGGGCTCCTCGAGCCCCCCGAGGGTGCTCCAGGGCTCGACGATGGGCCCCTGAGAGAAGAGACGCTCCCGTGGGCCGCCTGCCTGCAAGCCGGCTCCAGACTCGACGCGCCTGCCTTCTATCCCTCCTCGCCCGTCCCTCCTCCCCTCCGTCGTGGCCCTGGCAGCCGCTCCGCTCGAAGACGCCGCGCACCCCAGCCCCCCCCGCCCCCCCGGAGCAGCCCCAAGGGCCCACACCGCCTCAAGGACCCGTTTGGGGCCCTCAGGGGTGAAGTGAAGGCACTCTCTCGGCGAGAAATCAAGACTTCAAAATGTCTGCCCGGCTCTTGGCATTGGCTGGGGGAGGATTAGGGAGTAGGGTGGAAGGAGACAGGGAGGGAGGGAGGAAGGAAGGGAGGGAGGGAGGAAGAGGAAGGACCTCCTCGGGCCTGGCCCCTCATGCCCTGGATCCTCGATCCCCGTCCTCTCCAAATAATCTCAAAATGGAGACAGTTGGACTCCCAAGAATCTCTGAGAACAGCGAACGTCGAAGACGCCTTGGCGGACGCCGACAACGACATCGTCGTCGATGGCCTAGCCCTCCCTGCCTGTCGTCGAGGCCTCCGAAGGTCTCCTGAGGTCCACGGAAGGCCTCGGAGACCAAGCAAGGTCCAAAACCGGACAACTCGATCCTGCGGCTGCCTCCTCGGTCCTCGACCCCCTCCTTCGTCGCCCCTTCTTGTCCTGGATTCCCCCTCATTGGTACTTGATCCTGGATCCTGGAGCTCTCTGCTCGGTCCTCGATCCTGGAGCCCCCTCCTCGGTCCGCGATCCCCTCGTTCGCCCTTCTTCGTCGCCCCTTCGGCGCGGCCTGGCTTTGCATGCCCCGCGATCACCCGCGCGCGTTCGTGGAGGGAGGCGGATGAGGGTGGGAGAGGTGGTGGTGGTCACTGCGTAAGTGAAGCATTCCCCGAGCAACGCAACACGCACCACGACCACGACGCCGCCGCCGCCGACGACGACGCTGACGGAGACGAAGCGCGGCTACGGTCCACACAGACGCACGGAGTATGGAAACGAAAACCCACAGGCGAGTTCATCGTTGAGCAGTGCTGCGGCCTCCGAGGATAGAAGATGCCTCCCGAGTAGGGTCGGAATACATGAGGTTGTAGTATCGCGGCGCATCGTCGATGCATCACCGAGGCATCATCGGCGATACATTGGCGACGTCGGCGATGCATCGGCGGCGCCGCCGTGGAGAAGCATCGAGCTCCCGAGCTGCATCGCCGATGCATCAGCGATGTGGCGTAATCCTCCGACCCCATCCACCACGACCCCATCTGGGAGGCCTACGGTCAGGACCTTTTGCGCAGGGCTGGATCTAAACGCTGTTTTGGCGATTTCGTGGGCCGTTTTCGTTTCGATTTCGTTTTGCGGTAAAGGCGGATTGAAGACAAAACGAGGGAAAACGAAACCAACACGAAAACGAAAAACACCGTTTAGGTTCAGCCCTGTCCACCACGACCCCATCTGGGAGGCCTGCGGTCAGGAACTTCTTGTGCGCAGCGTGTCGCGGCGGCGGCACCCGGCGACATGCTATATGCCTTGCGCGAGCGGATGGCGTGTCGCTCCGCTCCGCGGGGGGCGGGGGGCTCGGGGAGGCTTGGGGTTTTAACGCTTGGGGGCTGGGGCGCGAATAGCGCGTCGCGCCTAGGCGTGGCGTGGTGGGCCAGAACTGGCGCCGCGACGCACTAAGCCAACGTTCCTGACCGTAGAGAAGTAGGGGGACGGAAGAGGAGGAACGTAGGAGGAGAAGGAGAAGGAGGAGGAGGAGGAGGAGGAGGAGGAGGAGGAGGGAGGAGCAGGAGGAGGAGGAGGAGGAGGAGGAAGCGGAGGAAGAGGCGTACGGGGAAGACTACGTGGTGCAAGTGGCCGAGGTCGCCGCCGTCGTGGCAGGAGGCGCGCGGAGACGCGCGGCCACCGCGCGCGGCGCGCTCGACCCCGACGGCGACGACGGGCCCGCGCACTCATTCCCCAGCGTCCGCATCCCCACCCCCCCCCCACACTCGCAGCGCCCCCCTGGAGGCCTCCCACACCGAAACAGCAGGCTCGCCTGGCTCTCGCCCGGGGCAGACCGAGGCCCGAGCCGCGCAGAAGTGAGACAAACTCCTGCGCATGGCCTTCGAGGGCCCCCCGCGCGACATATGCAAACCCTTGGCGACCTTGCCCTGCGCGGGTGGGGGGGGCGGCGCGTGGCCCGAGCAGCTTCGCATCATGAGAGGTACCGCGGGCGCCACAGGAGGTGCAGAGGATGGGCCGCCATCGCGGGACCTCGCAGAGAATGTGCGACATATGGGCCTGCTGGCCTCGAGGCTCCCGCCCCCCCGCCTCTGCCGCCGCCGCCGCCCCGAGAACGGTGCAGCCCCCCATGCTCCAGAGAGGGCGCAGGTGGTTGTCCGGGGGCGCTGCGTGGCCGACGCCGCGCTGCCAAGCCTGCAGTCATGCGCCAAGTCAGCGCAGATCGGGCACCTCCACTTGTCACCGCAATGAGCGCAGTTGTGGGTGGAGGCCCGGAGGACGCGGGATCGAGTGGACCTCGGATGCTGCCTCTGCACGCCCTCCCGCTCGACCCTTGAGGATCTCGGATCCAATGGCCCGAATGATGCCCCGCGCACGAGCGCGAGCCACTGCGGCCATCGAGTCCCAGTGGTCGGTCTGGGGGGAGGGGTCCCTGGGCGGCGTTCCGCTTACTGCGCGCTCCTCGGCAAGCCCGCACATCCGCGGACAAAATAAGGGTCAGCGACCAGCTCGGGGGCATCATCTGGATGCAACGGGGTCCAAATCAAGGCCGCATCACGTCCCACGTATCCATCGCCCTGTGCAGCCGAACCCAAAGATCATGTTTTTGACGCACCTGGGCCAATGGCCAGCTGGCCTTCGCGCTCAACTGAGCCCCCAAGCGTGGAGCAGGGGGCGATGGTCGGTCACGAAGGTGAGCGGGCGCGAGGAACGCTCGAGTACAACGCAAAAAGGCCATGGGCTCGGAGCGCGGCGCCGCTTGCCGCTTGCCCTCCAGGACAAAGAAGCCCCGAGTATCCTCTCCAGGGGCCCCGTCCATCCGGGGTCAGCGCTGCCGCAGACCATCTGCGCCGGCGCCTCCTGGAGCCCTCTGGAAACGCCCCCATCCAGCGTCATCCCCAAAGGAAGAAGCGACCAGTGGCGGGGTCTGGTAGGCCTCCCAGGCGGGCCCTCCTGGGTCGCCTGCCCCCCCCCCGCCCCACGGCACACTTGAAGGAGCGTTGGAGAAGAGGCTGGGGGCCCGCGCAGCCACGGGCAAGGATCGAGCTCTTAACCGGCGAGGGCCCGGGGGAACCAAGCGGTCGCTAGCGGAGTCCTCAGGGCCCTCGTTAGCACGGTGCATCCAGAGCCTGTGTGGGAGGTGCTCAGATGCCCCCGCGTTGCAGCGCTGGCGCCCCCTGACTTTATAACCGCAGCGAACAAATCGATCCTGGGCCCCTTGCCCCCCCGAGACAAAACAATCATTCAGCGCCCGCGAGGGAATTTTTGACGTCGCAAGAAAACGGCGCTGCTCAACGCGGACCGTGGCAAGGTCGGCCCCAGCCGCCCCAGCCACGAGGCGCGCGCCGTCCTCGCGGGCGGATGCCGACCCCAGGTGCCGACGCTGGAGGTCGGCGCCAAAGTCGCGTCGAGGACGGCCTCGCAATCCGAATGGGAAAGCTCGGCTCCATCGCGTGGAAACCTCAACTCCTCTAGGGAGGCATTCCGCACGCACGCGCCGCTACCAATCCGCTGCTCGAGGGCCCCAACCAGCCTCGAGCAACGGGGCGATGGCAGCTCCGATCGGCCCAGTTACATGCAACCATATCCGCGGGCCAGCCTGCAACGGCTTGTTCTTGGGCCGCGCCAGCGTGCGACGCGTGCACTGGTGCAGCTCAGGATTGTCTTGCCAGAATCGAACCCGCTGGCGTAGCAACTGCTGTCGAAATTGAACTCCAGGGTCTGCGCCGTCGAAGATCGCCCCAGGGGCGTCGCGACGCGCCCTCCCGCGTCCTGCGCAGTAGCCGACGCCGCCGCCTGGCGCCGCCAGCGAAGCAGAGCGCGCTCTGCAGCCAGCCCTCGGTCTCAGCGTCTATAAGCTCCTCGCGGCAGTAAGCCCGTGGTCCACGGGCCCTTCGCAACGCGAGCATGCTAGGCCGCGCGACGCGCGGGCGCGACCCCGCGGCCCCGCGCCGTCGCCGCGCGCGCGGGCGCCCTCTCCTGGATCCGCCTCGCGCCAGCGCGCGCGTCGATGCTCCGGGTCGACCGCCCGGGCGGGCGGAGAGACTGGAAGACCCCGCCGCCGCAGCCTGCTCCGCAGCTTGACGCGCAGGGCGCCGGAGCGGCCAGGGCCGCGGTCTTCTCCGAGACAGGGGGGCCCGCGCGCTCAAAAGGGGCCCTGGGGGGCGCAAATAAATAAATGCAGATGACAGGATTCCCTGCGTTTCTATGTTTTCATTCGTTGGTTTTCGTCTTCCACCCCGCTTCCCATATAGCTCCCCACATTTTCTGGGGCAGTCGACGGCGATGAACTGCGTCTGTGTGCGCGTGCTTTTCTCCCTCCCGAACGCGGCGGGGCAGCGCGCGGCCCGCCGCCGGCCCGAGCCAAGCGCGCCGCGAGGAGCCGCGACGCGCCCTCGGCCCCCGCCGCCGCGCCGTCGGGGGAGGCCCGCGGCGCGGGCCCCCTCCGCTCACGGGGGGGGCGCGCGAGAGTGAATGGGGCCCTGGGACACGCAAGTGAGTGCACACAAATAACGGGATTCCCAATGTTTTCCTATCTTTTCTGGGATCTTGTCTTCCCCCCCACTTCCCATAGTTTCCCACGTGTTCCTGGGGGTCGACGATTCATTGTGTCTTTGTGTGTGTTTTTTTCCCTCCTGAGAAAGGGCCGCGGGGGGGGCAGGGAGGGCCGCGTCGGCGTCGCGGCCACGGGGGGGCTCTGCCACGGTCGCCCTGCGAGGCCCAGAGAGGCCCTGAAGCCCTTCGCGCGAGGGCGCCGGAGCCTCGGGATCCGGGATCCACTGCAGGCGGCAGGTCCAGGCCAACGACGATGAGCCTCCTCAGCTCCACATCGTCGTCGAACTTGGCCCAATCATAACAACAAAGAAACGCCAGATCAGTGGATGGCTGGAAAATTAATCATGCGGACATCGAATCGATTGTAGGATCGATCGTGAGATTCAAATGGTGATCGGTAGTGAGGGCGATGGAAAGGCCGATCGTGATACCAATAATGAAATCGGTTCATTAAGATCGAGTGATATTGATCGTGAGATCGCTCGTGCGATCTATACTTAGAACGATCGTGAAATCGATGGTCAGATCAATTGTGAGATCGATAGCGAAATCGGTGAAAAAGGTGGGAAATGAGATCGATGGTGAGACCGATCGATAAAAGAGATCGACCGAGAATCTGGGACCCGGAAACCTGGGGAACCCGCCGCCCAGCGAAATCGGCCCGGAACCGGGAGCCGGGAACCTGGGAAACCCTGCAGTGCAGGGCGTCCACGGGAGAGCCCGCGGTGGGAGCCTCGTCGAGGAGAGCTCTGACGCACGGCCGCAGCCAGCGCGGAGGAGCTTCCCTTCGCCGCGCGCCAAAAGTCATGGAGGCCATGGCTCCAGGCGTCAATCGGGTCGGGCGAAAGGGGGGGATAGCAAAGGGGGGGGTTGAGAATCAGCTCACGCAGCTGATTTCCCGGGCGCCTCCTGGCGCCGGAGGCGGCTATGCATCAAGGAATGGGCCCCTCGGTGAGGACGAAATGAGCTGCATGCAGCACATTTCGTGCCCCCCCCTTTCCCAATCCCCCGATTTTTCCGGCCCGAGTCAGAGGCGGCCGATCTCCGTCTGCCCCGGGCGCGGCCAGTGCTGAGGAGGGCGCCCACTGCGCGGTCTCCGCCTGCCTTCTTTAGGGGGCAAACAGACCTACCCCGCTTTTGACCACCCTCGCTTCCAAGAGATACCAAGCGATGCCAAACTACGGCCTGTGCTGGTCATACCGCTTGACGAGGAGGCGCGTGGCATGACTTGGTTTTGCCTGGAAGCGAAAGCGGGGTAGGTAATTCACGCTCTGACTCTTGGGCGCCATTGCGGCGACGGTGGCCGGGACTGGGGGGGGGGGCCGCGCTCCCTCCGACTCGACGCGGCCCAGCGCGTCAGCGTATAGGAATCGGTTGCGCCGACGGCAACCTCAGGGCGCCGTGGGCGCAGGCGCGCGGGGGAGCCCCGCCGCGAGAGCACCGGCGCCGATCGGCTCCAGAACCTCCTCTCGGGCCTCGAGGCGGGCGCGGCGAAGCTCCCGAACGATGTCCTCGACCTGCTCCTTGGGGGTCCACGCGTCCATCCGCTCGCGCCGCTTGGGCTCCATGCGCACGGTCGGCTGGGAGACCGTCTGGCCACTCGCATAGATCTTCAAGCGCGCTGCCTCCTGAGGCTTAATTTGGCAACGCAAGGCGCCAGGTTTGGTTTTCCACATGCCGGCGATCCAGCCTGCGCCCTTGCGACTGGCCTGGTAAGAAGCGTGCGCAACAGCCCGTCCCGCCCAAACGTCCGTGGTGGCAACGAGCTCTCACGCTTGCCATCGTCCAATATCTGCTGTATACGAATAAACTCTGACCAGCGACAGACCTCCTCCTCATCGGCCTTGGGTAACAGCAACTATCGCCTCTTGCCCAAATCACCACAACGATTATGTATCATGGAACCGGGGGCCCTGACCAAATCAATGCGCTCATCATGCTGGCATAGAGGGACCGCTGCCTTGACACAAGAGGCTGTGATAGGCCACCACTCAGCACGCTCATACTTGATATGATTACGGCCTGTGGTGGCCGAGTACTTCAATGTAAAGTGCACTAGGCTGGGCCAGCACGTCCCTGATACTGTCGCCACTCATCCTTGGGGACCTCGTGATGAGCCAGAAGGGCATTTGCGCAACGAGTGGCCCATCAGCCATGGGCAGCCTCAGCAGCCGAGGTTGCCGTTGGGTGCAGCTCGTGGAAGAAGTGCGATGGCAATCTCACAGTCGTGGCGTCGTCGGCGACGAACGAGCGAGACGACGACGACGAGCCTCGGGAGCACGCTCCAGGAGAGGGTGATCCATGCAAAGCTGGGGGCCTCGACGCGCCCGGCGCTCGACAGGTCGCAGCAACGCCCCCGCCACTGGTGTAGTCCAAGGGTTCTTCCACCAGGCGGCGCCAACAGTACTGCCACGAATCTTAGGGAATCCCCAAACCAGCATCGGGAGCCCTGACGGCCTCGGCGGCTTCGGCTGAGGTGCGCGTCCCAGGAACGGCACAATCGGCATCATCCTTTACGTCAAAAGTTTGCTGCAACTCCTTAGCCAAGGCTTGTCGTCTGCGCTCGGGCGCAGCCTGCTTGGGTTCAACGGTCTTGCTGTTCGGGTCGGGCTTGGGCCTCGGGCAAAGGGAGGCGGAGGAGGAGGGAGGAGGAGAAAGTGGAGGGAGGAGCCCCCCCCCCCTCGAGTTTACTCCTGGACGGGGGGTGGCCTGGCCCTTCATGCCGTCCACCTCCGAGGACAGCGTCTTCGCCGCGCCCACCGCCTCCAGCAGGGCCCCCGCCCGCACCTGCGGGCAGTGCCGCCACCCTCCGCTCAGCCAGAGCCGACGCTGACGCCGACGCCGCCGTTGCCGACGGCGACGACGACGGGGCCGTCGAGGACGACGAGGCAACTTTGACGGCGCCGCCGTCGCAGCCGCCGTCGCTGCCGTCGCGGCCGCCGTCGTCGTCGTCGTCGTCGTCGTCGCTGGCGCGGCCGTCGGCGTCGTCGTCGTCGCCGTCGTGGTGGTCGTCGTCATGGTCGTCGTCGCCGTCGTGGTCGTCGTTGTCGTCGTCGTCGTCGTCGCCGTCATCGTCGTCGTCGTCGCCGCCGCCGCCGCCGTCCCTGTCGTCCTAGTCGTCATGCGTCGCCGTCGGTCGTCGGAAACTCGCCATCATCGTCGTCGTCGCCGTCGTCGTCGTTGTCGTCGGTATCCGTCGGTGTCTTCGTCGTCGTCGTCGACGTCGTCGTCGTCGTCGCCGCCGTTGTCGGCGACCCGCGGCGAGCGCGCCTTCGCCGCCTGGGCCAGCGCGGAGCCCGAGACGTCGCCGGCCTCCCCGCACGCTGCCTGCAGGTCTTCGGCGGCGCCCTGCATCTCCTGCGCCGCGGCGGTCAACTTCACCTGCGGTGGCCATCCACGGCTGCGTCGACGACGGCGGCGGCGGCGGCGACGACGGCGAGAGGCCGACGACCGACGGCGACGCATGGCGACGAGGACGACGGCGGGCGACCGACGGCCGACGGCCGACGGCCGACGGCCGACGACGACAACGGCGAGCGGCCGACGACCGACGACCGACGACGACGACGGCCGACGGCCACGACGACGACGACCACGACGACGACGCCGACGCCGACGACGACGACGACGGCGAGCGTCCGACGACCGACGGCCGACGACCGACGACAACGACCGACGACGGCGGCGAGGACACACGGCCGCGCGGCGCGGGCCCGGACCGCCTCCGCGGACGCCAAGGTGAGGCCCGCCTGCTCCATGGCCTCTCGGCGGCGCAGGGGGGCAAGAGGGGGGGAGGGGTTCGCCCTCCTCGCGAGGGTAGGGGAGGAGGAGAGGAGCGAGGAAGAAGGGGGGGTGGGGAGGGATGGGGGGGAGCAGGGAGGAGAAAAGGAGAAAAGAGGTGGGGGGGGGAGGAAGGGAAAAGGGAGGAGGAGGAGGAGAAGGAGGAGGAGGACGACGAAGAGACGGAGGATGAGGACAAGTAAGAGGAGGAGGAGGAGGAGGAGGAGGAGGAGGAGAAACGCCCTTCGGTCACCTCGGTGGCCGAGGATCCCCTTGGTTGGGCTGGGGGTCGTGGAGCCACACGCTTTGACAAGCGCGCCCACTACTGCTCACCGCACCGCTCACACGGCATGCCGCCGCAACGCCAGTCAGCCTTCCTCACTCGACTCTCTTCAGATCACAGCCCTTGATGCCTGACAACAGCCTGCTGGGGAAGTTGACGGGCTATGGGCGGGTGGGCTACATCCAGCAAGTGAGGCCACCGCCTGGGTCGCTCAAACCTCCTACGCCTGGTGACCCCCCCCCGACACCGCAGTCTCTCCCTGGGAACCATTCGGCCACCTCGGTGGTCGAGGGTCCCTCTGGTTTGACTCAGGGTAGGGCGGGCGGGTCTCCCAATAACGGGGAAGAGGCCTTGAAGCCACCCGCCCTGGCGAGCGCGCCAACCTCCCCGCACCACCCACATCGGCCGCCTCATCGCCACCTCGCCCTCCCCTCCCCTCCCTCCTCGAGGTCGTGATCCCTTCCCCCCCTCCTCTCCTCGCCTCTCGTCCCTGCGCCGTGTCGTGTTCTGCCTCCTGCTGCCGCCTGCCTTCCTCTACCGACCTAAGGTGCATGTCCCACCAGCCGGCGGTGGCCCCTGGAGCGACCGCCCCTGGAGTCGCCTGGCTCACTCGTTTTATCAGCCTGGTTCTGCTTTTCAAAAAACACACGTTCGTGTGTTTGCTCGTGGCTTCTGTGAATAAGAAGCGTTTGCACTTCGGGCTCTTGGCAGGCTAGAGGTGCTATGACAAAAACCCCGGCGGCGCTCGACCGCTTTTGAGCCCCGCTGTTCTTTGGCGCTTGTAGGCCCGTCGCCGTGGACCATCATTCGTTTCGTGTTTTGTTTGCTTTCCGGTCGAAAGCTGTTCCTTGTTCTTCCCTTGTGTCTTCGCTCCCGCTCTTTCGTTTCTGCCGCCGTTCTCCGTCTCAGAGCTAACAACGCCTCGGGGATCTTCTGACCCGGGTCTATTCAGACCCGGGTCCGTCAGCCATGGCAGAATCCTGCAAAATCTCGAAAGATCCTGCGCCCAGGCCTGGGTCAACGCGAGGATCCTGCAAGATCCTGCAGGATCCTGCACCCAAGCCCGGGTCAGAGCGACCCTGGCCCTGCAGGATCCTGCAAGATCGCGCGCTCTGGCTGAGCCCCGTTTGCATTGACCCCGTCCTCCTCCTCCTCCTCCTCCTCCTCCTCCTCCTCCTCCTCCTCCCCCTCAAGGCTCCACAACGCCCAGAGGACGGTCCAACACCGCTCTAGAGTCCGGCCCGACACGGGCCCAGACGCCCGACACGGCCCCAGAGGAGGGGCCAGTCGGCCGTCGGGCCCGGCAGACTGCACCCCACGAAGGAGGATCTAAGGACGTCGAGGACGGCAATGTCAAACAGCGCAGCCAACTGCGAAGGGGCCCAGGGACACACACACACACAAATAAAAATACACACACAAATCCCAAGATGCCCCCACATTTTCCCAGATTTTTTGGATTTTCGTCTTCCCCCCCTTCCCATATTTTCTCATATGTCAATGGGGATCGACAATAACTTGCGTTCGTGTTTTTTTCCAACCATCCAGTGGTGTTGGGTCCTCGTTTTGAAGAAGCGGTCCCCTGCGCCTCCTCCTCCGAAGCCCCCCCCCCAATGGGGTACCACATGCGTCCGCCACACCCAGTACAGCGTTTCGTGGCCCCATTGGGAGCTCCACGTACAGCCCCAATGGGGGTTCCACGTGCGTCCGCCACACCCAGTACAGCGTTTCGTGGCCCCATTGGGAGCTCCACGTAAGGCCCCAGTGGGGGTACCACATGCGTCCGCCACGCCCAGTACAGCGCTTCGTGGCTCCATTGGGAACTCCACGTAAGGCCCCAGTGGGGGTACTACATGCGTCCGCCACGCCCAGTACAGCGCTTCGTGGCTCCATTGGGAACTCCACGTGAAGCCCCAGTGGGGGTACTACATGCGTCCGCCACACCCAGTACAGCGCTTCGTGGCCCCATAGAGAGCTCCACGTAAGGCCCAAATGGGGGTACCACATGCGTCCGCCACACCCAGTGCAGCGCTCCGAGGCCCCATAGGAAGCCCCACCCAAGGCCCCAATGGGGGTACCACATGCGTCCGCCACACCCAGTACAGCGCTTCGTGGCCCCATAGGGAGCTCCACCGAAGGCCCCAATGGGGGTGGCCACATGCGTCCGCCACACCCAGTGCAGCGTTGCGTGGCTCCAGAGGGAGCTCCATCGGAGGCCCCAGTAGGGGTGGCCACATGCGTCCGCCACACCCACCACAACGTTTCGTGGCCAGTGGGACCGTCCGCATGCGCCCCGCACACCCAACTTGGCATTTTCACCCACCCACCCACTGCAGCGTTTCGTGGCCCCATAGGGAGACCCACCGAAGCCCCCAGTGGGACCGCCCGCATGCGTCCCGCACACGCAATTTGACATGTTCGCCCGCCCATTACAGCACTTCGAGGCCCTAGTAAGCAGCTCCACCGAAGCCCCGGCGGGACCGCCCACATGCGTCCAACACGCTCAATTTGGCAGTTTCACCCACCCAGTACAACGCTTCGTGGCCCCATAGGAAGCTCTGGACCGTCCGCATGCGTCCCATAGGCCCAATCTGGCATGTTCACCCACCCAGTATAGCGCTTCGTAGCCTCATTCGGAGTTCACTGAAGCCCCCACTGGGACCGTCCGCGTGCGCCGCGGAAGCCAATTTGGCATTTTCACCCACCCAGAATAGCGCTTCGTGGTCCCATAGGGAGCTCCACCGAAGCCCCCAGTGGGACCGTCCGCATGCGTCCCACACGCCCAGTTTGGCATTTTCATCACCCAGTACAGCGCTTCGTGGCCCCATAGGGAGCTCCACGAAGCCCCCAGTGGGACCGTCTGCATGCGCCCCCCACGCACCCAAGTTGGCAGTTTCACCCACCCAGTACAACGCTTCGTGGCCCCATAAGGAGCTCCACCGACGGCCCCAGTGCTACCGCCCGCATGCGTTCCCCCCCACCCAGTGCAGCGCTTCGTGGCCCCATAGGGAGCTTCACCGAAGAAGATGTTCACAATTGCGGCGCCCACAACTGCAGATGGTTGGGTCCTTCGCCAGGATAACGTTTCCCTCCTGAAGCTGTACTTAAACGCTGACAAACAAAAAAAAACGTAGATGAAAACTGAAACACATTGTTTGGCGATTTGAGTTTTCCTGCTTGGACGGGAAGTGGTAAAACAACGAATGTCAACACAACACGCCGAGTTTTTTAAAGGTAAAACAACGCACTGGGCATATTCTAGAAAAGCCAAATGGATCAAAACCCCCATTGCCGACTGGCCCTTGGGGGGGGGTACGTCTGAAGACCTTACCGCAATCAGTGTCTCAGTATCTCAATGTCTCAGGCGGAAAAAAGGTGGAGAGGAAATAGAAGCAGGAGGAGGAGCAAGAGAAAAGGAAGGAAGGCGGTGGGAGGAGGGAGGAGCAAGGAGAGGCTGGATCTTGGGGAGGGGGGGAGAATCGGGGATGAACACAACCCCCTTTGCCAGCCCAGCCTTCATTGTGAGAACGGCCCGATACCAGACCCGGCGCGCGCGGGCCGGCAGGAAATGCGGCCGCAATGCGCTCTCGAAAACCGATGAAGGACAAATGCGCCAATCGCCTCGGCACGGTGGGGGCTCCATCAACCTCCGAGAGAGGGAGGGAGGAGGGAGGAGGGAGGAGGGAGGGATGGGGGAGCAGGGACGGAGGAGGGAGGGGGGGAGGGAGGGAGAGGAGGGATGGAGAAGGGAGGGAGAGGTGGGATGGGAGGAGGGGGAGGAGGGATCTGGGAGGAAGGAGGGGAGGGCAGGGTAGCGGCCCGCGACACCGACGGGGCCCAAGTGGCGCGCAGCCCGCGCGCCCCCGAGAGGGGAGCTGCGGGGCATCGGCCCCCTCCCTCTCTCTATGTATCCACATCTGCATTTACAAATTCCCACCCCTTCTCTCTTTCCTTCGTTCCTTCCTTCCTTCCTCGCTCCCTTGCTTGCTTCTTTACTTCCGTCTCTCCTTCCGTCCTTTCTTCCGTCCTTCCGCTCTAGCTCTCTCTCTCTCTCTAATATTATTATTACTACTATTGTTATGTATACGTATAGAGATAGTTGTATACATGTATACGTATAAAGATAAACACGTGCAGACAAATGTATTAGACAACATGGACCTCGACACACGATACTACTGCACTGTACGGTGAATTCTTGTGCAATGTAAGCTATGTTGTGAAAGCTGCGCCGTTTAGGCTACGTATGCGGCGAGGACTATAAATGTGAAACTGATTTTTACCCATGAGTTGACACATCCCACGCTCTTGCAAACATCCCACCCACCCACCCGCAACTTGGTTTGCAAAACCTCTTAAGACCGACTACGACGACACCGACGACAACGACTACGACGACACCGACAACGTCTCCGACGACTTCGACGACGACGACGCCGACGCCGACGACGACGAAGACGACGACGACGTCGCCAACGAAGACGACGATGAGGGAGGAGGGAGGAAGACGACGGCGACAACGACGACAACGACGACAACGACGAGGGAGGAGGGAAGACGGCGACGACGCGAACGACGAAGAAGGAGGAAGGACGGCGACGCCGACGACGACAACGACGAGGGAGGAGGGAAGACGACGACGACGACAACCACGACGACGACGACGACGACGGCGACGAAATACGAGGGACGGCGACGAGAAGACGACGACGGACGACGACGACGACGAGGGAGGAGGAGGAAGGACGACCACGGCGACAACGACGACGGAAACGACCACGACGCCAAAGAGGACGACGACGACGAACACGAGGAACGACAGAGGACGACGTAGGCGACGACGACGACGACGACGACGCGGGAGGAGGGAGGACGGCGACGACGACGACGACGCAAGAGCGCGCGCGCACGCTTTTGTTGACCATCCGTGTTGCGAAACTTGTGTTTTTGTAGGTTTTGGACACACGATTTTGCAATCCTTCCGAAACCGATGGGTTTTGAAGGTTTTCGGCATACGAGCGCGACGACGCGCGCGTCTGCACTTCGTCCCGTTTTTTGCAGAGGATTCTCGCGACGGCACACGCGCAAGGGCGTTCGACAGATTTCGACATGCGCGCGCGCGAAGCCCGTTTGGTTACATGTTGTGAAAATCTTGAAAAACCGATGGTTTTCTTAAGATTTCGCAAGAGCTTACGCGGAAGCTTTTTTAGCAAATCAGTGTTGCGAAACCCTGTTTTGTATGTTGTTTAGAAACTCGATTGCGAAATCCTTCCGGCACCGAAGGTTTCTGAAGGATTTCGGCATGCGCGCGCGACGGCGCGCGCGTGTGCACTGCGTCAATTGTTTTGCAAAGGGATTCGTGAAACAAAACTTATGCTAGAACAAAAGATGTCCCCGCGTATCGTTTTTTTACCAGGGAACCTCAGGGGTGCCGATCGCGGCCCCTCCGGGATAGTGTAAACTCATATTTAGGATGGGCATGTGGTCAGACTCGTATATGATTTACATACCCGAAAGGGGGGGTAATAACGCTGGGGGGGGGGGTCGAGTCTATTGTCTTTTTAGAACGGAGAACAGATGGGGTGAGAATCGCGCGGTGCGAGCTATACCGTGCAAGCTGTGCAGTGTGAGCTGGAGACGAAACAAAACACAACACTATGGGGTGTAAGGTACGCGATGCCAGCCACGCCGTGCAAGCTATGCGGGGTAAGCTGTACAGTCGAGGCGTTGACCTAAGGAACCCTAAATAAGGAACGAGGCCCTATTTTCCATAAGTTGAACTTCGATTTCGTATCGAAAACCTTAAGAAAATCCAAGGCAAGCTGCGAAACAATTAAGGAACACGGAGCCCCTCCCCAACGAAAAGGGTTCCTGCTTCAGGGCCCCGACTGTATGATGCAAGCCATGTGGTGAAAACTACGCCGCGCAAGCTCAGAGCACGGGGCAACCACGTGGCGCCCACGGGGCGGCGACCCGGTGCAACCTTTTTGAAACCCACCCAGCGCACGTGGGCGCCCACGAGGCGCCCAACGAGGCGGCACGGGGACGCGGCGAAAACCCTGCGAGCCCACCCATGTCTACTCTTAAGTCGGGCGTGTCCCCCTACAGGGGGATTTCCGACGAAAAATAAAAAAATACCCCCAAAATGCTCAAACAAACGATTCCAAACATAGTCGCCAGACTAATGCTTTTGTATAATTATTTTTGGATATTCCTCCTGTAGAGGGACAGGCCCGACGTACATCTACTTGAGAAACTCCGGAGGTCTGCATCCCGCGCGACCTGCCGCCCCCCCTCCAAAAGACACCCCAGACCTCTCGGCGCCGGGCGGAGAGCGGAGGGGTCGGGGTGTGGTGCGGGGCGCGGGAGGGGGACCGTGCCGAGGCCCGCGACCCAGCGCGCGAGGGCGACAGGATCCGGCCGGAGGCGGCGGGCCTCCTTGGCGTCCGTCATGTCCGTGAAGGTCTGCTGGCACATGTGCATCTCGAAGACGGAGCTCTTCGTCTTGCCGCCGCAGGTGGTGCCCTTGTCGCCTGGCGAGGGGGCGGAGGCGGGAGCCTCCCCTCACGCGTGCGCGGGGGTCTGTGCCCTCGTGTCCTGCAGGCTGGGCTTGTTCTGGCATGTGGACTGGCGGGGAGCCCTCTGTGCCTCTGGGCGGTGCAGGGTCCGCCCTCGAACCTCTGATGCCGGAAGGCCCAGCTTTGTTCCCGACGTGTCCAATCCAATACTCCTCCTCCTCCTCCTCCTGCTCGTCTTCGTCCTCCTCCCCCCTCTCTCACTCGTCGTCCTCGCTGAGGGGGCGCAGGGAGGTGCAACTTGACAGCAAGGGTCAGGGCGCAACCCTCCTGCTCCATGCCCATGACACGCCCAGGCCCGCTCGTGCCCAGCGGCCTCCAGCCCCGAGCGGGCTCTCACAACCAGCGGGGGGAAACTCACGAACAACTGAGAGATACACGCGTGTCAGAAGGGCTCCAGCCGCAACCCCCCTCCCCCCTCCACCACCCAGCCGACATGAGGGGAGCTTTGAAAACAAATCAGGGTCAAGACCTGACCAACCACACGAGCGACCCATTCGGCCAGATCCCGGCTCACCCTCGCAGACGGCATCGCACTGGCTGCTGTCACCCGCCATCTGCTTGAGGTACGGCATGCAGTAGCACTCGCGCCCGTTGCTGATACCGAAGAACCCCATGTCTGGGACCGTGCGGCAGAACGCAAAGCAGGTGGCAGCGTTCATTGGAGTCCTGTCCTGCTTGGGAACGATTTCGCTGTAAAGGACGATGGACACGTTCGAGACCGGTCCGAGCGCGTAGTCCCACTTGTGGTCCCCAAACCTGAGTCCACTCGCAATCGATAGCAATGAATCGACGGCTCGCCCAGCGTCCCACCGCCAGGGAGTCAGCAGAGCAATTGACACAACAACCCAGTCCTGTACTGTGGCAGCGTTGTCCTCGCCTCTTCGGCGACATTAACGCTGAGCCTTGGTAGGACGCATGCGCGGACGAAGAGGAGGACGAGGATAACCAAGAAATCAGAGGCAAAGATAAAGAGGGACCGGCTCATGAGGGGAAACATTGAACTGGAATCGCCGATACATCGCCGATAGGCCCCCAAGAGCAAATCACCACGTTCCTGGGCGGGGCGGGCTATCGGGCCCATCGGCGATAAATGGGCGGTCGGGTGTCCAGAATGGCCGCCAGAGGGCCTCTGGACGGCCTTCGGGCCGCGGTTGATTCCTGGTATTCCCCAACGTCCTGAGACCCTGAGACACCCCCCCAAGACGGCCCAGCACCATCCCCAGATGAATCCAAGACGGCGCAGGACTGGCCCAAGACGGCCCCAAGAATCCCCCGGACGAGGACCGACGTAGCCAACGGTTCTGGACAAGTCGCGCGAGACCGGCGTCCTCGAGCATGTCGTAAGCCGGGTGCAGGATTGTGGGTTGACAAGCACGCGCGCAGCGAGAGAGCAGCCCAGAGTGAAGGCTTGAAGAACTAGCGCCATGACCACGACCTCAGCCGGCGGAAGAAGCATCGAAGGAGGCCCCGCTTGATGCTGACCCAAAACCTCGTGGCCGACGGGCTACATGTAGCCGCCTCACCTCCAGCCCGATCTGGGGATGCGGGATCCGCCGCCGCAGCGCGAGTCGGCTACACCCAGGAGTGGCCCCAGGCAGGAATGACCTTCGGAGCGCGGCCCTGCGGGGCTGCGGGGGGTCCCAGTCCAGGCGCGCGAGCCAGCCCCAGACGTCCGATGTCTCGACATTTCCTAACCCATGCTATGTTGAGTCGGGTCCTCGCTTTGAATCGGCGGCGCGGGGCGGCTTCCTTCTCTCCTTCTCCGAGTTGCGCCCGCGTGCCGCCGCCACCCCACTTCGGCGCACCCCTCACACGTTTCGTGGCCGCACGGGGAGCTCCACCGAAGGCCCTAGCGGTTGCGCCCGCATGCCGCCACCTCTCACGCGTTTCGAGGCCTAGCAGGGAGCTCCACCGAAGGCTTCAGTGGTTGCACCCGCAGGCCGCCGCCACCCAGCGCACCCCTCGCAGATTCCGTGGCCTGGCAAGGAGCTCCACCGAAGGCCCCAGCGGTTGCGCCCGCATGCCGCCGCCACCCCACTTTGGCGCACTCCTCACACGTTTCGCAGCCCCATCGGGAGCTCCACCGAAGGCCCCAGTGGTTGCGCCCGCATGCCGCTGCCACCCAACTTTGGCGCAGCACTCACACGTTTCGCAGCCCCATCGGGAGCTCCACCGAAGGCCCCAATGGTTGCGCCCGCATGCCGCTGCCACCCAACTTTGGCGAAGCACTCACACGTTCCGTGGCCTAGCAGGAAGCTCCTCCTACGGCCTCAATCGTCGCGCCCGCAAACCGCCGCCACCCCACTTTTGGCGCACTCAGCGCACGCGTCGTGGCCCCATAGGGAGCTCCACATAAGGCTTCAGTGGTGGCGACCACATGCTCCCACCCTTACACTTTGGCGCACCCCTCAAACGTTTCGTGGCCTAGCAGGGAGCTCCACCGAAGGCCCCAGTGGTTGCGCCCGCATGGCTTCTTCAGACCATTTCGGCACACCCCTCACACGTTTTGTGGCCCCATGGGGAGCTCCACCGAAGGCCCCAGAGGCAAGAATCACATGCGTGACCGCGTTCATCTGGGCACACCCCTCACACGTGGCCCAATAAGGAGCTCCAAACACAATTGGCAAGAATCGCATGCGTTTCCGTGCCCATTATGGCACACACAGACCCCTCTCACGTTTGGTGGCCCCCTGGGGAGCTCCACTGAATGCCTCATCAAAGGGAATCGAATGCGTGACCGCACCCATTTTGGCACGCTCCTCGCACGCTTCGTAGCCCTAATTATGTGAGCTCCACCAAAGGCCCTGCCGCCTGCTGCTCCCAGACCGCGCCCTGCTAATCCCCAGGGCTGGGCCGACAGACGCTCAGATCAGCTGTGACGGGTTACATCCAAATGTGACCCGTTGCGGCTGATCCCTGCGGCCCCATCAGCAACGTCGCTCCGTCCTTCTCACGCACGCCTTAGTCGTGTCGCTAGCCCCGATCCCTTAGGTTCCACCTGTCTTGCGGGACTCGTAGCTGCACATGGTGGGATCTTTTTCGTCAGGCTAATTTCAATAGGAGGTTCCCAAACAAGGGTCCTGATCAGGGCCGGTTCCTCATCCCGCGCATCCTGTTCTAACGGTCGTGGGGCCTGGGAGAGGGCCCCCGGAGGCCGAGGACGGCAAAGGACCGTCTGGGGTGATTCCTCACGACGCTTGGGCGTCGCTTAGGGAGAAGCGATGCATACGGTCGGCCTTGATTGGACAGGACATCCGAGGGCCAAAATGCCAGAGGAATGTTGAAGGCATGGGTCTCGAGACACAGGACACAAGGGCACCCTTGACTTTGCAGGGTCGACCTACTAATCTGGGCCGACTGTAGGGTGGCGACGAGGAAGGTGCCTTTCTCGAGCCCTGAAGGCCCCCTTCTGGTCCCCAAACAGCCCCTCTGGGGGCCCTAAGGGACTCCTTTTCTGCAGCCCTCGGTGCTCCTCCCCCCCCCCCCATTTGTCGCCCTCCCATTACGCGACGCCCACGACGCGAACATGTCCGGGGTGCCTGGGGAGACTCCTGTGGGGACGATGGGGGCGCTTCTACGCGGGCGATGGGGGCGCTTTTTCGCGTACACAGCCGAACGATGCTCGGCGCACTGGGCCCCCGGCTTGTCGCCGAAGTAGAACATGTAGTCTTTGAAACAGTCCACGTAGGAGAAGCCGTCCTTCGGGGATCTACTGACTCGGGCTCATCCGAACCAGGGTCAATCAGGCTTGCAAGATCCTGCAGGATCCTGCCAGATCCTGCGCCCTAACCAGGGTCAATCGGGCCTTGAATATGGAATCCTGACTGAGGAACCCTTCGTAATGAATAGTTGGTAAAATTCCTGAGTGAGGAATCTGTACTCATATATATTCAGTAGGGTGAAACCTTAGAAACAAATCCTTAGTAAAACATTGGTATCGAAGAATCCTTGATAAAGAACCCTTGGTCAATCCTTTGTTACGGAATCCGTCTTGAGAAATCCTTAGTAAGGGACCCGTTCGTCAGCAATCCTTACCAAGGAATCCTGGATGGGGAACCTTTCTTGAATAACCCTTGCTGTGGCATCCTGAGTCGGGAATCCTTCATCAGAGATCATCCGCAAGTACACCTTAGTAAGAACTCCTGTGAATATGGAATCCCTAATCCTTCTATCATGAATCATTGAGTAAGAAATCCGTAATAAAGGGCACGTAATGAGGAATCATTGCCGGAGGATTCCTGGGTAAAAAAACTTAGCAGGGAATCCTGAGCAAGGGAGCTTGAAGAATGGATCATTGGTAAGGAACTGGGGGCTGTGAGCCAACACTCTCCCCCACCTCGATCACCCCCCTCCTCATTTGCCCTCCTCCTGCGTGTTTCACCTCGGGGAACAATCGTCGTATAGTATTAGAATGTGTGTTCGGCGCCGTTGTTGGCGATCGCGCGCGCAACCATCATGGGCTGATCTTCCACAACGGGGCTCCTCTAGTCTGGACGATGAAAATATGATAGTGGCGTAGGCTCCCGCGCAAATGCGCCACCATCATACTTTCACCATCTAAAGTGGAGCTCGGCGACCGCGGAACATCGAATTAGGGCGAAAAGGGGCCGATGATTGCGGAAAGAAGAAGCACGATGGGGGGAGTGGGCCACCGCTCACGCACGCAGCCATCACATGTTTATCTTCCAAGCTGGAACTCAACGACAACGGACGATCAAACTATGATGATGCCGTGGGCCAACGCGCGCACCGTCATTGCGTATCGGGACTATCTTTGTTTTGTTTTTTTTTTGATGCCTCCTGGGCGACCTGCTGGTCTCTCAGACCTCAATTCAAACAAAAGCAAGCCCAACTTGTTGTCGGGCCCCTTCGACTGCAGTCGTGGCAGGCACTAAACAGCATGGCACATATGACCGAGGCTGCAAATCAGAATGTCTGACCTTCGGAGCAGCGGTTCACAGCGGCGCGGCGCGAGAGCGGCAGGACGGACCAATAGTCCAGGCTCGAGCAGCCGGCGCTGGAGGAGAGGACGGGTGGGGAGGGAGGATCGGGACCCGTTGAGGGGGAGAAGGAGACCTTGGCTGCGGGCTCTGCTCATCGGCGACGAATTCGGCGGACACGCGGAGTGGGCCTTGGCCTGCCACGGCGTGGCAGGGCGGACACGTGGCCCACGCCCAAGCGGCAGACAGCTACCGTAGCACTTCGGTCGACAGGGACATGCACCACGGGCGCGCTCGGAGCCCAGGAGGCCACGGACCGGGGGGCCGCCGAGCCGCCCTCGGCGACCCGCCTCGCGGGGGGGCGGTGCGCGGCCCACGCCTCCGCTCTCACAGGAAGGGCGCGCCCCGCTCGTCCAGGTGGTGCTCCCGCTCGGAGTCGTCCAGCGCTCTGCCCTCCTCCTCGTCGGCGCTCTCCTCGAAGTCGAGCGGCGCCGGACCCTTGGAGGGGCGGGCCCCGACCAGCGCGTCGAGGCGGGAGGGCCAGAGGCAGAGCAAGAAGAGGGCCGAAGCTGCCAGGCGCGCCGTGAGCTCCACCCTCTCGACGTACTTCGAGCGCACCCACGGGGACAGGAGGCTCGCCAGCAGACACACGGCGGGCAGCGAGGCGAAGTAGACCCCGTTGGCCACCGAGGCGAGGCGGTAGAAGGCGCGGACCTCCCTCGCGGACTCCTTGGAGTACGAGTCCCACGTCGACACCCAGGCGGCACCCAGGAGGCAGAGGTTGAGGCCGAGGATGAGGGTGCCGGGCCAGGACTCGTAGAGGTAGAGGCTGGCGCTCTGGTCGCGGAAGAACTCCCCGTAGATCTCGCAGCCCACCGACAGCAGGAAGATGGCGGCGAGCGCGGCCGTGATCCCCGCGCGGAGGCGCTGCTCCTCCTCTCCGTAGACCAGCGCCAGGCCCTTCGCCACCAAGAACTGGAGCAGGACGAGGATGGCCTTCGCGGCGCAGGCGCAGAGCACGCCGAGGACCCTGAGCAGGACGAGCTCCCTGCCGTCCTGGGCGAACGCCGCATGGCTGAGGGCGATGCAGAGGCAGCCCGCGGCCGAGCAGACGGCCGAGCCCTCCAGGAGGCGGAGGAGAGGCCGCGAGCGGCTCTCGCCCCTCCTGCTGGCCCAGGCGGCCCCGAGGAGCGCGCAGAAGAGCAGCCCGAAGCAGGCGCTCGCCGACAGCGACCCGTGCTCGTTCATGCCGAACTCGGCCTGGAGGCCCTGGTGTGTGTTCCGCGCGTGCAGCGAGTAGGACAGGGGCCGCGCCACGCCCCGGCCGCAGTTCACGAACTCGAAGTGCCAGAACCTGGGCCGTATGTGCTCCTTGATCAGCAGCTCCGAGGTGAGCTCGAAGGGCGGGGCCGCGAGCCCAGGCGAGAGCGGCACAGCGCGGGTGGCGGCGGCGAGGTGCTCCTCGCAGCTCGCACCCTCCAGGTGGCCTCGCACGCGCCCCCAGTGCTCGGACTCGTCGTCGAAGACCATGAAGTACAGCTCGTGGTCAGCATCCTCTGCACGCTCTACCTCGCCCCAGACATGAAGCTCCAGAAGGCCTGCATCATCTGTGCCTGCGGTCTCGTTGCCGGCGCCGCGGGGCGTGTAGTCAAAGCAGAACTTGCCAGCATACTCTACAAACGACGACGTGGCCGGCAAGGTGTCCTCGGAACGCCATGCGGCTGTGCGCACGGCACAGGCGAGGAGAATCGCCAGGATCACGGCCATCGGCGCAAACAAAAATACCAATCAAAGCCAAGGGGACAGTTTATGCAAAAGCCCAGAACTCAACAGGCGTGGGCAAAAACAGTTCTAAGCTAGAATAGCTTGAGCCAAAATGGCTACGGATTGCGTATCGGGGCTATCTTGGGGCTCGATTCGGCCCTCGTGGAGCCCCAAACGAGTCCCAACACGGCCCCAAATCTTTGTGATCCCAAGAGAATCGCACAGATTTCGCAAATGTCCGCGACTCCCAAGGAAACATTAATATTCAAAGGTTCTCAGCGCAGCTCTTCGTGGCAATGTAAGGGACCCGTTCGTCAGCAATCCTTACCCGGGAATCCTGGATGGGGAACCTTTCTTGAATAACCCTTGCTGTGGCATCCTGAGTCGGGAATCCTTCATCAGAGATCATCCGCAAGTACACCTTAGTAAGAACTCCTGTGAATATGTAATCCCTAATCCTTCTATCATGAAGCATTGAGTAAGAAGTCCGTAATAAAGAGCACGTAATGAGGAATCATTGCCGGAGGATTCCTGGGTAAAAAAACTTAGCAGGGAATCCTGAGCAAGGGAGCTTGAAGAATGGATCATTGGTAAGGTACTGGGGGCTGTGAGCCAACACTCTCCCCCACCTCGATCACCCCCCTCCTCATTAGCCCTCCTCCTGCGTATTTCACCTCGGGGAACAATCGTCGTATAGTATTAGAATGTGTGTTCGGCGCCGTTGTTGGCGATCGCGCGCGCAACCATCATGGGCTGATCTTCCACAACGGGGCTCCTCTAGTCTGGACGATGAAAATATGATAGTGGCGTAGGCTCCCGCGCAAATGCGCCACCATCATACTTTCACCATCTAAAGTGGAGCTCGGCGACCGCGGAACATCGAATTAGGGCGAAAAGGGGCCGATGATTGCGGAAAGAAGAAGCACGATGGGGGCAGTGGGCCACCGCTCACGCACGCAGCCATCACATGTTTATCTTCCAAGCTGGAACTCAACGACAACGGACGATCAAACTATGATGATGCCGTGGGCCAACGCGCGCACCGTCATTGCGTATCGGGACTATCTTTGTTTTTTTGGGGGGGGGATGCCTCCTGGGCGACCTGCTGGTCTCTCAGACCTCAATTCAAAAAAAAGCAAGCCCAACTTGTTGTCGGGCCCCTTCGACTGCAGTCGTGGCAGGCACTAAACAGCATGGCACATATGACCGAGGCTGCAAATCAGAATGTCTGACCTTCGGAGCAGCGGTTCACAGCGGCGCGGCGCGAGAGCGGCAGGACGGACCAATAGTCCAGGCTCGAGCAGCCGGCGCTGGAGGAGAGGACGGGTGGGGAGGGAGGATCGGGACCCGTTGAGGGGGAGAAGGAGACCTTGGCTGCGGGCTCTGCTCATCGGCGACGAATTCGGCGGACACGCGGAGTGGGCCTTGGCCTGCCACGGCGTGGCAGGGCGGACACGTGGCCCACGCCCAAGCGGCAGACAGCAACCCTCGCACTTCGGTCGACAGGGACATGCACCACGGGCGCGCTCGGAGCCCAGGAGGCCACGGACCGGGGGGCCGCCGAGCCGCCCTCGGCGACCCGCCTCGCCGGGGGGCGGTGCGCGGCCCACGCCTCCGCTCTCACAGGAGGGGCGCGCCCCGCTCGTCCAGGTGCTCCCGCTCGGAGTCGTCCAGCGCTCTGCCCTCCTCCTCGTCGGCGCTCTCCTCGAAGTCGAGCGGCGCCGGACCCTTGGAGGGGCGGGCCCCGACCAGCGCGTCGAGGCGGGAGGGCCAGAGGCAGAGCAAGAAGAGGGCCGAAGCTGCCAGGCGCGCCGTGAGCTCCACCCTCTCGACGTACTTCGAGCGCACCCACGGGGACAGGAGGCTCGCCAGCAGACACACGGCGGGCAGCGAGGCGAAGTAGACCCCGTTGGCCACCGAGGCGAGGCGGTAGAAGGCGCGGACCTCCCTCGCGGACTCCTTGGAGTACGAGTCCCACGTCGACACCCAGGCGGCACCCAGGAGGCAGAGGTTGAGGCCGAGGATGAGGGTGCCGGGCCAGGACTCGTAGAGGTAGAGGCTGGCGCTCTGGTCGCGGAAGAACTCCCCGTAGATCTCGGAGCCCACCGACAGCAGGAAGATGGCGGCGAGCGCGGCCGTGATCCCCGCGCGGAGGCGCTGCTCCTCCTCTCCGTAGACCAGCGCCAGGCCCTTCGCCACCAAGAACTGGAGCAGGACGAGGATGGCCTTCGCGGCGCAGGCGCAGAGCACGCCGAGGACCCTGAGCAGGACGAGCTCCCTGCCGTCCTGGGCGAACGCCGCATGGCTGAGGGCGATGCAGAGGCAGCCCGCGGCCGAGCAGACGGCCGAGCCCTCCAGGAGGCGGAGGAGAGGCCGCGAGCGGCTCTCGCCCCTCCTGCTGGCCCAGGCGGCCCCGAGGAGCGCGCAGAAGAGCAGCCCGAAGCAGGCGCTCGCCGACAGCGACCCGTGCTCGTTCATGCCGAACTCGGCCTGGAGGCCCTGGTGTGTGTTCCGCGCGTGCAGCGAGTAGGACAGGGGCCGCGCCACGCCCCGGCCGCAGTTCACGAACTCGAAGTGCCAGAACCTGGGCCGTATGTGCTCCTTGATCAGCAGCTCCGAGGTGAGCTCGAAGGGCGGGGCCGCGAGCCCAGGCGAGAGCGGCACAGCGCGGGTGGCGGCGGCGAGGTGCTCCTCGCAGCTCGCACCCTCCAGGTGGCCTCGCACGCGCCCCCAGTGCTCGGACTCGTCGTCGAAGACCATGAAGTACAGCTCGTGGTCAGCATCCTCTGCACGCTCTACCTCGCCCCAGACATGAAGCTCCAGAAGGCCTGCATCATCTGTGCCTGCGGTCTCGTTGCCGGCGCCGCGGGGCGTGTAGTCAAAGCAGAACTTGCCAGCATACTCTACAAACGACGACGTGGCCGGCAAGGTGTCCTCGGAACGCCATGCGGCTGTGCGCACGGCACAGGCGAGGAGAATCGCCAGGATCACGGCCATCGGCGCAAACAAAAATACCAATCAAAGCCAAGGGGACAGTTTATGCAAAAGCCCAGAACTCAACAGGCGTGGGCAAAAACAGTTCTAAGCTAGAATAGCTTGAGCCAAAATGGCTACGGATTGCGTATCGGGGCTATCTTGGGGCTCGATTCGGCCCTCGTGGAGCCCCAAACGAGTCCCAACACGGCCCCAAATCTTTGTGATCCCAAGAGAATCGCACAGATTTCGCAAATGTCCGCGACTCCCAAGGAAACATTAATATTCAAAGGTTCTCAGCGCAGCTCTTCGTGGCAATCTTTGTGGCGGTCCCGCTTGTTATCACAAATATTGCCACGGCAACCCGCGCTGGGAATATTTGAATATTTGTGATCCCCATGGAAGCACAAACATTTGCGAAACATTTGCGCCCCCTGGGAATCACAAAGTATTCCCAACGCAGATTTTCGTGGCAATCGTTGTGACGGTCCCGCTTGTGATCGCAAGCGTGTTGGCGAAAAGCTGCACTGGGAGTACTTAAACCTAAGCGATTCCCAAGGAATCGCAAAGATTTGCGAAGTGTTGATGATTCCCTGGAAAGTGCACAAATTCCCAGATCCCGCTGCCCCTTGTGTGATCGCAAACTGGGCCGGCGAAAAAATTGCCGCGAAGAACCGCGATGAGGATATTTGAATGTTTCCGATCCCCCTGGCGCCCTAACTTTTCTGCAACCCGTGTATGTCACAACGGATGTTTTCAAGCCAATCGCCTTCAAGAAACACTTTGGAAGCCCGTATGTCCCCTGTGTCCTTGTTGCCGACAACAACACCACCACTACCACCACCACCACCACCACCAACAACAACAACAACATCAACGACAACAACGCAACAACAATCCGCACCGCGGAACACTACTTCGGCCACCGCGCACCCAGGGACACTGAATGACCGTTCGGCCCCCCCACCATGAGCAATAATATACGATGGTGGAGATACCAGAAAGGAGCAGACATAAGAGAAAACCAAACATAATGAGAAGAAGAAACAATCACAATCGGAGGTGAGGGGGTGAGATCGAAGTGGAACGGAGAGCCCAACTACCGGGAAATCGATTTCGGTTTCGTGTTCGTTCGTGCCGTGCGTGCGGGCGAGGCGAAGCTGCGTGGGCGGGCGAGAGAAAGTCTCCTGTGGCTGAGGCGCGGCCGGACCAAATGTCTCCCTTCCGGGCGGCCGGTGGCCCGCGGTGTCCCGCCGGTGTCCCGCTGGTGTCCCGTGTGGCTGAGGCGCGGCCGGACCAAATGCTTCCCTTCCGGGCGGCCGGTGGCCCGCGGTGTCCCGCCGGTGTCCCGCCGGTGTCCCGTCGGTGTCCCGATGATGATGATGATGATGATGATGATGATGATGATGATGATGATGATGATGATGATGATGATGATGATGGTGGTGGTGATGTCGATGATGTTGATGATGATGATGATGGTGATGGTGGTGATGATGATGGTGTCCAGATTATGATGATGATGATGATCATGATGGTGATGATGATGATGATGATGATGATGATGTTGACGATGTTGATGATGATGGTGTTGATGGTGGTGATGATGATGTTGTTGTTGATGATGGTGATGATGTTGCTGATGATGATGGTGATGGTGTCCCGATGATGATGATTTTGATGATAATGATGAAGTTGATAATGACATGGTGATGATGAGTGTGATGATGATGCTGATGGTGTCCCGATGGTGAGGATGATGATGATGATGACGTTGTTGATGATGCTGTTAATATGATGATGATGATGGTGATGATGGTGATGATGATGGTGTCCCGATGATGATGATGATGATGATGATAATGATGATGATGTTCATGATGCTGATGATGGTGCCCCGATGATGATGGTGCTCATGATGAGGATGAATATGAGACGATGATGAGTTTGATGATGTTGGCCTGATGCTGATGCTGATGTTGATTTCGGTGTCCCGATGATGCTGATGATGGTGATGCTGGTGATGGTGATGCTGATGATGGTGACGATGATGATGGTGTCCCGATGATGGTGATTTGGATGATGATGTTGCTGATGATGATGATCATGTTATCCCGATGATGATGATGTTCATGATGGCAATAAGTGGATGATGATGATGAGGACGATGATGATGATGATGGTGTTCCGATTATGGTGATGATGGTGTCCCGATGATGATAATGCTGATGGTGATGATGGTGACGCTGATGGTGTCCCGATGATGATGATGGTGATGATGATGATTGTGATGTTGATGATGATGGTGATGAGGTGGTGATGACGATGATGATGATGATGATGTCACGAGCATGATGATGATGCTGATGATGCTGATGATGATGATGATGTTGGCGACGTTGATGACGATGCTGTTGATGAGGATGACGTTGATTGTGAAATCGATTGCGATATCGATAGTGGGATCGATCGTGAAGACCAAATGTAAGATCGATTGTGCGATCTATGATGAGATCGATCGTGAGCTCGATTGTGAGATCAGTAGTCAGATCGATTGTGAGATCGATCGAATGAAGTAGATCGAGTGAGATCGATTGTGAGATCGACCGAGTGAGATCGATCGAGCGAGACCGATAGTGAGATCGATCGTGAAACCGATCGAATGAGACGTTGGTTCCTCCCCCCCGAACCTCCTTATCACTCGAAGGGTGGTCGTATAGGTAATTATACAAAGAAACAGCATCATACATAAAAGAAGAGGGCGGCATGAAGCATGGGAGATATCACGGCCCCAGCCCCGGCACCCCCACCTCCCGGGGCCCTCATCGCCCCCCCGCCCTGGGCGCCCCCCGAGCCACGGCCCGCCGAAGGCCGGGAACGCCCGGGACCTGCACGCCTCCACCCGCCCCCCCGCGAGCCCGCGCCGGGCGCTCCCCCTTCCCCCCCCCTTCTTCTCCTCCTCCTCCTCCTCCTCCTCCTCCTCCTCCTCCTCCTCCTCCTGCTCCTCCTCCTCCTCCCCCTCCCCCTCGTCGTCTTCCTCGTCTTCTTCGTCTTCCTCGTCTTCCTCGTTTTCTTCGTCTTCCTCCTCCTCCTTTTTGCAATCCACCGCGGGGCCTCCGAGACAGGACATCGACACAGAAGCGAGGCTCCCACTGTGCCGAGCACCTCAACAGAGCACGCCGGCCCAGGACATTATTGAAGAAATTGCTACCAAACCGCTTACAACGGAGAACTTCAATAAACTACAACCCCACAAGGTGCAGAACGACTTGACCTTCACGGCAACCGCATGCAATGATAATCAACATCACCAGGAAGCCCCGAATGCAGAAAATACAATGCCAAAGACGCGCTGCAACACACGGCAGAAGCCCAATACCCAGAACTCCGAGGCAGACGAAAAGCCAGAACTTGACAAAAATCCACAAGCCCACGCGCACCAGAGTGAATGACAAGTGAACAGTACCGCTCGGAGCTAAGAGCGAAGAGGTACCACGGGAACGCCAGCTTCATCAACTCAGAATGCGAAGCCTCTGAGGTCGTAGTCGCTGAGCGGGTCGTCGTCGGCGTCGTCAGCAGGATCGAAGAAGAACCTCGACGGCGCGAAACTATCCACTCCACCTGACGACGCCAAAGAGGCTGCATCGATACTGAAAAGGCGGCCCTCCCCAGGGTCCAGCGGCAGGCCCGCAGGAGACCATTCGCAGACCACGGGAGGCGGCGGCGCAGGTAGCTCGGCTCCACCTCCTGCCCCACCCTCAGAGCCGTCCGTACTGGGGGGGACCCCAGCACAGGGAGTCGTCCTGCACGACGTGGAAAGAGGGCCCCAGGGGCAGCGCCTCCCAAGTGCCAGGGACGAACTCCGCCGCATCCGCAGAGAGGCTGGCGGGGGCGCGGCCGACTCCCGCGCGCCGTGCCTCGAGGCGAGGCCCACGCTGCGCTCGGCGGGGCTCGCGAGCGCCTGCCATCGCCGCGTCGATCTCGAGGGCCTCGGCGTGGAGCGCAACATTGCGCCGCAGCTTGTCCAGCCAGGTGAGCTCCACCCCGCGAAGCGTGGCCGCGAAGGCAGGCAGAAGTGCGCGGAGACGCTGTGCCACCTCCGCATCCCCCACGATGTAGTCCAGGGCCGCTTCCGCCGCTGCCAACTGCCCGCGGACGGCCTGCAACTCCTCCACGCGCTTGGCCACGGCACGGTCAGCGGACCAACGCGCCCACGCCCGAGAAGCCCAGCGCCACGCCCGAGAAGCCCGGCGGGCCTCGGCAGAGCGCACTGGGCGGAGAAAGGCTCCGCCCTCCCGCACCATTCCCAAGTTCGTAACACCTCCAGCAGCAGCAAACCGGTCGCACATGACGAGCCAGCTTGAGCCCCGGGGGCGCGTCCGACGGCTTGAGCCAAAATGGCTACGGACTCCTCCTCCTCCTCCTCTTCCTCCTCCTCCTCCTCCTCCTCCTCCTCCTCCTCCTCCTCCTCCTCCTCCCCCTTCTCTGGTCCTTGAGGACCACCTGGTAAGGCTCGATGGAGCCGGGCTCCATCCCGGCGCCAGGGACCATGGACGCTGAGGCGTTCGAGCCGGCTCCTCGCGGCCAGGGCTCGGCCCCACGCGCCTCCTCCCTCCTTGCCCCTTGCCCTTCCCCCCCCCGCCCTCCTCGAGCCCCTCCGCCTCCTCCTCACCTAATTCTGTCTTCCTCCTCCTCCTCCTCCTCCTCCTTCTCCTCCCCCTTCGGTTGCTCCCTCTCCTCCCCCTCGCGTCTCCTCCTGCTCCTTATTCCCCTCCTCCTCGTTCTCCTCCTCCTCCTCCTCCTTCTCCTCCTCTACCTCCTTCCGCCCTTCCTCCCTCCCTCTCCATCCCTCCCTCCGCTGTCTCAGGAATTTCGGAATTTCATGTGTTGTGATTGTCCTCCTCGTCGTGTTGGTGGTGTGGCAATTTTTTCGCAGTGAAGTTTCCCAGTATGACCCGCTGTGTTGCAATTGAGCAGCTGCGTTCTGGTATTTGCTCCTCGGGATTGGTTTGGTGAGTCACGGTTAAGCAGGGACGCTGACTCTCGGAGTCGACGATCTTGTTTGGGAGCTGCACTATGCCGTATGGAAATTGGGGTTGCCCGATGACCAGTGCTGTTCTTAGTGCTGTAGTGGGCCGCGTCGAGTCTCCTTCGGTCCAGCTTGATTGCTTCAACTTCAACTGATTCATCGCGCAATTCTCGCTCGGAGCATTCTTCTGGAAGTCCTTCGGGCTCCGTGAGGTCTCCTGGGCTCTGTCTCCGGGTGTGTTGTGCTTTTCGCGGGGCCAACTCAGGGGCGCGCGCCCTGGAACCACCATGTGGCATAGCTCGGCTCTTCTCCCAAACTCGCCATCGCTCGGACGTCCACTCCCCGTGTATTTTTAGATTTCGTGCGTGTTTTTCTCGCTAAATGATCGAAGATGCTCCTCGATGGTCCTCGCCAAGAAAAAAAAGCACACGTCCGAGCGATGCCAAGCAAAGTCGAGCAAGAACGGGTTCGGACTGGCGGCGAACAGCGCTCCGCGTGCAGGGCGCCCCCGGACGACTGCCGACCAGGCCGAGCAGAGCCGCGCGGTGGGCCCCGCCGAGGCCCCCAGGGCAGTGGACATGCTGTGGCAGAGGGCCAGGAAGGTCTGGGGCAGCGCGCCTCTCGCCTCCCTCCCTCCGCCGCCCCTCCCTCCCGCCTCCCCCCTCCCCCCTTCCTCCACCTTCCCCGTCCATCCCTCCATCCCTTCCCCCCCCTGCGCCCTGCCTGCCCCCCCCCCCTCTGCCCTCCTCCCTCCGCCCTTCGCCGCTCCCCTCACCTCCCGTCCCGGTCTCCACTCCCCCTCCCCCCCCCCCCCGGGGGTACTCGGACGGCGCATAGACCCACACAGCACCAGCACACCCTTGCCGAGGCCAGGAGGGTCCAGATATTATCCCTGAGGAGGGCAGGAGGGCCCAGGATGGCCCTGGCCGGGCATGGTGGGGGTTTCTGGGTGCCTTCTGGGGGTGAGCTCCCCAGGCATCTGGCGGCCCTCAAAGGTCGACCCCTGTCCCTGTCCAGGGGCGCACTCTGACTAGAAGTTCGGGGAGAATCCAGCCCCAGCGTCAAAACAGTTCAGCGTGGAGGCTTCCAAAAAAGCCGAACCTCCACCCAAACAGCTCAGTATCGATCTTCCCTTTCTCCCCACTGCCCCTCGCAACTGGGCTGCGCAAGCACCTGGCGGCCCTAAACATCCGATGTCCTGATTTGTCCCAACTATCCTGTGTTGAGTTGGGTCCTCGTTCTGAATCACCGGCGCCGGGCGGCTTCCCTCCCTGCTCCCTCCTCTCGCCCACCACCCCACTTCGGCGGGGCGCCTCTCGCACACTTCGTAGCCCCATAGGGAGCTCCACCTGTGGTCCCAGTGGTTGCGCCTGCATGCCGCCACAACCCCACCTTGGCACACCCTTTCACACGTTTCGCGGCCCCATAAGAAGCTCCACCTACGGCCCAAGTGGTTGCGCTCGCGTGCCGCCACTACTTCACTGTGGCGCACCCCTCACACGTTTCGAAGCCCCATAGCGAGCTCCACCCAACTCTGGCGCCCGCATTCGGCCACCACCCCTCTTTGGTGCACCCCTCGCACGCTTCGGGGCCCCAGAGGGAGCTCCACCTAAGGCCGCAGTGGTTGCGCCCGCATGCAGCCCCCGCCCCACTCTGGCGTACCCCTCACACGCGTCGTCGCCCCACAAGGGTCTACACCAAACGCCCCAATGGTGGCGCCCGCATGCAGCCACAACCCCACTTTGGAATACCCCTCACAAGTTTTGTAAGCCCATCGGGAGATCTAAGGAGCCAATAGTTGCGCCCGCATGCCGCCACAACCCCACTTTGGCACACCCCCACACGTTTCGTGGCCCCACAAGGCGCTACAGCTAACGCCACAATGGTTGTGGCCGCATGCCCTCCCCACAAAACTTGAGCATACCGCACGCTTCGTGGCCAAATTGGGAGCTTCACTGCAGGCTCCTGCTGCAGAACATGTATGCGTGACCGCTGCTACTTCGGTACGCCCCTCCCATGTAGACCAATAGGAAGCTCCACCAAAGGCCACCTTGGCAGGATTCGCATGCGTAACCGTGCCCATTTCGGGACACCCCTCACACGTTCCGTTGCCCCTATGGGCAGCTCCGCCTGAGGCCATACTGGCTGCGTCCGCACGGGCCACCTAGGAAGCTCCACCGGATGCCCCAGTTGTAGACATGCCCATCTCAGCACACCCCTCACACGTGGCCCCATACGACTACCTACCAGACCACCCCAACCCAACCCGAAGACCCGAATTTGACCCGAATTTCGGATTGGGGGGGGTACGGGTCCCATGTGTTTTTATCATGCTCCCCGATCCCCCCCTCCCACTGAAAATGGAGGGCAAGTTGAAGCCTTCGGGTTGGGTTGGGGTGGATTGGTGGGTGTTGACCATGGGAAGCTCCACCGAATCCCCCAGAGACAGGACTCGCACGCGTGACCGTGCCCATTTCGGCACACGCCTCGCGCGCTCCGCGGCCCCCCTAGGGGAGCTCCACCGAATGCTCCGTCGGCAGAAATAATAGCGTGCGTGCCCGCGCCCTTTCTGGGCGCACCCCTCGCACGCTCCATGGCCCCACAGGGGCCCCACCAAAAGCCCCGCCGCCTCTGAAAGGGGCCCTGGGACACACAAATAAATACACACACAAATATCCGGATTCCCTATATTTTCCGATATTTTCTGGGTTTTCGTCGTTCTCCCCACTCCCCATATTTTCCCATCTTCTCCTGGGACTCGACGATTAATTGTGCCTGTGTGTTTTTTCTCCTCCTGATCTATGGCCCCACAGGAGCTCCACCAAAAGCCCCGCCGCCTCCTGCTCCTCGGACCGCGCCCTGCTGCTTCCAAGGCTGGGTTTAAGTCGGGCGTGTAGGGGGATTTTGGACGAAAAATAAAAAATATTCGAAACCTATCCCAAGATGCCCAAACAAATTCCAAAAATTGTCCCCATACTATTTGTTGACTATTTTGGAATATTCCCCCTGTAGAGGGACAGGCCCGACTTAAGGCTGAGTCGACAGCCGCTCAGATCAGCCGAGAGGGGTTACATCCAGATGTAACCCGTTGCGGCTGACCCCTGCGACCCGTTCAGCAACGTCGCTCAAACCATCTCGCTCGCGCCTTAGTCCTGTTGCTAGCCCCCTCCCTCAGTTTCCACCTGTCGTGCGGTACTCGCAGCTGCATCTGGATGGTTCCTTCGCCGGGCTGACCCTGCGCCCCTGCTAAACACAAGGTGGGTTCACAAACTTGGGGCTCGGGCGGATAACTCGCCGGCCCAACGGGCCAAAGGCGTGCTGAGCTATCTCCGGTACAGGCGGCCCGGATTAGTTGGTCGACCCTGCCAGATCAAGGGTACCCTCGTGTCCTGTGTCCTGCGGCCCATGCCTCCTGCATTTCTGTGGCAACGTGGCCCCCGGAAGGGTCTCGTGTCCTCTCGCGTGTCCTCTCCAATCAAGTCCGAGGGTAACAACCTTCGGATACTTCTGCCTCGCGCGCGCGCGGCTGCCTCAAAGGGATCCCTGGGCGAACCGTACCCGCTCGGGTTTCCCGGGCGGTCCCCGTCGCGGATGCCGGAACTTCGGGGGGCTGCCGTCCAGGCCTTCAAGAGCGTCTCGAGATCAGGCTCCCAAGAGCAGGAAGGAGGAGGGGGAGGGGAGGAGGAGGAGGAGGAGGGGAGGGGAGGGGGAGGGGGAGGAGAGGAGGAGGAGGAGGAGGAGGAGGAGGAGGAGGAGGAGGAGGAGGAGGAGGAGGAGGAGGAGGGGTCCACGAGGAGCAGGAAGCCCCGGAAGTCGCTCCAGGATGCCCAGGGTGGCCTCCAGGCGGCCTCAGCCGCCTCCGCGACGCCCGAAGAGGCCTCCCATGCCCCTCCAAAGAAGCCCCCTGGAGGCCACATTCGACGATTCCCATTGGTTTTGCAGGCTTTCAGCGTTCTCTCACCTTGTCGGCCGCCGACGCTCTAAGACGGCCCAAGAAGCCCCGAAGATCGCTCCAAAACGGCGTAAGAGGCCTCTTAGAAGACCCCATCACGCCCCAAGACGGCCCAAAGAGGGGGTCCGCAAGGAGGAATCCGAACGGGCATTTCGAGCCCTCGGCCCCAAGAGGCGTCCAGGCTGCCCCAAGCGGCCACCAAGAGCCCCCAAAGAGCGTCCAAGATGCCCCGAAGAGGCGCCAAGAGGGCCCCAAGAGGCATCCAAGGCGCCCTCAGAAGGCCCCCAAGAGCACCGAAAACTGCTACACAGGAGCCCCCGAGAACCCTCCGAAGAGACACCAAGAAGCATCCATGAGGACTCTCACCCATAATCGCAGCAGCGCCGACCAGCAACGCCGCATGGCCCACGAACGCACACGCAAACGCCAACGATGGCACAATGCGGGCCGGCGGAATGAACGAAGCGATTCAATCAATTAATCGTCCTGGCAACTAGTCACGAACGTGTGGAAGGGCTATGGGGTTCTTGCAGTATCATCTTTCCCAACTCACGAACGTGTGGCAGAGACATTGGGTTCTCACCATTTCAAATGAGAATCCCATGGCCCTGCCACACGTTCGTGAGTTGGAAAAGCTGAAACCGTGAGAATCCCATATCCCTGCCACACGTTCGTGATAGTAATGCTGCCCAGCAAAGGAGGATTGCAACTTCGATTCGGATTTTCCCCAGCGATCATGAGGTTCGGTCTCGCCGCCACTTTCCCCCGACCCACTCTGTCTTGGCCCGGGATAATCAGCTCTCAGGGGTTAGGTTCGGGGGGATGCTTTATCATCCGGGACATGAGTTTAATTTCACTTTGGGTCGCCTGAAGTCCCGACCCTGTTTTCACAGGGGCGCCCTGTTTTGCTTCCGAGTCATGTCTCAACGGTCCTCGAATATGTATATATATATATATATATTCGCACGAATATAAACATACACATACATACATGCACATATATATATATATATATATATATATATATATACACGTTTGACACTGCGCGGCGGTCCCTGAAATGCCCACTCTTCATCTGGGGCTGTTTTTGTTCGCCCAGACTTGTTTTTGATGACCCCTGGGACCGGTAACAGTCCAAAGGCCCAGATTGAAGAGAAACCGCTTGATGAAAAACGCATCGTCGGAGATCTGGGACGAAGGCCCTCCGAAAACGCAGATGGAGAAACACCCGTCGTCGATTGTTCTTTTGCTCACGACGCGGGCATGTCTGCGAACAGCGCTACCTGAGCGACGAAACTACAAGGGTACATCGCGTAGCGACCTTAACGCGGTGTCTTACGCGTGCCGCCAGCGCAGCACGCCACAGTGGAAAGAACGGACGCCCACGAGCGGCCTCACGCGGGAAACTTACGAGCGAATGTCCGCGTAGTCGACCTAACGTTTTGAAACCTCCCCAAAGGGGTCAGAGCACTTGGAATCGGAGGATGCATCGGCGACGTCGGCGATGCATCGCTGACGGCGGCGTGAAGCAAACGGGACCGACATCGACCCGCATCGCCGATACATCGCCGACGCGTTGCGATTGTTCGACCGCACCTACTCGGACCCCACTGCGGGCGCCTAGGGCGGTCGACCCCACAGTCTTTCGTGGCTCACCTGGCGATAGGTCGGGCCTGTCTCCCTACAGGGAGATCTGTGGGCGAATAATTCAAACTATTCCAAAAATGCTCCCCAAATGCTCAAACACAGTCGAAAAGTCGTCCCCAGACTGTGTTCTCAGACTATGTTTGACTACTCCTCCTGCAGAGGGACAGGCCCGACTTCTAACCCCAGCAATTCGTGGCTCCCCTGGCGGCTCCTTCGGCCAGGAAGACGGGCCTCTTCTTGAAGCAGTCGTTCTTGTACAGCGCGGGGCGCGGGGCGACGAGCGCCGCCCTCGGCGCCCTCAGGGAGGCGCCTGCGGGCACCGCCTGCATGCGCCGGCTCTCTCGCCGGGAGGGGAAGGATCCTCCACTTCCTCGCCACCTCCTCCTTTCTTGAGGGGGGGCCCAGGGACACGCAATATCAATAGACACAAATCCCAGGACTCCCAATAGTTTATGGGTTTTCGTCTTCCCCCCCACTTGCCAGATTTTCCCGTCTGTTCTGGGGGGATCGACGATTACTTGTGTCTCGTTGTTTCTTTCTCTCCTGACTCTTTTATCTACAATCGGCCAACTTTAGCAGCGGTGCTGGAGCGTTCTACTCCGGTGATCTCGCACAAAAGCGGGGGCCGACCCAGCGACGCGCGACACAAATTAAGATGACGACGCGAGCAGAGCACGGAACAAAGTAGCCGTCGGCTGGAGAGAGAAGTAGGGAAACCATAACAATAACACCCGCGCGAATAACAAGAGAAGGCGAACAGGAGGGACGAAACTACACGTGCACAGCATCTACAACAATTCGGAAGCAGGACCGCTTAAGGCTTGTGAGGTACCATCGCGGGCCAGTGCCACGTGGGTAAGCCACGTCGCTTGAGCATCCACCTTCGCTCCACCAATCCACTACCGCGTCCCCCACTGTAGTGGGGTCGCGGTTGAAGAACAGAACAGGCGACGGTTTGAAATCAAGGTGGAAATGGGTATGTCCTCATCCTCCCCTTCGTCCTCGTCCTCGTCCTCGTCGTCCTCCTCCTCCTCCTCCTCCTTCTCCTCCTCCTCCTCCTCCTGCTGTTCCTCCTCCTCCTCCTCTTTTCTCCTCCTCCTGCTGCTCCTCACGGCCTGTGCCCTCTGGGCTGCTTGGGCCAGGGCCAGCGCAGCCGGGGACGAGTGGTTTGAATCTGAAGCCCCTGTGAGGCTGGCTTCGGGGGCGCGTTGGTGGCGCTTGGACTGTGCCCAACCCCACCGGTGCGGCCACCACCCTCGGTCAAATGTCCGTGTTGGGGGTCTGGTGGGATCTTCCCTTCGCTTCCCTCCCTCCGGAGTCGTCATCCTCCTTCTCCTTCGGGTTCCTTCGGGTTCAAGAACACTTGTCCCACTTGTTGAAGCAATTGCCGCTCTCTCTGACGTGATCTTTTCTCACGACGTGGCTCCCAGGAGGCCTGGACTCTTCCCGCAGGACGCCGCGTCGTGCTCGTGCACAGCCCCCTGCGCCCAGCGGGGGCCCGGAAGCAGAAAGCGTGCCCAAACCTCCCGCCGCGATTGGTGCACGCCGCAGAGAGGTCTGGGCCCTCCTCCCTGTTCCTCCCCCTCCTCCGCCCTCAGACGAAGCAGGCCGAGGACACATTCGGGCGAGGACGAACCCAAGATCTCGGAGAGCCCGCGGCTCTGCCGGGGCGCCGCGGCCTTCTCGGGGCCTCCTGGAACGCGCCGAGAGCGTCCCAAAACGCTCTGGAACGGATTTGGCCTCGTCCTAGCCCCGTCCGGCTCCCTCCTCCTCCTCCTCCTCTTCCTCCTCCTCCTCCTCCTCCTCCTCTCCTCCTCCTCCTCCTCCTCCTCCTCCTCCTCCTCCTCCTCCTCCTCCCCCTCCCCTCCTCCTCCTCCTTCCTCCTCCTCCCCCTCCTCCTCCTCCTCCTCCCCTCCTCCTCCTCCTCCTCCTCCTCCTTCGCCTGCCTCCTGTGGGGGAACGCCAAGGGGGAGGGAACGGCTCCGGGGGGGGGGGGGGAACATCGGGCCCGGATTCGGCGACACCTCGTCCATCAACTGGCGATCGCCGCGAAGACGCACGCTCCTGGGCGGAGTGGGCTATCGGGCCCCCTAGTGGCGATCATTGGGCAGTTGGGGTCGATGCGTCCCTCTCGGAGCCAATCCCCGTCAATGAACCTCGTCGTCTGGCTTGTGGGGCATAACTCGGAATCCACAGCGGACTCACGCCGGTTACGTTAGACCCCCGTCGGAGTCACATCGGCCTTGCGTCGGAGCATCGCTGCAAGAAGGACGTCGACCCGAACCTTCTGGAGCGGACGTGTGGACTAGGTGATACAACTATTGCGCGCCGCGCGAGGGTTCCAGGATGTTCCTCCCTCTACTCGTCAACAAGCGGGGGGGACCGGCTCAGGGGGAGGGGGAGGGGAACCTCGGCTCCAGGCGCCCGAGGGCACGGAAGCGGCGGAAAACCTTGGGGCCCGTTTCCCTCAGGACCTCTTTCCCCCACGGCGGCCCCTCCCTCGACTACAGGGCAATTTCTAATACATAGGATTCTTAAACATATAGAATTCGTATACCTGATTAATCTATGAATGAATTTATGCATGAACTCATCGTTGTTTTTAAGACTACATCCTGGCATTTTTAATACATGATCCGCACACAAAGCATGAATTAAAAACGGCACTGTATACTCAAGTCGGGCGTGTCCCCCATACGGGGGGATTGTGGACGAAAAACAACAAATATTCAAAAAATACTGAACAGATGTCCAACAATACTCAACAAATAATCCCTAGACATTTTTTTACTATTCTTGCATATCCCCCCTGTAGAGGGACAGGCCCGACTTAAGACTACACGCAAGAGTGACCCTGGGCAGGAGTGGCCTCCGGCGCGCGGCTCTTGGGGGCGCGACCGAAGCCAGACACACAAGGGCGCAGGACGCCCCTACACCGCACTGCATACACGGAGCAGACCTCTGTTGGGCCAGGCGAAAGGGGTGGATAGCGAAGGGGGGGTTTGAGAATCAGCTCACGGAGCTGATTTTCCTGGCGCCGGGAGGCGCCGGGAGGCGGCCATGCATGTATCGAGGCATGGGCCCCTCGGTAGGGGCCGAAACCAGCTGTATGCAGCAACTTTCGTGACCCCCCCTTTCCCAATCCCCACCTTTCGTCCGGCCCGACTCTGGCGAAAGCTCACCCTTGGCCGCGCACCAACAGGTTCCTCCGGCGAAAGCTCAGGCGCACTCTGACGTACAACCGGCTCCCTCCCCTCCTCCCTCCCTCCCTCCCTGCACTTACCAGCCTGGAACATATCCCGATCCCTAAGCTGGGCATCGCCTCCTCGCGATGCCAATCTTAGGGATTCCCTTAGTTCTTCAGGGCGCATCCCTAAGATTATCATCGCCTTTTGGCGTGCCAATCTTAGGGATGGGGATAAGTTCGAGACTGGTGATCCACGGCCCGCTCGCGCCGGCCTTCGCGGGCTTCACGCGGGCGCCGTGGGCCCCGGGCGCGGAGAGGCACAGCGCCAGGAGGCACACCAGGCGCGGCGCGGCCTGCTTCATTCTGCGGCGGAGGGAGTCCTTGGACGCCGGGGTTGTCACGAGGGCTGCGGCGAGGTTCTCGGGCCAAAGGGGCGGCCGCGGAAGGCACAGACGTACACAGGCATGCAGGTGTGGGGGCCTCCCAGATGAGGACGGAGCAGATGGGGTCGGAGGACCTTCCCGCATCGCCGATGCATGGCGTTGCATCGGCAGCGTCTGCGCTGCAGCGGCGGCGCCCGCGTGGAGAAGATGGGGCTCCACATCGAGCCGCATCACCGATGCATCGGCGATGCGGCGCGATCCTCCGACCGCATCCACTCCGACTCCATCTGGGCGGCCTAGTGTAGCGGGCTCTCTGGATCTGGCATCCAGGACGCTCTTTGAGGGAGGGGGATGCGAGGGGGCGCATGGGGGCGGGGAGAGAGGCGAGGGCGAGGGGACGGACGAGAGGCGGGAGGATGGGGGGTGAAGGGGGTTGGAGAGGAGGGGATTCCGCTTCGCACACCTCCTCGCCCTCTCCTTTTATCCCCCTCTCCCTCCACCGCCTCCACATCCTTCAACCTCTTCTCCTCCTCCTCCTCCTCCTCCTCCTCCTCCTGTCCCTCCCTCGATTTTCTCCTCCTCCTCATTACTATATTCCTGTTCCTCTTTGTTCCCCTCGTGGCCTCCTCTTGGGGCCGTCTCGGGGTCCTCTCGGGCTGTCCTGGGCGCCTCCGGCGCCCTCTTGGAGCCCTCTTGGGCCGTCTTGGGGCCGTCGTCGGGGCCTCTGGGGCTGCCTCGGAGCGGACACTGGGGCCGCTTGGGCCGTCGTGGAGCGTCGGGAAACTGAAAGAGAGAGTGAGAACTCGAAAATCCTTCACGCATCAACGTAAAATCAATGATGTTTGCCTCCTGGGGCTCCTTGGGAGGCATCTTGGAGGCCTCCTGGGGCGTCTTGAAGGCCTCTTGGACATTCAGGGGCCAATTCTGGTGCAAGCTCGAGCCATCATGGATCGTTGTCGTGGTCTGGAAGCGCCATTTCTGGCGGTCCGAGGACGTCTTCGGGCGATCGGAGATAGCCCCCGGCGCCCCGGCAGGCCCCCTGGTCCTGCCATGTCATGCCGGGGACCAGGCCCCCGGCGACCGGGCCTCGTGCCCCATTATAACTGAATAGAATTAATTAGATTTAGTTGTGTGTGCACATATATATATATATATGTATATATATACACATATATACTATTCACATTCATAGTAGTACAAACATATCGATATATATATATACATATATATATATATATATATATATATAACAACACACAGACGTGCTTGTGTGTACGTGTGTATGTGTGTATGTGCATATATGTACATGTCTGTCTGTCTGTCTGTCTGTCTGTCTGTCTGTCTGTCTGTCTGTTTGAATGTATGTATGTATGCAGGCAGGCAGGCAGGCAGGCAGGCAGGAAGGTAGGCCTGTAGTTACATAGATGGTCGTAAATATAGGCATGTGTACACACATACATATATATACACACATATGGTCCAAACCATGTGGGGAAAGCCATGGTCCGAGCCGCGTTGGGCAAGCCATTGGTGCAAGCCATGCGCCCGCCCACGGGGGCGCCCGCGAAGCGCCCAGCCCGGCGGGCACCGGGCGAAGCCCTGGCGGACCCGCCCAGCGCACGGGGCGCCCGCGAGGCGCCAACGACGGGCCACCGGCCAGACAGCAAGCGACATTCCAGCACGACCGTCCAATCCCAGACGTCGGGCGTCTCGAAAATTCGAGGCGGAAATTTTCTTCTCCGTTTTTGGCCTCTCGTGGCCCTCGCCGGGCCTCGGGACCGTCAAAAAACGACTCGGGATGGAAAACCGGTCCCGTGGAAGTGGTCGGGAGGTCGGGGGCCCGCGTCTCAAACAAATCGAGACGTCGGATGTCTGGGATTCCTTGGGCAGCACGAGCAAGGACCCCTAAGTGCAGGCCTGCTTTGGGAGTTGCGACCCTCCTCCGCATCATTCTCCTCCACCTCCTCCTCCTCCTCCTCATCCTCCTCCTCCTCCTCCGTCTGACGTCCTCGTCTCGTCTTGGCTCCCTGTCAACCTGCTCCCCTTGTAAGTAGGATGACCACCCCAGCTTGGAGGGGTAGCACAAGGAGTGGAGGCGGTGGCGTACATGCGTTCTGGCATCTTCGCCAGGCACCCTCCTCCCCCCCTCCCTCCTGCGCCCACGGCGGGTGGCGAAGGCGGTAAGCCATGCGCCACCCCACCGAGCCGCACCAACAAAGAACTCGTCTCGTCGCCCACGCCAGCATTGCATCAACCTGCGCCTCTTCCGCCTCCACCCTCCCTCCTGCGCCCTCCTGCCCACGCCTGAAGGGAGGATCTGCTCGCTGGCCACAGTGGCGCTCCCGAGCATGTCGTCCGCCTTCCCCACGTCCCTGTCCTAGGGGGGCAAGGACGGGGATGCGTAGGAGGACGACAATCCAAAGCCGAAGAGCTCAGGCAGGTGGGGCACATATCCAGCTCCAGAGGTGGGAGGGGGATCCGTCCTCCCCCATGCCCCCGTATCTCCACCTCCTCCTCCTCCTCCTCCTCGTCCTCCTCGCCCCGCTCGTCCTCCCCCTCCTCGTCCTCCCCCTCCTCCTCCTCCTCCTCCTCCTCCTCCTCCTCATCCTCCTCCTCCTCCTCCTCCTCCTCCTCCTCCTCCTCCTCCTCCTCCTCCTCCTCCTCCTCCTCCTCCTCGTCCTCCTCGTCCGCAACGTCCTCTTCGTCCCCCATGCCTGTCCTCCTCCTGCTCCTCCTCCACCTCCTCCTCCTCCTTCTCGTCGCCCCCCCCGTGCGGCTCCCACGCGCAAGGGTGGGAAGGTGGGCGTTTTGGCGGAGGGGGGGGGGCAGGGGAGGGAGGGGAGAAGGAAGGGGGAAGGAGGAGGGACGGAGCGAGGGAGGAGAGAAGGGGAGGAAGGAGGAGGGCACCTGGCCAGTGCTCGCCTTCGCGTGATTACCAGGTCGTCGCGGGCTCGCTCGGCGTCAGGGGGCGGCGCGCATGGAGGGCGAGAGGGCACGCGGTCCGCCAGGAGGAGGAAGGAGGAGGGGAGGAAGGAGGAGGAAGGAGGGAGGAGGAAGGAAGGAGGGAGGAGGAAGGGGAAGAGGAAGGAAGGAAGGAAGGAGGGAGGAGGAGGAAGGAGGGAGGAGGAAGGAGGGAGGGGGGTTTCGGTCGGTCGGTTGGTTGAGTTGACTAGTTGGTGACCTCCCAGCGAGGTGGCATCCAGGGACTGCGGGCTCAGTGCCTTCGGTGGCGAGCTGCGGGGCCCAGCGGGCGGCTGGCAGCAGCCCCGCCACGTCGTCGGCCCAGGGATGGACGTGATGACCACTCTCGAGGAGAGGCACGGGCAGAGAGAGAGAGAGGGGGAGGAACGAGGACTCACGCGCCAGCGTGCCCAGCCCCGCTCCCCTCCCCGACCCCCCATGTGCGGAGGAGGGACACGCCCAAGCCCGGAAGACGCACGCGCTACACTGGGCCTCCCTGGGGAAGGGGGCATTAGCGGCCCTCCGGCAAGGATCCTCGCCCGGTCTCAGCTCCGTCCAACGCCAGCTCACGAGGCAGGCGCGAGGCTAACAGGACGGAGGGAGAGAGGATCAGACATGGAGGGGAGGGATATTTTCCAGGAGAGGGCCGCCTTCTGCTCCAGGGTTCATCCTGGCGAGGCTGCCTCGCAGAAGCCTGCATCACCTGGCGACGTACTCGGCAGGACACGGGCGCATTCTTCCCTAGAGACGGGTTGCGCTCTCCCCCGGGCCTGCCAGAAGGCTGCATGCATCGGCCGTGTGGCTCCGCATGGAACGTAGGGCTGCAGACGGCCTCCTGGCAGAGGATGCAACGTCAAAGCCTCGCCAACGAGTGGCGCCCGTGCGCGCGTGAGCAGGATGAGGCGGCACCGAAGCCTTGACCGTGCACGTGGACCCCGCAGGTCTTCCCGTGGCGATGACACATCCGTGGCTCTCCAGATGTCGCCCCGCGGGATACAGCCCAGCAAAGACGGGGGGACAGGCCACACGTGCTCTTGCAAACTCTGCTGCCAGCCTCCCGCGACAGCGAGCCTCCACGAGCGACCAGCCGCACTCCTCGTACTGCACCCCGGGTGCCTGCTCCTGCCGGCGCGCGCCCACCCCCGCCAGCCTGGCAGACCCCAGGCAGCGAGAAGGGCCACCGAGGGCCTCTGGCCCCGGTGGCGCCTGCGGCCACATGTCCTCGGACGCAAAACTGCGTCGTGCAGTCCCCGGCGGCGGGGAGGACCCACGTCGGGATGCCACATTGAAGGCCGCCCTGCCCGAGCCGGAAAGCACCCAGCCCAGCTCCGCAAGCTGGAACGGCAGGACGAAACAAAGGGAGGAGTCCAGTCCCCCTTCCCCTCGAACACCCCGGCAGCTGCGGCCATGGGGAGAGGCCCGGTGCTGAAAAGCCCGGTGAGCTCTGCTCCCTGCGCCGCCGCTGCCCCCAAGCGTGCAGACAGCACGCATTCTAGCGTTGAGGCCACCTTGCCACCGGAGCCCCAACCCGCGGTGCGCAGTAGAAAGCTGTATCGGCACTGGTGCTCGCCCTCCTCCTCCTCCTCCTCCTCCTCCTTCTCCTCCTCCTCCTCCTCCTCCTCCTCCTCCTCCCTGCAGCGGCAGGCTCCACCGAGCTGCCTCGGCCGCAGCAGCTCTCAACTGCGCCGCGCCGTGGGCGACCACGGCGTGCTTGGAGGATTTCGTGTGCGGACGCCCTGTCTGGCGGACGCCTAATCGGCGAGTGCCTGCTGAGCACGCCGCGTCAGCGTGTCGTCAGCGTGTAAAACTGCGGATGGACGCCAGGGCGCCATGAGATCTGAAGTCGAGAGCGCAAACACTTCAAGATCTTCGTCAGCCCCGATGGAACAGGGGTTGGGGATGCCGAGAGCCGGAGCGCAATGCCTTCAGCAACTACACTGTGCGGCAGTCATCCGGCATGCCAGCCCCTCTCCACGAGTACTGCGCCCAGGCGCAAGGTATTGCCACTTCGATCCCTACTCCGCACCCCGCCTCTAGGAAAGACTGTGTAAGTGTATCCGTGTAGCCAATACCTGACCGACGCGACGCTTCCACTGAATATAGGTTCGCCTTCCCATCGCCTAGCGCGAAAAGTCGTGACCGATGGGAGAGGCTGGAGTTTGAACACTGTGAACGGAGAGTGGGGTGAAGAGGGGGGGAGAAGGAAGATGAGAAGGGAGGACAGGTGAGAGGAGGAAGGAGGGGAGAGGGCGAGGGGACAGGGGAACAGGCGGAGGAGGAGGGAGGAAGGAAGATGAGGGAGAAGGGGGGAGCGGGGAGGAAATCGAGAGGGATGCGAGGGGAGGGGAGAGGTCTGGAGAGGACTTCCCTTTCCACGGCCCGTGAGTGAAGCGGCCCGATCGCCGACGCCACAGCCTGGCGCACTGCCCCCCCATGGTCAACGACACGTCACACGAGCGCCCGCGGGGTCCCACAGTCGCGCTTGACGCTGGACTTACGTCGGGCCTGTCCCCCTACCAGGGGGATTTTGGACGAAGCACAAAAACTAGTCAAGAGATGACCCACAATGGCAACAAAATGCTAAAAAAAACGTCCCCCAAAGGGCAGAACATACCCCAGACTAGTCAGAAGAAACCCCCAAACTGGCAAACCAAATGCTCAAAACATCGTCCCCATAAGATGTGTTTTGGCTATTTTTGACTAGTCCTCCTGCAGAGGGACGGGTCCGACGCGACGCTGGACGCGCAATGGTGCCGCAGGGAGGCGACGCGCGCAGCGTGCGGAGCCCCCGAGGGAGGCACGGAGAGCGCGGGAGGGGGGCAACGGTTCAGATGCTCCGGGTCCCCTTTGAGGGCCTTTTTGAGGATTCATGGGAAATAGCCCAAACTGGTCTTTTCAAATACGATTGCATTTGTCCCCACGATACTCATTGTCTTTTGGATTTCGGCGAGATTAGTCCCCCCCGTGCCGCTGCCGCAGCGAACGGAGGCACGGAGCGAGCGCTGTCTGGGGCGAGGGCCCCTCCGCGAGCTGCCGGGCAGCAGACGCGCGTGGCGAGAGGTCTTGCCGCGAGATATAAGGCAATTTTTTAAACAGAAATGATTTTTAATAATGATTCATGCTTGTTTTTAATACTAAACTCCTGTATTTTATACATGATCCGCACGCGGAGCATGTATAAAAAACGGCACTGTACCGTCAACCCGTAGAACAAGGATGGGCGGTAAAGGTGCAAGGGCCTTGGAGTGGCACGTTAACGCTTTTCGAACGAGGCTGGCCAGCCAAAGCGCCCCAAAGGATGGACCGAGGAGGCAAGGATGCAAGGATACCCTTGGGAAGGGTGCCCGTCCTTACTATGCGGGTTACTTACTATCCAGCAGACACGTGCGGCGAGAAGTCTTGCCACGAGATACCATGGTTAAGTCGGGCCTGCCCCCTTACAGGGGGATGTTGGATGAAACCTTTGTTTTAAACAATCTAGCAAATGCTCAAAGATGCCCCCAAGTAATCAAAACATTATCCCCAGACTATTTTTGGAACATTCCTCCTGTAGAGGGACGGGCCCGATCCTTAATACCATGGGGCGCACTCTCCGTCGATCCCTGCGGGTCCGAAGGGGCCCCCCGGCTCTTCCGTGGGCCCCCCGCGGGCCCAGGAGGAGGACAGGAGCTCCCCGCAGAGCACCTGCTTGTTGGTGGGAGGCGGCCGGGGGGTCTGAACTGGCTGGGGCCCCGGAGTTGGAGGCCTGGAAATGGGCACCAACACCAACAGGGGGTGTTGCCCTCACAGGGGGAGGATGAACCTAGCTTTCGGTGTTGGTGGTACTATGTCGGTCACCTTGCGAGCCAGAATATTACCACCGTCACCGAGGTCGGGGTCCTCTTCTTGCGGTGGAGGAACACCGCCGATATTGGTGTTGGTGTCAACCTCCAGGCCTGCGACAGAGAGTCGATCAAGAGAGAGGGGGGGGCGAAGCCAAGTCCGCTCGAAATCGGTCCCAGGACTCCTCCCTGGGTCCATCTGGTGAGCGTTTCACTTCGGATCCGGTTTTGACGGTCCTCCGGGGCCGGAAACCGGCCCCCAGAGGTAGAACAAAATTCAAAAACACCCTCGAACCCAGAACCTCGAACCTAGCCCCCCTCCTCCTGCTCGCCGGAACCAATGCTGGGCCCCCAACCTGCTCCAATTCGCTGCACTGCACGGCAGCGCGAGCGGGCTGAACGGCGTCGGCCCTTCGACGGGCCGCCAGCACACGGAGGCGGCCGCGCCACTGTCTCGCTACGCAGGGCGTGGCGCGTGGGCTGCTGCGCGCTCTGGCCCGTGCAGCCAGCGGCGGACCAAGTCCACAGCACCCGCTCGCGCGCACCTCGCTCGCCCCTCCTGTGGAGGCCTGCCAGATGGGTCGGAGTGTCGGCGGGGTCGGAGGATCGCGCCGCATCAGCGACGCATCGCTGATGCATCGGCGGCTTGGGCGATGCACCGCCGACGTGAGCATGGAGCAAAATCGGGTTCATCATCAAGCCGCGTCGCCCATGCATCGGCGATGCGGCGCGATCCTCCGACCCCATCTGGGTTCCGACCGCACCTGGGAGGACCAGATCATGTTGGCGGCGCGCACAGAGTAGGGGGAGGGGGGAAGGCTTCTCAGAAGCCAGCCGCTTCTTAGAAGGCGCTGGGCCTTACATCTATGGACAAGGACCGCACCTTCTGAGAAGCAGGGGTGCTTTTAAGAAGCCTTCCCCCCTCCCCCTACCCCTACCCCTGGGAAACCCAGCATCGAATCGGTAAGTCGGATCCGCAATCGAAATGAATCGGATCGGCGGAAATCGGCAGCCCAGCCGGGAAAAGTCGAATCGGCGGAAATCGGCAGGCTAGGAGACATCGGAGCCCAAGTCGGAATCCGAAATCGAATGGAATCGGAATCGGAGGCCATCGACATCCAATCGGATCGGCTCGGAGGAATCGAAAGGAGCCCCGTGACCCCGCTCTGCGCGTCGCCGCTCATGCCCGAGGCCCGCTGCGCAGACCTGGCTCCCGGAGACCCCCGTCGAGCACCGCGGGCGCCGTCTCTCCGAGCCGCGGGAGCGCCGGCGGTGCGTGGCGAGGAGGGGGCTCCCTCGAGAGGGCAAGGCGAGGCGGAGCGGGAGCGCGCTCCCAGAGTAGGCAGCACAAGCGTGCGCTCGTGGAAGAAGCACCTCGGCGTGCGCCGAAGGGCCCTTTCGAGGAGGAGGAGGACGACGAGGAGGAGGAGGAGGAGGAGGAGGAGGAGGAGCAGGAGCAGGATGGAGGAGGAGTAGGAGGATGAAGAGGAGGAGGATGAAGAGGAGAAGGAGGACGAGGAGGAGTAGGAGGAGGAGGAGGAGGAGGCGTGTGGAATCGACACGACGCGCTTCTGGACTTGGACGTGTCAACCTTGCGCAATGGCCATGCTCATCTTCTCTGTGTCGTTCGAGTGTCAGCATGTGGTCGCCGTAGGAAATGTTCGAGGAGGAGGAGGAGTGGGCTGAGGAGGAGGAGGAGGAGGAGGAGGACGTCAAGGCTGTCAGAGTCCTCTCTCCGTACTTTTTCCCATGGCCCTCGTGCGTCAGCCAGGCGCATTCTCTTGCACACCATTCAGATCAAGCTCGAACCCCTACATCTCGTTTGCTTCGTCGTCGCTCGTCCACTGTTGGTTCTCGGCCCCTTTTCCCCCTGACACTTGCCTCACCCCCTGGCGCCACCATGGCCCCCCTGGCCCCCGCCCCCTCTTGACAACCGTCGTTCGTCGCCGGCCCTGCTGGCACTGGCCCCATTGTCCCCCTCGATGCCCTGGGCCCTGACCGCCCCAGCTCCGGACCCCCCCCCCCTCGAGTGGCGCGAAACACTGCAGGGGGAGAGAAGCACAAGAGCGGCAAATGTCCATGATAGTGAAGTCGAGCTCATCGCCGGGCACAAAGTCCTGCAAGATGACCTCATAGTTCCAGACCTCGAAGGCACACTTAAAAGTCGCGTGCGCTCTACTCGCCAGGGCTGCGTGAAAGTGGCAAGCCAACCAGCCGATGCCTGCGGCGAGGAGGTTCGTGACTGCGGGCGCTTATAGACGATCCGCGTGGCTTCTCACAGATGGCCTGGTCGTGCTCCCGATGAAGCTTGGCCCACTCGAGAGGGTTGGGAGGGGAGGGAGAGGGGCAGTGGGTGAATGAGGGAAGGGGGAGAGGGTTCATGAGGGATGGGAGAAGTATCCCCTCCTCTCCCTATATTCCCTGTTCTCCCTGCCTCCTCCCCCCCTCCTCCGAGGCCTCCGAAGGTAGATGGAAGCCTCTGGAGACTCGAAAAGGATAGAGAATATCTCCAAACATTGATACTCTCTCCTTTGGTCCTATCCCATCTCCCCCCTGCCTCCTTCTCCCGCCGCTCTTTCCTCATCCAGCTCCACCACCTGTCGAGAGTGGCTCGGCTGAGACCCCTTCTCCCCCTCCTCCTCCTCCTCCTCCTCCTCCTCCTTCTCCTCCTCCTGCTCCTCATTACTTATTACTCCTTACTCCTTACTCCGCCTCCTCCTCCTCCTCCTCCTCCCCACTCGTCTTCTCCTCCATCCCTTTTTCCCTGTGTAAATCCCCCCTGCCGTCGCCCTGAAGATATATAAAACAAACTGCGGGTACAAAAATGGAGGACTGGCCCTGTCCGTGAATGTGTTACGCAAAAACTCCTGCCCACCTGATCGCCTTGAACGCTTCAAACCGTTGTTCCCGCTGCAGCACCCGCCTCATTTCAGGGTCGGCGCCTTCTCGCCGTTCAAGAATGGCGCCCCCTCGCCCCACCCGCACGGACTACATCTGTGCTCGAGTGCTTCCTCGTCTCGGCGGCGCGCACGAGGGTGCAGGAAGGAGGGGAGAACCCTTCCTGGAAGGAGGCTGCTAATTACTTAGAAGGCGCCGGGCCTTCCGCCCAGAGGCAAGGCCCGCGCCATCCAAGAAGCAGGGGGGGTTCTAAGAGGCCTTCCCCCCTGCCCCGACCCCCCTGCGCGCTTGGCCGATCAGCGTTGGCGCCCCCATTCCTTTCCCCTCTCCCGCCTTCTCCCGGTCCTCCCTGCTCCTCCCGCCCCTCCTGCTCCTCATGCCGCTGCTCCTCCTCGTCCTCCTCCTGGCACGTTCTCATCTCCTCCTCCAGTGTCTACCGCTCCCGCAGTCCAGCTAGCGCCACCAAAACAGAAACGGTGGGGTCCTTTGGGGGCGCCTAGGTCCCCCACGACACCCGTCGGCGCATGGAGAGAAGCTCTCGGCGCGGGGGGGAGAAGATCAATGGCGCGAGCGCACCTGGCCTGCATCCCTCCTCCCTCCCCTCCCGCCCCCCTCCTGCCCCCCCCTCCCTCCTCCCTCCCTCCTCCCGCCCCCCCTCCCTCCTCGGAGCGAGGGGCGCTCTCTGAGCCGCGGACCGGGTCCAGGGTGTCCCTCTCGGTCGGCGTCTGAAACCTCGCGGCGGGCTGTACCGCCCCGTCCCGCCCACCCGCTGCGGCCCTGCATCGCAGGGGGCCCTCGAACCCCTCCTCCTCCTCCTCCTCCTCCTCCTCCTCCTCCTCCTGCCCCTGATCCTCCGCCTCCTCCTCCTGCTCCTCCTTCTCCTGCCCCTGCTGCTCTTCCTGCTCCTGTTGCTCCTCTTTTCCTCCCCCTGCATCCTCTTCTCCTCCTCCTGCTCCTCCTCCTCCCTCCTCCTGCTCCTCCTCCTCCTCCTGCTCCTCCTGCTCCTCCTCTCCTTACTCCTCCTCCTCCTCGTCTTCCTCCTCATCATCCTCCTCCCTCGTCCTCGTCCTCGTCCTCCTCCTCCTCCTCCTCCTCCTCCTCCTCCTCCTCCTCCTCCTCCTCCTCCTCCCCCTCCTCTAGATCTGGACACCCCTGCTCCACGACGCCGCCACCGACGACGGCGATGCCGCTGACGACGCCGGCGCCGACGACGCCGCCCCCGCTGACGACGGCCGGCTGCCTAGTGTGCGGCTTGCCCCGTATCTCGCAGACGCAATACGGGTCCGAAGCGCCGCTGCCGGGCAACCAGTCCTCGCGGCGGCCAACGTCCCTCTTCGTCGTGGTCGTGCTCGTCGCTGGAATCCCCAAATCGCCGACGATGAGATTTAACAATCGGCTGTTTTTCCTTGATTCGGGCCTCCGGGGGCCGTTCGTTATGGGGGCCCGGCACCATCCACAGCTGATCCAGGGGCTCCTAACTTCGCGCTTCCCGCTGCGCGAAGCGCGAACAACTTCGCGCTCTCGCGCCGCCCCCAAAGGGGAGAAGAGGAGGACGAGGAGGAGGGGGAGGAGGAATGAGGCCCGCGAAGCGCGAAGCGCGACGAACTTCGCGCCCTCGTGGGAGCCCATGTGATCTGGCACGAAGCTAGAACCCTGGACAGAGGGGTCCGCACTTCTGGGGCCGCGGGTCGGACCAGACAGATCGGCGGAACCAAGGGTCGTCGTCGACAGCATCGGCGACCTCGTCGTCGTCGTCGTCGTCGTCGTCGTCGTCGTCGTCGTCCTCGTCGACGACGTCGTCGTTCAGCGCCGCCGCCGCCGCCATCATCAGGCCGCGAAGGGGAAGAGCGAACGGGATGGAACGGTTCGCCGTGGGCGCCCGCGGGTCAGGAGGAACGTGTAGCATGGCACATCTGTGCTGGATTTGAAGTGAAAACCTCCCCCTGGACCTCCTCCTCCTCCTCCTCTTCCTCCTCTTCCTCCTCCTCCTCCTCCTCCTCCTCCTCCCCCTCCTCCCCCTCCTCCTCCGAGGACGCGGGGGGGAGGGAGGGCACAGGAGCCCCCCCGGGGGGGCACAGGGGAGGCCAGCGGGCCCCAGAGTGAAAGTCCCCCGTGGCCCTGGGGCACACAAAGAAATATACACAAATAGCAGGATTCCCCATAGTTTCCCATATGTTATGGGTTTTCGTCTTCCCCCCCCACTTCCCATAGTTTCCCACCTTTTCCTGGGAGTCGACGATTCATGGTGTCTGTGTGTGTTTTCCCCCTCCGGAACTTCATCAAACAATGCCGATGTGCATCCTTGCCAGACTCGCAGCCACCAAATCCCACCAGCCCTCTGGGCGTAAGTGTTCTAACGAGTTTTGTCTCTTCTCTGCCAAAACCCTTCCTTCGCCCGCTTGGGGAAGGGCTTATCACTGCTCCCTACATATATATATATGAATATATATATATATATATACCCTCCCCCAGGCGACCGGCGGCCAGCCAGGAACCATGCTACCCCCCCCCCACCACCATCCCTGTCCAACAAACAATACAACACGCACTCTGCCTCCACATTTGGAGCATGCGCGACCAACCCGATGCGCCCCCCCCCCCATCCTTGTCAAACATACGACTCAAAGTACACTTTGGGGCATAGTCTTGAGTCATGTTCGTGAGGCCCGCGAGTACTTCGTATTGATGTTGGCACGGACGGCGGGAGTGTCAGCATATTGCCTGCTGTGCGCAGGGCTATCATTCCTCACAAACAAAGAACAACATGCACCTCGCGGCTAAATCTGGATCATGCGCGGCCACCCTGCGATCACTGCCAAATGGCTTTTGGCAGGGACGGCGGGGGTGGTGGCGTATGGCCTGCTGTGCGCAGGCCCACCAGACACAATGATGGGCATTGGTTTTCGACAAGGAGGGTGGGGGCTGGCCTGTTTCCCGATGTGTGCTGTCACGTGCGCAAGCGCACCTGACACACCCTGCACGTACCCCGAACGTGGCGCACCTGGCGCAGCTGGAGTATGCGGCACACGTGGCGCACGTGGGAGGGCGGGGGGTAGTGAGCTAGACGGCGTGCTATTCAGGGGGTGTCTTGATCGCTGTTCCCTATCAATCTACACCCCCTCCCCCACCCGGCCAGCGGCCAAGCGGGAACCATGCCGACCCCAGGCAGGCCACCCCCCCCGCCATCCATGTCAAATCAAAATGCAAAGCGCACTCTGCCTGCACATTTGGAGCATGCGTGGACAACCCGATGCGGCTCCCCCCCACAATCCCTGTCAAAACAAAAAAAAATACACTGTGGGGCAAAATCAGGCCCGCGAGCACGATGTATTGATTTTGACAGGGACGGCGCGGGTGTCAGCATATTGCCTACTGCGCGGAAGGCTACCATCCCTAACAAAAAACAACACAACATGCACGTCGCAGCTACATCTAGATCATGCGCGGCCATCCTGCGATCACTGCCAAATGACTTTTGGCAGAGACGGCGGGGGTGGTGGCGTATGGCCTGCTGTGCGCAGGCCCACCAGACACAATGATGGGCATTGGTTTTCGACAAGGAGGGTGGGGGCTGGCCTGTTTCCCGATGTGTGCTGTCACGTGCGCAAGCGCACCTGACACACCCTGCACGTACCCCGAACGTGGCGCACCTGGCGCAGCTGGAGTATGCGGCGCACCTGGCGCACTCGGAACACGTGGCTCATCTGGCGCACCAGGCGTGCCTGGCACGCTCGGGCCCCAGGGGTGCCTGGCGCGCGTGGGGCCCCTGGCACGCGTGGCGCACCTCGCCGAAGCGTCGCGCTCCTGGGGCCGGCTTTGGTTTCCAATAGCTGCCCTTCCAAAGACGACGGCTGAACGTGCTCAAGCTCGGGCGTTAGTCATGTGTTGGGAGGGCGGGGGGGGAGTGAACAAGACGGCTTGCGGGCGGGTGGGTAGCTTGATCACTGCTCCCTATCAATAAACACCCTCTCCCCCAGGCGATTGGTACCCAACCCAAAACCATGAGGGCCCCCCCACCATCACTTGCAAAACAACCATGCGTACACACACTCTGCCTCCGAATTCGGAGCATGCGCGGCCAACCCGATGCGGCCTCCCCCCACCATCCCTGTCAAAACACAATACAGAGAACACTTGGCGGTGGCGGCGGCGGCTGCGGCGGCTGCGGCGGCGACGGCGGCTGCCGCGGCTGCGGCGGCAGCGGCGGTGGCGGCGGCGGCGGCGAGGGCGGGGGCGGCGGCGGCGGCGGCGGCGGCGGCGGCGGCGGTGGCGGCGGCGGCGGCGGTGGCGGCTGTGGCGGCGCGGCTGCGGCGATCTGGCAGCGGAGGCGTAGCGGCTGCGACGGCGGCGGTGCTGGCGGGCGGCGCCGCGGCGGCGGCGGCGGCGGCGACGGCGACGGCGGCGGCGGCGGCGGCGGGCAGCGGCGGGCAGCGGCGGCGGTGGCGGCGGCTGCTGCGGCGGCAGCGGCGGCGGCGGCGGCTGCTGCGGCGGCGGCGGCGGAGGCGGCGGCGGCGGCAGCGGCGGCGGACTGGCCCCCAGTAGCTGCCCATCCAAAGACGACTGCTGAATATGCTGAGGCTCGGGCCAGACTCGGGTGCTACGTATGTGTTGGGAGAGCGGGTGGGAGTGAGCGAGATGGCTTGCGGGCGGGGAGGGAGTCTTGACCATTTTTCCCTGCCCCCTCCCCTGGACCTGGGAGGGGGGGGGGGCGCGATCGGTCAGAGCGCCCAAAATGACCCAAGATGGCTCCAAGAGGGCCTCAGAGAGCCCACGATGGCTTCCAAGATGGTCCAAGACAGCCGGACATATTTCAGCGTAGCCTCCGACATGCCTCGACGACGCCTCAAGACGGCCCCGAGATGGTTTCAAGTGCCCCCCCGTAAAGGCACCCCCAAAAGGCCAACATGGCTCCCAAACCTATGGAACATTGATGAGTGGTGCCTTCTCGCTGTATCGCTTCCGATGGGCCTCGGAAGCTGCAACATTGCCCCAAAATGGCCAACGGAGCGCCAAGCGGGCCCAACAGGGTTCCAGACGGCCCCGAGGGCGCTCAAAAGCGCTCCAAGAACGGCTCCAGAGGGCCTCAAAACGACATGTTTGAGCCTCCGAGGGGGGACCTGAATCCGTTACCCCTTTCTGATTGTGTCTCGGGGACCAAGATGGCTCCAAGAGGCATCTCACCTTTCCCCGAAGAGCCCCAAGAGGGCCCCTAGACCACCCAAGAGAGCCCCAAGAGGACCCCAACAGTGACCCAAGTGGCTCCGCGAGGACACCAAGAGAGACCCAAGATGACTGCAAGAGACCTCCGAGACAACTATTCGAAGGCAGTTGTTACACTGCATGCTTCTAAACTCCCCTGCTCAGAACAACTCGCCTGGCGATATGTATCTGGATCGGCTGGTGGGGATACGCGAAGCGTCAACAATTCATTATCAACGTCAACATCATGTTAATCAGCGTCCGAAATGCCATCGCCTTCGACACATGGTCTCCATCGCTGACATACGTCGTACAATAATCGTAGCAAACACTGAAGCCATGACACGTGCTGGCACACGCGTGCCGATCAGTGCAGTGTTCAGATAAATTGAATATCAACACCTGGTCCAACATGATATGACCGATTCAAGCTTATGGGTCGAACTGTGCGTATGTTGCAGTGGGTCTCCAGCGCAAGAGGAGAGTGCACTTACGCGGACTTCACGCGGGCAGCCTGCGCACGGAGGTCCGCGCAATCGACGCGCCTTTGTCGTCTGTCGTTCCTGCACGCTCACGTGGCCCGCCCCGGAAACCCTGCACTGCCATCTCTTGAGGGGGGGGGGCGCACATCTGTTTCTTCCGCCAGCCCTCCGCCGAGGAAGAGAAGCCGGCCGCTCAATCCCTCGAGGGCGATTGCCATCTCTTGAGGGGGGGAGACACACATCTGTTTCTTCCGCCGGCCCTCCGCCGAGGAAGAGAAGCCGGCCGCTCCATCCCCAAAGGGCGAAGGCCTTTTTCGGCTCGCCCCGTGCAGCGCCGTGCGGCGGTCGGCGCCGCAGCACCGCGCGCTTCGCGCGGGGCCGCTCCGCGCGAGCGCCGCGCGCCCCCCCCCGCAGGGGCCCCCACGGCAGTGCCACGGGCCAGAACTCCGGGCGTCGCGGAGCGATCGCGACGGGCGGCTCCTTCGCGCAGCCGAGACATGGCCTTAGGTCGGTCGTGTGCTCCTACGGGCGGATTTTGGACGAGAACTAAAAAATAGTCAAACCATTTTGAAGAATATGTTCTAGAACCATGGAAGAATCGTCCCCGTACTAATCTTTAGTATGTCTGGATATCCCTCCTGTAGAGGGACACGCCCGACTTCAACATGGCCGCAAGGACGCGAAGGTCAAGGACACGAGCTCCTTCGCCGATGGCCCCAGAACCCCGATGGCAATGCCCCAATGGAGGAAGGCCCCTCAAAAGCCCCTCAAAAGCCATGGCTGTTCTTGACCCTCGTGCCCGCTGGGATCTCGGCCTCGGGAAGGGCCAATCTCGGGCCCCTGGACACTGATAACTAGAAATCAAAAAATCCAACCCCATAATAATCGGCGGTGGACAAACCTCCCTTTAATAAACCTCCCCTTAAGAAAGCGGCCTGGGACCGTAACCGACGGACCTGGACCTGCAAAAATGACGGCCGCGACGCCCTCTCGCGAACCGAAAACAGCCAATTCCTTAATCGACGTGTCAGGGTAGGAGGTCCATCCACCTCCGAAGTCACCACCCCGACACGCGAAGTCGTTCAGTAAACGCGCCCAAAGAAGGAATCGAACATGGCAGGGCTGTTTAGCAAACGCCCAAGGCTCGTTCAGTAAACGCCGATTGTCTGGTCCAGGTGGTCTTTCCTGCCTTGAATAACCGACGCATCCGCGACGAAGGGCACGTGGCGTGGTTTGGGTCGAGACCTGCGCCAACTTCGCGGAACATCCACGACGACGGAGTTCTGGGGATGCACTGAGAAAATGCCTGAGCAATCTGAAACCCCTGACATCCCGCCGATGTGGGTTTTTCAATCCGCGACCGAGGGTCCCGACCGCGTCCTCAGGGAGAATTTGTCGTGCCCGAACCAATTTTGATGGCCTCAAAAGCCCGACAACGGGTCTTGGGGGCCAAGGTCGTAGAAAATCGCCAGGACTTCAAAAACACACATCGCCGCAGATCTGAGGAGTCCCCGCGTCGCGCGAGCCCCCGTGTGCCTAACGCCGGTGCGCACACAGCCGCGCTATGCCCACGCTCGGCGGTGGACAAACCTCCCTTAAAAAAACCATCCTTCAGTGAACACGGCCTAGGAGCGGACCTGGACCCGCAAAAACGACGGCCGCGACGCCCTCTCGCGAACCGAACACGGGCAATTCGCTAATCGACGTGTCAGGGTAGGAGGTCCATCAACCCCCGAGCTATGCCCACGCGGACCCTCCGACGCGCACGGCCTCCGGCACCAGCGAAGCGGAGCGCGGGAGGACGGCAACCACATCCACCTGCACCGACCAGCAGCGGGCTGGGGTGGCGGAGCCCGATGGGCGGCGGGGCGGGCAAGGTGAGCCCGTTGAGGCGGGCGGGTCGGGCGAACGCGCATCTCGCTATCGCCGTCGTCTTCGCCGCTGTCGTCTTCGTCGTCGCTGTCGTCGTCGTCGTCGTCGTCGTCGCCTTCGCTCCCCGGCGACCCCCACGCATGGGAGAAGTCCGGCTGGACTCGCCATCGGATGGCGGACGAGGCGGTTGGCGGGCGTGCTGGCCGGGGAGCTGACCGACACGAGCGGGCGGGTCGGGCGGGCGGGCCTGACGGGCAGGTCGGGCGGGCGGGCGCTGATGGGCGGGTCGGCAGGGCAGACCCTGACAGGGGCGGGTCGGGCGGACCCCGACGGGCCGTACGGGCGGCTCAGCACCGCTGTGCACGGCAAGAGCACGTGGAGGTGGCGCCAGCGCTGGCCTCTGCCACCGCGCGGGCCGCTCAGACTCGAGAGCGATCGCGGCTTCCCGACAGCGCTGATGGTTCGATGCCGGCCGATGCCAGCCCACGGGCACCGTTCAGCCTCGACCTCGGTCAACCCTGGAGCTTCCGCCTTGGACGCCCGCCGCGTCAAGGATCCGTGCAGGAGGCTGGATGGCGTCCCCCGATGAGCGACGGCGGGCCGCAACATCCGCCGCCGCTCTTGCAGAGGGGCAGGCGTGTGTGAAGCACCGGGCATGTCTCAAGTGCGCATCGCCACTAGCGCGAAAGAACCCCCCGCTGCCCCAGCGAAGACATACCGCGACGCGCGTCAGCGCTGTGGGGCCCAGTCTCTGCGTTAGGCTGCCTTCGGGTGCCACAAGAAGGCGGGCTCCACGTAAGAATGATATGGGCGGCAAGCCGCGCGGACCCTCGAGCACCCGAACCGCACCAAAGACTTCAAGGGCGGACGACCCCAAGATGGAACCAGAGCGTCAGACATACGAGCGTCCGACATACAGACATATACATATATGCATATATACACAAATATGTGGATGTAAGCATGTATCTGTGTATGTGTGTATGCATGTTTGTGTATACAAACATGTGTATATAATGCCTATCATAACCATACGTGCATAGCATAACCATATACACATCGATACACTTAAATCTCAGCGACCACTCCCTTGAGGCACAAGTTGGGGTGTCCTCAGGTCCTTGGAATGATCCCCTAATCCTGAGTCCTCAATCCTGAGGATTCTTTCTTTCAAGGGCCCAGACCCCAAGTTGCCAAATCTCTTGGGGCTCCCGGCGTGGCCCCTGGGGCCCAGGGCGCCTTGTCGCGTGACTGATTCAGGCCCAAAGAGCCCCAGAGGCCCCCAAGACTGCCCAAGAGGGCTCCAGATCGCCGCACGATCGGTCCACGATGCCAACGAGAAACTCAAGACGGCCCACGAGGCCTTCGAGGCGCCCCAGGAGAACCCCACGAGCTTCCCCAAGAGGGTACCAAGAGGCCAACATCATAGATGTCCATGTTGCTATTCAATGTGTTTGGGGTCCTCGGTTCTTTGAGCTAACGCTTCAAGACGGCCCAAGAGGCTCCCAAAACCGCACCAAGACAGCCCCGAGTGCCCCCAAGAGGGCACTCAGACGGCCCAAGAGGGCTCCGAGACGTCCCCAGAGGCGCCCATGACGGCCCGAGAGGGCCTAAAGGCAGCCCCAGGACAGGCTTAAAGAAAGGGTACGCGAATGGAAAATCCCAGTCTTCCGCCCCAAGAAGCCCCCCAGGAGATCCCAAGGAGGTGCCAAGAGGCCCCCAAGAGGCCCCACGAGGTGCCCCAAGAGGCCTTCAAGACGCCCCAAGAGGCCCCGAAACGGTCGCAAAGAGGCCTCCAAACGGCCCCCAAGAAGCCCCCCAAGACATCCCAACGAACATCCTAGAGGACACCTACTCTGGGTTTCTTAATAAGCGTGGGGGGGTCGGAGCACCTTCGGCGCGCGGTGGTTGCCCGCGACGGGGTTCGATGTGGGGCTGTCGGCGGGGGTGACGCCCCCCCCCCCGCTTCTTAAGAAACTCGGAGTAATCACACCCTCGGGACTCCAGCGGCGCTGCAAAGACCCAGCACTCCAGAGGCTCTCCTCACAACCCGCGCCCCCCCACGGCCCCGCCGCGCCCCGAGGACCCCCTGAAACCTTGGGGGGACAAACAGGCACCGCTACCGCTGCTCCTCGGACCTCTCCCGGAGTGCACTCTGACCAGAATCTCAAGGAGCATCCAGCCGTGGCGACTGAGAGCCCTCCAGGACGAGCAGCTTCATCGGTGCCTTCTCCTCCTCTGCGTCCCCGCCGCGCCTCCCCTGGGACTGGAGGCCTCCTAGTAGACTGGGGTCCGAGTAGATTGGGTCGGAGGATCGCGCCACATCGGGGAAATATCGTCGATGCAACTCCGATGCGTCGGCGATGCATCGGCGACGTCGGCGGTGTATCGGCGACGCCAGCGCGGAGGAACTCGGGCTCCGCATCGAGCCGCATCGCCGATGCGCCGGCGGTGCGGCGCTATCCTCCGACCCCACCTGCTCGGACCCCACCTGGCCTCGACGGACTGCGGGCACTGCGCGCGGCAGCGCGGCCGAAGCCTCCGAACACGCCACTTTCACGCCTCCCGCGGGGCGCCCAAGAGGGGGGTGTCCAAGAGGGGGGGGTGCAAATCATGACCAGCGGCATGTGCGCGGCCCAGCGGGGGGGCCAGGGACGTAATGAACTAAGAAGGGGCGCCATGAAAGCTGGGGAAACATCATGGCCCCCGCCATGAGATCCCCCCCCCTAAGTCATCACCCTCCTCTTTTCCGCCCCCGAGCCTCCCGCGGAGAGCGCCCGCTGCTCCGGCGCCACGCCGGGCTCTCCCGCGCGGCTGCTCCAGCGGCCTCCTAGGCTGTCGCTCTCCCCGCCGGGTGCCCGTCGCCCGCGGAGAGGCCGGGGGCGCACGCCGAGCGCGCGAGGGTGCGCCCAGAAGCCCGCCACCGCCGGCGGCCTCTGCTCTGGACGCCCGAAGGGGGTACGGAAAGACGCAGTTTAACGGGCGAAGAACGGTATAACATAAACTTTTTCGCTGTCCGGGGCGCCTGTCCCAGGGCGGCCGGAAAGTTTATACCCTTTACGGTGGCACCGTCGGGGTATAAACTTACCAGCTGCCGAGGGGCAGGCGTCCCCGACGGCGGAAAAATTCAATTTTTACCGTTCTTCGCCCGCTGACTCCCTGGCGCGCGGAGCGCGCCAGTGGCGGCGCCGGAGGCGCCGCCAAGGGGGTCCAGCGCCGATCCGAGAAGTCCGCGCGGACCCAGAAACACAGATGATTGTGTCAATCTTCGTTCCCCCCCCAAAAAAATGAGCAGGCCCTGCTGTCGGCATGTTGTGCCCATTATTTCCGTACCCTGAGGTCGGGCATGTCCTCTTGCAGGCGGAGTTTGGGCGAACCATGAAACACCGTCAACAGATATGCAACCATAGCCAAACGTGATCGGAACAAGTCGTCCCAAACATATCTAACTACTATTTGGCGGCGCGCACAAGGGGGTGGAGGGAGGGGGGAGGGCTTCTTAGAAGGAAGCTGCTTCTTAGAAGGCGTCGGCCTTACACCTATACATAAGGCCCGCGCCTTCTAAGAAGCAGGGGTGCTTCTCGGAAACCCTCCCCTCCCCCCTCCCCCCACCCCCCTCTGCGCGTGGCTGAACTATAAAACATCCCCCCTGTAATACGGCATGCCCGACCCGACCGCAACCGCTTCGGTCCTCCAGAGCTGCTACCTCCGCGCCCGCTTCCGGGGCCCTGCCCTCGCCGGGCCAGCCGCGGCGGGGCGCCCCCGCCTCGGCCGCTGCGGCGCCCTGCCGGGGCCGCTGCCGGCGCCGCCTCGGGCGGAGGAGGAGGAGAAGGTCCAGAATTGCGTCCCGCGCTGGGGCGAGAGCGCCGCTCTGAACGACGGGAGCAAAACGTCGATCCGACAATGAGGCCAGTGCTTCAGCGGGGACACTATTTGTCCCAACCATCCCGTGGTGTTGGGTCCTCGTTTTCAAGAGACGGTCTCCGCGTTCCTCTCTCCTCTCCTCCTCCTCGTCCTCGTCCTCGTCCTCCTCCTCCTCCTCCTCCTCCTATCTCTCCTCCTCCCTGCGTTCCCCCCTTTCAGTACAGCGCTCTGTGGCCCCATAGGAAGCTCCACCGAAGGCCCCAGTGAGGGTGCCCGCATGCGTCCGCCACACCCAGTGCAGCGCTTCGTGCCCCATAGGAAGCCCCACTGAAGACCCCAGTGGGGGTGTCCGCGTGCGTCCGCCAGACCCAGTCTGCACAGCGTTTCATGGCCCCAAAAGAAGATCGACCGGAGGCCCCAGCGGGGGTGCCTGCACGCGTCCGCCAAACCAAGTACAGCGCTTCGTGGACCCATAGGGAGCTCCACCGAAGGCTCCAGTGGGACCGCCCGCAGGCGTCGCCCACACTCAGTACAGCGCTTCGTGGCCTCATAGGGAGCTCCACCGAAGCAGTGGGGGTGTCCGCATGCGTCCGCCACACCCAGTACAGCGTTTCGTGGTCCCATAGGGAGCTCCACCGAAGGCCCCAGTGGCCGTGCCCGCATGCGTCCGCCACACCCAGCCTGTACAGCGCTTCGTGGCCCCATAGGTAGCTCCACCGCAGGTCCGCAGGTCCCAGTGGGACCGCCCGCGTGCGTCTCTCATACCCAGTACAGCGTTTCGCGGCACCATAGGGAGCTCCACCGAAGGCCCCAGTGACACCGCTGCGTTCCCACCAGCGAGTACAGCGTTTCGTGGCCCCATAGGGAGTTCCAACGAAGGTCCTAGTGGGACCGCCCGCATGCGCCCCCCACTCAGTACAGCGCTCGGTGGCCCCATATGGGGCCTCCACCGAAGGCCTCAGTGGCACCGCCCGCATGCGTCCCCACAACCCACTACAGCGCTTCGTGGCCCGACAGGGAGCTCCTCCGGAGGCCCTAGTGGGACCGCCCGCATGCGCACCCCCACACCCATGACGGCACGCCCCATCACGCGTTGCGAGGCCCACCGGAACGGCATCCACAACGCGTTACTCACAACTACATGTTGTTGGCCCCTTCGCCAGGATAATTTGAAATGCCGAAGGCGTTCCGATTAAACAGACACTGCGAGACATAGTTTATTTTGAATTTCGGTGCATTTGCAAAAAAGATCAGCTGGAGAAAAAGTGCCTCGTTCACTATAAATCTGGGGAGAGAGGAGACTAGTAGTCATATGGGTAAGTATTGTAGCGGGGGGAAGGAGGGAGGAGGGAGGGAGGGGAGGGGCCTCTCCCTCTATCCCTCCCTCGCCGAGGAAGGAACCCCGCCACGCTCGCAGCCTTCGGCGTCATCCTCGTCGTCCTCCTCCGCCGCGGCATTGCTGCTCGTCCTCCACCGCATGATCACCTCGTTCTTCCTCGGCCAGCGCGCGGAGTAAGGTGTTTTTTAGGGAACGCCATGATGATTCGTGGCTGTCGTCTTCTACTGCCTCTGCCCCAATGCTCCTCCCTGCTCATTTGCCCTCGATTACAAGTACCTTCCTCGACTATGACAGGCGTCGGGGGACAGAGAAACATCAACGCCATAGGAACGGATGGGAAGGATGGATAGGATGTCAGATGAGGCGCGAACGCACTCAGCTTTCCCTCTCCCTCTGCATCTCCCTGTCTCTGTCTCTCTCTCTCTCTCTCTCTCTCTTTTTTCTCTCTCTCTCTCTATCTCTCTCTCTCTCTCTCTTTCTCTTTTTTGTTTCTCTCTTTCTCTCTCTCTCTCTCTCTCTCTCTCTCTCTTCTTTCCCAACCATCCTGTGGTGTTGGGTCCTCGTTTTGAAGAGATGGTCCCCGCGTTCCTCCTCTCTCCTCCCTCCTCCTCCTCCCCCTCTTCCCCTGCTCCCTCCTCCCTACGTTTCCTCAACCCAGTACAGCGCTTCGTGGCCCCACAGGGAGCCCAACCGAAAGGGCCCAGGTGGGGGCGCCCGCATGCGTCCGCAAAACCGAGTTGCAGCGTTTCGTGGCCCCATAGGGAGCTCCACCGAAAAGGCCCAGTCGGGGTGCCCACATGCGTCCGCCACACCCTGTACAGCGAAACATGGCCCATAGGGAGCTCCAGAGAAGGTCCTAGCGGGACAGCCCGCATGCGTCCCCCCACCCAGTACAGCGTTCTGTGGCCCCATATAGGACCTCCACCCAAGGCCCCAATGGCACCGCCCGCATGCGTCTTCACATCCCATTACAGCGCTTCGCGGCCCCACAGCCGCCCGCATGCGTCCCCCGATCCCTTACCGCACGGCCCATCACGCGTTGCGTGGCCCACCAGAAGCGACACCCACACCGAGTTACTCACAACTACATATGGTTGCCCCCCAGGATAACTATACACATATACACATATCCCTCTTGTTCTCTCTCTCTCTCACTCTCTCTCTCTCTCTCTTGCATTTGTATTTTCTCTGCCCCTATCCCTCTCTATAATTCTCTCTCTCTCTCTCTATATGTATGTCTTTTCTTTTTCTCAACCATCCTATGGTGGGGGGTCCTCGTTTTGCAAAAACGGTCCCCGCGTTCCTCCTCTCCTCCTCCACCTCCTCCTCCTCCTCCTCCTCCTCCTCCTCCTCCTCCTCCCGTCACCCCCCTCACTTTGGCACACCCCTCGCATTTTTCGTGGCCCCATAGGGAGCTCCACCGAAGGCTCCAGCGGGGATGCCCGCATGCGCCCCGCCACACCCAATACAACGATGCATCGCCCCATAGGGAGCTCCACCGAAAGCCCCAGGGGTGTGCCCGCATGCGTCCGCCACACCCAGTACAGCGCCCCATGGCACCATAGGGAGCCCCACCGAAGGCCCCAGTGTGGGGGGGCCGCTTGCGTCCGCCTCACCCAGTACAGCGCTTCGTGGACCCATAGGGAGCTCCACCGAAGGCCCCAATTGGGGTGCCCACTTGCGTCTGCCACACCCAGTGCAACGCTTCGTGGCCCCATGGGGGGCTCCACCGAAAGCCCCAGGTAGACCCAGGTGGACCGCCCGCATGCGTCCGCCACACCCAGTACAGCGCTTCGTCACCCCATAGGGAGCCCCACCGAAGGCCCCAGTGGGGGGGGCCGCTTGCGTCCGCCTCACCCAGTACAGCGCTTCGTGGCCCCATGGGGAGGTCTACCGAAGGCCCCAATTGGGGTGCCCACTTGCGTCCGCCACACCCAGTGCAACGCTTCGTGGCCCCATGGGGGGCTCCACCGGAAGCCCCAGGTAGACCCAGGTGGACCGCCCGCATGCGTCCGCCACACCCAGTAAAGCGCTTCGTCACCCCATAGGGAGCTCCACCGAAGGCCCCCGTGGGGGTGCCCGCATGCGCCCGCCACACCCAGTGCAACGCGTCGTGGCCCCATGGGAGGCTCCACCGAAGGCTCCAGTGGGGGGGGCCCGCATGCGTCCCACACCCACTACAGCATTTCTGGCCCCATAGGGAGCTCCACCGAAGGCTCCAGTAGGGGTGCCCGCATGCGTCCGCCATACCCAGTACAGCGCTTCGTGGCCCCATAGGGGTCTCTAGCGAAGGCCCCAGTGGCACCGCTGCGTCCCCCTCCCACCCAGTGCAGCGCTTCGTGGCCCCATAAAGGGCTCCACCGAAGGCCCCAGTGGCACCGCCCGCATGCGTCTCCACAACCCACTACAGCGCGTCGTGGCCCCACAGGGAGCTCCACCGAAAGCCCCAGTGGGACCGCCCGCATGCGTCCCCCGATCCCTTACCGCACGCCCCATCACGCGTTACGTGGCCCACCGGAAGCGGCACCCACAACGCGTTACTCACAACTACATATGGTTGGGTCGTTCGCCAGGATTTTTTTTCTGTTTTCTCTCTCTCGCTCTTTCAATTTATCTCTCTATACTTCATGCTCTTTTTTGGTTGGGAGGGGGAACGCGTTCAGCTGTCCCTGCTCCGCGCGCTCGCCCTCGCCATCCTCGTCCTCGTCCTGCGCCCCCTTCTGCTAGCCCACGTCCTCTTCTCCTTCCCCTCGCCAGCCTGTCCTGGATGTCTTTTCTCTCCCTTGCCCCTCCTGTCGCTGGGCGCGCCGCACTCGTGGCGCGCCACTTCCAGGAAGCATGCATCGGCACACTCGCCCACATCCTTCCCCGCTCCTCCTCACTGGCGCGGACCAGTGACCTTCTCCCCCCCTGGTTGCTTCGCTTCGCTGGCGGCCTCTGGCCGTTCCTGCGCCCGTCCTCCCGCCCACGAGGCTCGACCGCCAGATGGCAACAGTCCACCGAATCGAGGACAATGTGCTGTGGGGTCGAGAACGACGAGGGAACGGCGAGAGCACATTCCTGCCCCTCTGACGCCTGCTGTACCTCCTCGTCATTCTCGCTCGCGCCCCCGACTTCGCTCTCGTCGTGCGCCTCCGGCTGCTGCTCATCATCCTCATCTTCCGCCTCCTCTTGCACCTCCTTGCCTTCGTCTCCCCGCTCGTTCTTGTCATGTTCCCGCTCTCGGAAGTTCAAACGGGAATGCCCCCGTGCGCCCAGCAAGGATGACAGACATGTATGTATAATTCACTCGCTCGCAGCACCAAGTGTCCAGAGTTCCAGACACCAGGACAGCTGTGCACTTCGTTGAGAACCTGGACGGTGCTCGCTTGACGCAGCGTCTGACTGAAGCGCCGCGCACCATAGGATTATGAGCGGCTCTGCGCAGGGAGGCGGCGCGCACGTGCCCCAGCTCGCCGAGGCGGGCGCCCCTGAGCCCGAGCCTTCCCCTATGGGGCCCTCGGCTTCGCCATCTACAGCCGGGCCGCTGAAAGAAGGAACGCTACATGAGGAACGAAGCCCCTTCTTGGCCCCAAAAGCGCTTCCGTTCCCAAGGAGGGCAAGAGGAACAGCAAGTAGGGAACCTGAGGAACATCGAGCCCCCTCCGAACCCAAGCTGTTCCTTCTTTCAGCATCTTGACTGTACCCCTTGCGGTGAGGAGGAGGAGGAGGAGAAGAAGAGGAGGAGGAGGAGGAGGAGGAGGAGGGAGGGTAGAGGTCTAGGATTAGGAGGACGAGGAGGAGGACGGAGGAGGAGGAGGAGGAGGAGGAGGACGGAGGAGGAGGAGGAGGAGGAGGAGGAGGATGATGAGGAGGAGGAGGAGGGGGAGGAGGAGGAGGAGGAGTGGGGGTGGAGGCGGGAGGACGACTGGGCGGCCCGGAGGCGGCAGCGGAGCCCGGAGGAGGAGCGAGAGCAGGAGGAGGAACGGGTCTGGCAACAGGGGGGGCCTGGGGCCCGGGCCTGGTCCTCGTCGCCGTCCTTCTCGTCTTCGTCCTCGTCGTTGCTCTCGGAGTCCTCCTCCAGGAGCGTACAAACATCGGTGAAAACCTGCGGAAAACCCAAACAAGGGGAACTTGGCAAAAACCAGCGGGAACCGTTGGAACCCTTCGAGAAACAGTCGTCCTCCTCAACCCCTCAACCCCCCTCCTCAACCTCCCACCCCTCCGCTTCTCCCTCACCGTCCTCTTAGAGGTCACGAAACCGTGTGGTGACGGACCGTGCGATGATCGGGAATCCCCGAAGACCTCATCTCACGGTCCGTCACCGAAGGGCTCTAGGACCTTAGTAGGCGGCGAGCCAGGGGGGGAAGCGAGAAGAGACCCCGGACTTCTGAGAAGTATCCTAAGTCTTCCACGAAGGCATAACAAAAGAACTTCCCTGAAGACGCAAGGGAGCTTCTGAGAAGCCCCGCCGCCTTCCGAGAAGGCCCTTTCCTTCTCGCCCCCCCCCCTCGCTCACCGCCGACCGGGAGGCCCCGGCCGCCCGAAACATCCTCGGAGAACGACCCTAAGCCGGAGGAGGAGGAGGAGGAGGAGGGAGGGAGGAGGAGGAGAGGAGGGGAGGAGGGGGAGGAGGGAGGGGAGGGAGGGGGGAGGAGGAGGAGGAGGAGGAGGAGGAGGAGGAGGAGGAGGAGGAGGAGGAGGAGGAGGAGGAGGAGGAGGAGGAGGAGGAGGAGGAGGAGGAGGAGGAGGGGGAGGGGGAGGAGGAGCGAGGAGCGAGGAGCGAGGAGCGAGGAGGAGGAACCGTGCGATGTCCCTGAAGCCCAAGTGACCCACCGCTCGGTGGGGCCCCCCGCACCACGATCGGGCGACGCGCCGACACGCCCCTCGCGGTCCTCTTTGGGTTGGGCCGGAATACGCCGGGCCACTTCTCGTTGAGGATGGCGATGTTGCGCTGCTCCTCGCGCCGAGGGGGGGAGGGGAGCAGAGGAGCGATGGGGGAGGAGGCAGGACGAGGGCGACAAGAAGGAGGGGTAATTGTTATCGGCGGTGGACGAACACCTCCCTTTAGTAAGCCACCCTGTAGTGACAACGACCCAGGACCGTCACCGACGGACATGGACCCGCACGAGTGACGGCCGCGACGCCCTCTCGCGAACCGAAAACGGCCCATTCGCCAACCGACGCGTCAGGGTAGGAGATCTATCAACTTCCGAAATTAGGACAATCGGGAGGAGGGAAAAAGGAGACACGGGGGAGAGGAAAGGAGGGGCGAGACGATGGAGGAGGAAGGGCGATGACAAGGACGATTGGGAAGATAGGCGAGAAGACATGGGAGGACCCAAGGGAAGGAGAGATGGAGAGGGAGGAGCAGGAGGATGGGGAGGAGGAGGAGGAGAAGGAAGAGGAGGAGGTGGAGGAGGAGGAGGAGGAGGAGGAGGAGGAGGAGGAGGAGGATGGTGGTGGTGATGATGAGGAGGAGGGAGGGGGGGAGAGGAGGAGGGACGAAGAGGAGGAGTGAGGAAGGGACGAAGACGAGGAGGGAGGGAGGCCGAGGAGGACGAGGACGAGGTGGAGGGGGATGGCAATTCGGGCAGAGGGAGGAGACACGGTGCGGGCTGGCGTCGAGCGCGGGCCCGCGCCTCCCGCGCCCGCGGCGAGGCGACCAAGGCCAGACGCCAGCCCCTCGACGCGCCAGCCAAATACAGTCATGGCACTGCCAGAATTAGGTCGGGCATTGCCTCCTAAATTTAGGAAGGACCAAAAACGCCCGTACCCTGGGTTACAAGTCCGTGGTCAATAAACCTCCTTGGAACTCCCACCGGCCAGAGAACCGCCAGGACGCCGCGCGGCTCGTGCGATACGCTGGGTTTGCCCAGTCAGCCCACAGGAGGTTCAGCGCACAGCGTCTTATAAATCAGGGTAGGGGCGTTTTTTTTCACGCCCTTCAACAGGCGGATTTTTGGGCGGAAAAATAGGAATCCGCCGGCCCCCTGGTGGGGCCACCAGGCTGCGAGGCGCGTGATTCGCAGTTTCCTGTACCAGTTGTAGTTTGTAGTTTCCAGTGTTACAGTTCTGCTTCTTGCTGGTTACTGTAACTAGTTGCCTTCTTGCTGGTTACTGTAACTAGCTGATTTACCGCGCGATGGGGGGGAGGCCCAAACGGGATTTTTAGCGTCCCCTGGGCGCGTTGTCTGAATTGCTGGGGGGGCTCGAAATCGACACCCCTCACGCAGATCCGCGGGGTCAGGGTCCAAAAACACAGGGGATTTGCCACATTTCTGAAATTCGGTGCCACCCCTCACGCAGATCCGCGGGGTCAGGGTCCAAAAACACATGGGATTTGCCACATTTCTGAAATTCGGTGCCACCCCTCACGCAGATCCGCGGGGTCAGGGTCCAAAAACACAGGGGATTTGCCACATTTCTGAAATTCGGTGCCACCCCTCACGCAGATCCGCGGGGTCAGGGTCCAAAAACACAGGGGATTTGCCACATTTCTGAAATTCGGTGCCACCCCTCACGCACATCCGCGGGGTCAGGGTCCAAAAACACTGGGATTTGCACATTTCTGAAATTCGGTGCCACCCCTCACGCAGATCCGCGGGGTCAGGGTCCAAAAACACAAGGGATTTGGCACATTTCTGAAATTCGGTGCCACCCTTCACGCACATCCATCGCAAGGCGTGGTAACCCAAACTGCGAGAACTCCCTCGGCCCTTTAATCGCAAGGTGTGGTAACCAAGCCCGTACACCATACACGTCTTACCAATCGCCAGGTGTGGTAACCCCTCTTGTGATCAGTTGGTTTTGCTGATTGCGAATCGGCTTCGCATGAAGTTTCGATACTGCTTTACAACAGCGCCAAGGCCTCATGACTTAGCTCTTCCATGGCCCATTCTCCGAGAGAGGGGGCCGGCGGCAGGGGGCGAAGCCCTTACGGATAAGAGGCTCACACATGCTGATATATAGTCAAGAAAAACGTCCCCATATTGTTTCTGGACTATTTGTTCAACCATCCTGTGGTGTTGGGTCTTCGTTTTGAAGAGACGGTCCCCGAGTTCTCCTCATCTTCCTCCTCTTCCCCCTCCTCCCTACCGTCCGCATGCGTCCCGCACACCCAGTACAGCGTTTTGTGGCCCCATAGGGAGCCCCACCGACGGTCCCAGTGCTACCGTCCGCATGCGTCCCGCACACCCAGTGCAGCGCTTCGTGGCCCCATAGGGAGCTCCACCGAAGGTCCCAGCGCTACCGTCCGCATGAGTCCCGCACACCCAGTACAGCGTTTCGTGGCCCTCCTCCCCCTCCTCCCTGCGTTTCACCCACCCATTACAGCGTTTCGTGGCCCCATAGGGAGCCCCACCGAAGGTCCCAATGCTACCGTCTGCATGCGTTCCGCACACCCAGTACAGCGTTTCGTGGCCCCATAAGGAGCTCCACCGAAAGCTCCAGTGCTACCGTCCGCATGCGTCCCGCACACCCAGTACAGCGTTTCGTGGCCCTCCTCCCCCTCCTCCCTGCGTTTCACCCACCCAGTACAGCGCTTCGTGGCCCCATAGGAGCCCCACCGAAGGTCCCAATGCTACCGTCCGCATGCGTCCCGCACACCCAGTACAGCGCTTCGTGGCCCCATAGGGAGCTCCACCGAAGGTCCCAGTGCTACCGTCCGCATGCGTCCCGCATACCCAGTACAGCGTTTCGTGGCCCTCCTCCCCCTCCTCCCTGCGTTTCACCCACCCTGCACAATGTTTCGTGGCCCCATAGGGAGCCCCACAGAAAGACCCAGTGCTACCGTCCGCATGCGTCCCGCACACCCAGTACAGCGTTTCGTGGCCCTCCTCCCCCTCCTCCCTGCGTTTCACCCACCAGGTACAGCGCTTCGTCGCCCCATAGGGAGCTCCACCGAAGGTCCCAGTGCTACCGTCCGCATGCGTCCCGCACACCCAGTACAGCGTTTTGTGGGCCCATAGGGAACCCCACCGAAGGTCCCAGTGCTACCGTCCGCATGCGTCCGGCAAACCCAGTACAGCGCTTCGTGGCCTCATCAGGATCCCCACCGAAGGTCCCAGTGCTACCGTCCGCATGCGTCCCGCACACCCAGTACAGCGGTTCGTGGCCCTCCTCCCCCTCCTCCCTGCGTTTCACCCACCTAACGGCCGCGACGCCCTCTCGCGAACCGAAAATGGCCAATTCACTAATCGACGTGCCAAAGTACGTAGGAGGTCTACCAAGCTCCGAAGAGCGACGTTCCGCGACCCCCGCCCGACGTCATGGCGTGAAGGCGGTCTGAGTCCTCGACGCCCTTCGTGTCCCTGTTGCTGCACGCGCCGCCCGCGTTCGAGTAGTGCTTCACGCACAGCGTCATGCGCTGGCACCTCGGAGGCGCCAGGCTGCCCACATGAGGAGGAGGATGAGGAGGGGGAGGAGGAGGAGGAGGAGGAGGAGGAGGAGGAGGAGGAGACCGTCGGTTTCGTGGGGGAGGGCGCCTCGTCGTCGCCGTCTGGACGAGGCAGAATTTGCCCGCCCCCTAGAACTTGGCACAATCAAAAAACAAAGCGACCTCTCTGGGGCACTGAGACTGTTACTTTGTGCATGCTTGTTCACGCCACCTCAACTATTCTCCAAGCAGTACTTGTACCTGGGGGTTCTTACTTGTGTTCTGACAAACTGGCGGTGAAAGTCGGTCTGGCGGCTATGTAATCGTCATCGCCGCCCCGTCGTCGCCTCGTCGGCGCCCGTCATCTGGGCCCGAACGTCGATCTTGCGGCTATGTAGTCGCCGTCGCCACCCCGTCACCGCCCGTCGTCTGGGCCTGCGGGCCGGTCTGGCGACTCCGTGCTCGCCGTCGCCGCCTCGTCGACGCCCCGTCGCCGGGTCGCGTAGATTGCACACACATGTAGAGGTATATCATTTCTAAGCGAACATTGGGATCGACATCCCCCCCCCCACGGAATTAACGGTACACCGTTGTATTGTAATTTGCATAAGATTATGCTCCATCGTCCATCCTAGATATGAATTCGTGCCATCCCAAGCAGTCACTTGATCGTCCCCCTCAAAGAATCAGCAGCTCACAGAAAATCTGTGCAAACATTGGCACGAAAGGCGCACGCGCGCGTCGTCTCGCGCATAGCGAAATCTTTCCACAACCATGTGCTTGTGTTTGCCAAAGGTTTCAACATCGAATGTCCCGAAACAGTGGGCTTCGCAACAACGATTTCCAAAACACATGCGCTCGCACTCTTGCGAGTTCAAAAAAAGCATGAACATCTCAACATATCCATCCAATGCTACCAGCCATGCCCTTCGCGTGCGCATGTTGAAATCGTTCGAACGCCCTTGCGCGGGCGCTGTCGCAAAATTCTCGCGCAGCGAATGTGACGAAGTGCGCACGCGCGCACCATCGCGCGCGAATGCCAAAATCCATCAACACCCCTTGGCTGCGCTAGGATTTCACCACCGAGTGTCCCGAAACAGCTGAAACTCATGGTTTAGCAGTGCTCAAGAAAGAAACACGGCGCGCGCGCACTTGCGAATTCTTGAGAAAACCACGCTTCCTTTCACATGGGTGCCAAATTACACCAAACGGGCCTCTCGCGCCGCACGCTGGTATGGTTCGAACGCCCATGCGCGAGTGCTGCGGGCGGGGCACGATCCCTGCCAAATAACGCCATGCGGGCCACTCGCGCGCGTCGGCCGCGCGCGCACGTCGAACTCCGTCCAGAACTTTCGTCACAAACGCGAGTCGTCACCGGCGTGATCACCATCGGCGGCGTCAGTGGCCTTGCCGTCGACATAATCGTCACCATCACCGCTGCTAGCATCATCGTGTCTAACGTTGTCGACGTCGCCATGATACCGCACCCGCCCACACCATCGACTGGCACCGAAGTGCCCGCTGGGATGTGCCCAGCGGTCAGTGCGACCGCGGCCGTGTCGGTCACGCCAAACTAGCTGGCCGCTGTGCGCGCAAGCATGCGTGGGCTAGCGCGGCAGCAGAGATGCAACAGCCTACACCAAGCACTCATCGCAATAGCTGCCGCATGGTTTTTTCCAAACCCAGTTGCGGGTGGGTGGGCGGGATGATTGCGCGAGCAATGAAGTTGACATCCCCGAGTTTTCCTCAGATGTATTTGCGCCGCCCAGATTGCGCCACGTAGATCCCCCTTGGCTTCTTGGGACCCCCCCGTCCTAACGCACCCCCCCCCTTGCGCGCGTGCCACCCACCCCCCTTCATTCTGGGGCCCCGAAGCCGTGTGGTGACGGACCGCTTGATGTCCCCGGAACCCCCGGGGACCTCAACGCGCGGTGCATCAACGCACGGCCTTGGGACCTCGGCGGCCCCAGTCGTCCGAGACGCCCTCAACGAACGACCCGAGTCTCGAAGCCGTGCGGTGACCCCGAGTCCCTACCGACTCACCAAATCTCGGCTACACGCAAGAGTGACCCTGGGTAAGAGCGACCTTTTGTGCGCGGCTTTTTGGGGGCCGCGGGGAGACCAAACCTGGGCGCGCAAGCCGCTGCTGCCGCTTCGTTTTCAGCCATCCGAGGGCCCCTCTCTGCCCGCACCAAAGGCCGCTCCCGCGAAAGGTCACCCTTACGTCGAATCGAAAATCGGTGTGGTCACCGCACTGTCTGGGGGACCCCCGGCTCATCCTCCATCTTTCGGCTGCGCGCACATCGGGCGTAGGTAGAACTGGGTTTAGTGGAACCTGGTTCAGTGATCTGCACCGGGGGCGCCCGCCCCGCCCCATTTCCACGAACCGGAACTGCCGTCACCCGAAAAAACACCAGCTGTGGCAAACCTGGTCTAGTGATTCTGGCCAATTCGAAGGCTCTGGGGCCCTACGGCAGGTTCGTGTCGTGCCGACCCCAGCATTGGTTTTCGACACCGCAGGGATCGTTCAACCTTGAACGATCGGCCGCTGCCGCAACGTCCGATCGTTCAACATCGATCGATTCTGGGTCGCCGGCGGCGTTCAACCTTGAACGCCCGCGCTGGGGTCGCCGCTGGTCGACACGACGCAGACCTACCGTACCACTAACCGGGTCCCCTTATCCGGGGTCCTGGCCATACCCGAGCACAGGGGGGGCAAGGCAGAGGGGCCTGGGCCGGCCTGCCCACGGTGCGGCGAGGCTCCTCGGGCGCCTCACGCCTGGTGCGAGGCCGCGTGCGGCTTCGGAGCAGGCGAGCAGGACGGCTGCCCCGAAGGGGGCTCTTGTGACGCCCCGCTGCCTTCAGAGAAGGGCGGCCCCCTCTGCTTCCACGCCCCGGGGCGCCGCCGACTCTTCTTGCAGAAATGGGGGGAGGGGGGGCGATAGGGGGGGGGACCAGCTCAGAGGGGGGATTCCTGGACCCGGAAGCGGCGCTGCAGACCTCGACAGCGAAAAACCGCACATCCCTGGGCGGGCTGGGCCATCGGGCCCCCAGCAGCGGGGGCTCGGCGATGGGGGGTCGCTGCCTTCAACCCTGGAGCCTACCCCCCTCGGTCGTTGCCCTTGGCCTTGCGGGCCAGGACTCGGCCCTCGGGCGACCGCTGGGGACGATTCTACGGGACGTGAAAACGACCACAGCCACTGCTTTTCTTTTGTTGACGCCTTCCAGCCAGCAGAAACAAAGCAGTGGCTGTGGTCATGTTCGTTAAGCTCGGCACCAGAGAAATGACCACAACCACTGCTTCTTTTTCGGCCGGCTGGAAGGCGGCGCAAGCAAGAAGCAGTGGCTGTGGTCATGTTCCCGTCCCGCAGATTCTTGCACCCTGGGAACGCCCTCGACGAGGCGCAGCGGATGGAGCCCATCCCGCGCTTCTGGACACTGTGGCAGACTGCCGAGCCCTCCTGGCAGGCCCCGACCTCCTCCGGGCCCCCCGCCCCCCCCGCCGAGCGACCCCGGCGCAAAAAAGAGAGCGCTGAGCCCTCGGCACCGGAGCACGGAGCCGTGGGCCTTCAGGTGCGAGCAGGTGAAGTCGTAGTCCTCCTTCAGGGTCATCCTCGGGTCGAACCTGACGTCGCCTGGCCGCGCCGCTGCCCTCCCGCGCTCGCGGCGCCCCGCTGCCCGCCCCTGCTCTCTCTCTCTCTCTCTCTCTCCTCGGCGACGGGGGCGGCAGCGCGCCCCCGCAGCCTGCGAGCGGGCGGAAACAAAAAAACAGGGCGCGAGGAGATCTAGCTTTTCAGGGACCGGGCTCTATGCAGCGACGTTTTCTACGGCCCCGCACTCCAATTCGCACAAGAGAGCGGGTTCTGGTGCAAACAGGATCCTGGTGTATACCTTTTTCGTGGTTTCCACGGGAGAGTGGGGAAAATAGTATACACCACACCACTCCGACGTCGTCCCCGACCCTCAACAAGTTCTGGGATTGAAAGACAGCCCGCCACTGGTAATGTATATGTTCCAATTTCCGAGCTTTGCTGTACGTGTGTGTACCACCTATGAATCTCAAAATGCGGATGGGTACACACTGGGCTGCTCTTATAAATCCGGGTGAGGAGCAGAACGGTCTTACAACATCCCTGGGCCCGAGGGTCCATTGGGGTTCCGTGGCCCAGATTACGGCGAGGGCATTGGATAAGGAACCAATGGATAAGGAAACCAGGGGCTGGAAGCAGGTGGAACTCCAGCCGAGGCCTGGCCATTGAGATTGCCGCTGCCCACATCGGATAAGGAATCCTCCAGGGTTTGCAGCCTCCTGGGCGCCTTACTTAACAAAATGCCCCCACCATATGCGTGTTGTCCGTCGAATTCTCCTACCGAAAGAAGGATTCGTGTTGGTCCCCCTCGTCTGTCGGTGCGGGCCCGCTCTGCTGAAGCCTCTGCAGCCTCGGGGATCGTCGCTCCTCCAATAAGTGTGTGTGTGTGTGTGTGTGTGTGTGTGTGCACGTGCTTTGTGTGCACGCTTGCATATTTGAATGCATGTATAGTTGTTTCTAAGCCTATTTAAAGGGCCCGCAGCAATGATGTTCAAAGCGGGACGGCGCTTCAGACGAAAAAGCGGAACACAACCCAATGTATGAAACGAATGTTTGACATGAAACTGGTGCCAACTCAGAAACGGAAACCGAAACGATGCCATCATGTAACGAAACAACAGAACGAGAAAACGACATGAGCGTCGCAGACATCGCTGAACACCACACGGTCAACATCAGTGAAGGGGCCGAACGGTCATTCACTGTCCCTGGGAGCGTGAATGAAGTGGGTTCCCGCGGTGCGGGATGTCGCTGTTGCTTTACAATTTTTGTTGTTGTCGTCGTTGTTGTTGTTGTTGGTGCTGTTGTTGTTGTTGTTGTTGTTGTTGTTGTTGTTGTTGTTGTTGTCTTTGCCGCTGCTGTTGTTGAACTCTCAATTTTGAACAATGATTTGTTGATCCCACACTGGTGCACACTGTGTTCTTCCAATTTAAGTGCTCCCGTCGGTGCTCGCACCGGGTGTTTTCCATGGAAAATCGTCGTGCTCCAACTGTGCTGTTGCCCCCCGCCTACAACAACAACGGCTCCAGCTTGATAGGCATCGCGCTCTCGCGTGGGACTTCCACACACTTTATTCAGACGCAGCGCCGTCGACGCTCAGGAATCACACTGTCGCTCGGGACTTTCTCGCGGTTCACGCAAGCCTTACGTTTCAACAAGCCCGCCTGCTCGACACTTCCGCCGGGCCCGCCTCCCGGACCCGCCCGCTAAGGCCTGCCCGCCCGATCTGCCCGTCTGGCTCTGCCACGTGCGTGCTGCTCCCAGCCAGCCCCCTCTCCTGTTATGATTTCTCACGTGCTCCATCCTCTTCCCCCCCTTCCATCCGTCCTCTCTTCCCCGCTCGTCCCCCCCTTCCATCCATCCATCCATCCATCCATCCATCCGTCCTCTCGTCCCCCCCTTCCATCCTCTTCTCCGTGCTCCATCCGTCTTCTCCGTCCTCTTTTCCATCCGTCCTCTCTCTTCCCCCCCCTTCCATCCGTCCTCTCTTCCCCTGTTGAAAAGGGCTGCGCTAAACGCACGCGACGGGTAGGGAAGGTGTACCCCCAGAAGGGGGCAGAATCGAAGACGAAGAGGGCGCGTACCGAGAGCTTGGGATATACGTGTTGAATGGCACGCGAGCCGATTGAAGCGGACGGCCTCAACATGGTTGTTGTTGGTGTTGTTGAATTCTCATTTCTGAAAATTCAGAATGCGGATGATCCCCACAGCCCGGAGAACACGTTGTTTTTGGTTATTCGTATTATTATTATTATTATTTCAAACTGACATCCACCCTGAGCTCGCATCTTGGTTTAGCAAGGGAACCTGTGGGGTCACCAAACCGCGTCGTTGGACCCAGAATTGCAACAGCAACGGCTCCCATCTGATACCTCCTCACAATGTATTGAGAAATCACGCTGTCGCGCGGTCACAATGTGAGCCTCCCTCGCGATGTATTCAAACGCCGCGTCCTCAACGCTCGGGAATCGCGCTCGCGCTGTCGTTGTTTTCCGTTGCCGTTGTTTTTTGTTTGTTTCTTTCTTTCTTTTCTTCGCATGGTTCACTTGGGTATTGCGCTATCGCATGAGACACCCCCGTGATTCATGCAATGTCCACGCTTCAACAACTTGCCTGGTCGACATGGCAGCGTGGGCCCGCCGCCCTGACCCGCCCTTTATTGCCGACCCGCCCGATCAACCCATCTGGCTCTGCCACGTGCCTCCTGCCCCCAGCCCCCCTCCTGTGAATCCCGTGTTCCATTCTTCTCCCTCCCCCTTCCATCCGTCCTCTTTCCCGTGCTTCTGGTCTGTGCAACTTACGTGCAGCAGACCGGGAATAGATACTCCAGGAGGGTACGATCGAAGACGAAGATGGCGAGTACCGACAATTTGGGATATACGTGTTAAAATGGAAAAGCGAGGCGGCAAGAGCAGACAATCATCTAAATTTACAGTTGTCGTTGCTGACTCATCACTGCGAAGAGACAGTTATTGTTGATCCCCCTCCTCTGGTACACATTGTACTGTTTCAATCAAATTGCTCTTCTTGCGGTTCGCACGCTCATTTTTTATCAAGGAACGATGCGGGGTCACAAATCTGCGCTGTTCGGCCCCGGGCTACAACAACCACGGCTCCCGCCTGACACCTCCTCAAACTGATTTGAACATCGCGCTCTCGCTCACAATGTGTGCAGGAATCGCGCTCTGGTGTGGGACTCCCTCGCAATGTATTCCCACGCCGCGCCTTCGGCACTCAGGAATCACGCCCTTGGCCTTTTTTTTTTTTTTTTTTTTTTTTTTTAAGAATTACATGGGAATCGGGCTATCGTCTGACGCCTTCCTCACGAATCATGCAAACCGCACGCTTCAGCAACCCGCCTGCTCGACCTGACCGCCTGGGCTCCCATTTCCGACACGCCCGCTACTGTCTGCTCGCTCAATGTGCCCGTATGGTTCTGCCATGTGGTTTCTGCTCCTCGCCCCCCCTCCCCCCCACGCAAAAATTTCTCCCCTGCGTGAATTTCTCTCGTGCCCCATCCTTTTCCCTCCCCCTTTCTGTTCGTCCGCTCTTCCCTTGTTTGCAGGGCTGCGCTGAATACGTGTGCCGAGGGGTTGGGACAAACGTGTTGGATCGCATGCAAATAGGTCTGAGCGAACAAGCTGCAATGACTCATGGTGGTGTTGTCGTTGTTGCTGCTGCTGTAACTGCTGCGGTTGAACGATCATTCCAAACCCCCCTCTGAGACACATCGCGTTGCTCTCAAGTAAAAGTGCTCCTCCTGGGGCTCGCAATCTTGTTTGTTTGGCAAACAAAAAACACGACCGGTCACCAAATTGTCGTCCTGGCCCCCGGATTACAGCAACAACGGCTTTCGCCTGATACATTCTCACAACAGATTCCCAAATCGAGGTCTCGCGCGGGGCGTCCTATTCAAACGTCGCGCCTTCGACAGTCAGGAATCACGCCATCGCTTGAGATTTCCTGACGATGTATTTGGGAATCGCGCTATCGCTCGAGACTTCCTCGCGAATCATGCAAGACGCACGCTTCAGCAACCCGCATGCTCGACCTGGCTGCCTGGGTCCGCCTTCCCGACCAGTCCGTTAGGGTCTATCCGCCCGATCTGCACGTTTGGTTCTGCCACATGCTTTCTGTTCCTAACCCCCCCCTGGCATTAATTTCTCCCGTGCTGCATCCCATCCTCCTCCCTCCCCCTTGTCCCTTCTTCACATCCGTCTGCTCTTCCCCTGCCGTAGGAGCTGCACGAGATACGCGTTGTACGTAAGAAGTGTACATGCCCCCAAGAAGGGGCACGATCGAAAACGAAAACGGCGGGTACCGATGGTGTCGGATATATGTGTTGAGCGGCATGCGAGCAGATATGAACAAACTGTCTTACATGTTTGTTGTTATTGTGGTGGATAGTGTTGTTGTTGTAGTTGTTGTTGTTATTGGTGTGATTGTTGTTGTTGTTGTTGTTGTTGTTGTTGTTGTTGTTGTTGTTGTTGTTTGTGCTGTTGTTGGTGGTATTGGTGTTGTTGGTGTTGTTGCTGCTGTTGTTGGTATTGCTGTTGTCTGTTTTGCTGGTTGTCGCTCATTTCGTCGCATGTTGTTGCATGCCTCGTCGTTGTTATTATTGTTGACTGTTGCTGATGCAACAACTCAGCAAGAAGGCGACAACAACAAGTCTCCAAAAACAATGCTGGTTCTCCCATGCTGTTGCGGTTGTCGCCCCCTGGCGGCCCTGGGCTGCCACCGTCCTCTCCGCTGGGCGGTCCGGGCGCCACTTCCGGCTGCCCCATGCTTCCCCCCCCCCCCCGCGCCGCTGCTCCGCCCCGCAGCCCTCGGGCGCCTGGGACGCTTCGCCCGCCGCCTCCCGCCCCACCCTTCCCCGCCCCCCGGCCGCCTGGCCCCGGGCGCCACGACGCCGCGCCCCTGCCGCTGCCAGCCATCCGCTGCTCCCGCCCCCGGGCGGCTCAGGGTTGTGCGCCTTCTCCCCGGGGCGCCGCGGTGCGACGCTCGCGGTGTTCCACTACCTGTGCTCCCCCGGCCCCAGGCGCTGGCTGCCACTCCTCCTCCTCCTCCTCCTCCTCCTCCTCCTCCTCCTCCTCCTCCTCCTCCTCCTCCTCCTTCCTCCTCCTCCTCCTCCTCCTCCAGCCCCAGGCGCTGGCTGCCACGCCCCCGCCACCCTTGCCACCGTGCTTCGCCACGGCCGCCTGCCAACGCTCCAACCCTGGCCGCTGCTGCCCGCCCGCCCGCCCGGCTGCTCCTTGTCGAGCTCTCCGGCGTCGGAGCGTCCCTCCCTCCTCTCGGCCGCTTCCCCCCTTTCCCTCTCTGCTCGCTGGCCAATTCGCTAGTTACTGTCCTAGGGGAACGAACAGTTACATAAACATAAAAGATCAGAGGTCCGCGCGGATTTCTCGGATCGGCGCTGGGGCCCCCCGGCGGCGCCTCCGGCGCCGCCCCTGGCGCGCTCCGCGCGCCAGGGAGGGGGGTCCAGCGCCGATCCGAGAAATCCGCGCGGACCTCTGCGTTTTTACGTTTATGTCACGTTTTGTTCCCCTATGTCCCTACCTAGCTTCTCGATGGAGCGGAGTTCGCCGCCTCGCCGCGGACGGAAACAAACAAGTGTTGCTGCTGCTTGCTCCTATGGTCATCCCACCCACGAGCCGTGTGGCCTTGGCTTGAACCAAGCAGAACGACGACACAACACGAACAAGAGAACAACACATATTAACGAAACACGAGCATCTGAAGACACCGACGGCGCGAAACAAAGTGGAACAACAAATGAAACGCGCAATGAACGGGGCAGCCAAACGAAGCACGAAACGCAACTTTGGAGATGCATCAACAAATAACGAATTCCGAACGGAACGCCAAAAGAAACGCTTGTAGCCAAAACGCGTCCAACACGAACAACAACACACGACACGAAGCAAATGATTACGAAAAATGGAACGGACACCAAAACAAGGGTCCAAACTGGGGGGTCGCCCTCCTCCTCCTCATCCTCCACCTCCCCCTCCTCCTCCTCCTCCCCCTCCTCCCAAGGACAAGGCCTTCCGGAGAGGGGGGGGGACCATCGATGCCGCACGCCTCCGTCCGCGACGAAGAAGTCGCCGAGGATGAAGTGCCGGTTCGTGAAGGGAGCGCCGCCGAAGGTCCTCTGAGGGGGCCCCGAGGCCGAGGCAATCAGACACCTCGTCGTCTGGTCGGCCAGGGAGCTCGGTGCACAGCAGGGGCCCGACCACAAGGAGCGAATCGGAATCGGAGGCCATGGAGCTCGAATCGAATCGAGCCGGAGGAATCGACACGAGCCCTGCACCTCCCTCCCCAAAAACCTCGCCCTACGCCCCAGACGACCATCACGGGCACCAGAAGACCTTCTCAAGGGCCCCCGCGAGGCTCCCGGAGCCACGACGGCCCGAATGCAACCCGTGACTGCACGCGGCCCTCGGAGGTCCCCGTACAGTCGGGGCGTTGACCCAAAGAACCCTAAATAAGGAACGAGGCCTCTTTTCTCCACACGTTGATCTTCGATCTCCCGTGGAAAACCTCGTGAAAACCTGAGGCAAGCTGTAGCACAATCCAGGAACACCGAGCCCCTCCCCAACGAGAAGGGTTCCTTCTTCAGCGCCCCGGCTGTAGAGCCAGGCAGAACCAGGGCAGAACCAGGGCGGGTCCTTTGTGCAGTAGGGGCCCGACCACAAGAAGCCTTCCACAAGAAACCCAACCCTGAGACCCAAGGACGTCAATGGATTCTTGGTGCGGGGACGCAACACGCTGTCCATGGCAGAGCCGTCGAAACCCGAGAGACCCAGGGCACCCTGGAGGCTAGCGGGGTGCTTATTGGCATGGGCCTCCACTGTATTTTGGCGTCCCGAAGCGGTGCGGTGACGGGCCGTGCGGTGACGTCGAAATCCCCCAAGACCTCACAGCACGGTCCGTCAACGCACGGTTTTGGGACCTCGGATGCCCCAGTCGCCCGAGGCCCGAGGCGTCCTCGGAGAACGACCCTGGTCCCAAAACCGGGCGGTGACCCGGAATCCCCACCGACTCACCACACAGTGTGGTCACAACCCCGTCTGGGGACCCCCCCGACGTGTGGCCGCCCGAGCTGCCCGAGCCGCGGGCTGCCGGGGCACCCGGTCGCCGAGTGCCTTTGCCGGACGCCGCTCGGCTCCTCGGCCCATCGTCGGGGGCGTGGGAGAAGGGGGGCGGGGCGTCCAAGAAGAGGAGGTGCGCACCGCGGCCGGAGCCATCGACAGCACGGGAGATAGTGGCCCCGGCCACGCCCATGATGGCATCCCTCCCTGAGTCTCAGGTCGGGCATGTCCTCCTCCTGGCGGCTTGTGGCAGGAAAGTGACGCATAGTCTGAACATGTTTAAAAGTAGAGGTAGTCAAAAGAGCAGGAAACATCGTCATCATACTATTGGTTTGCACTGTCCTCCTCTAGAAGGGGCGTGCCCGACGTAACCTTCGCCGACAACCTCCTCGTGGCCGCCCCCGAGGCGACGAGGCGACGCGGTGCAGACGCCGAGGCCCCCTCCCGGGGGTCCGGGAGCAGCTCCCCAGGGGGTAGACGCCGCCCAGCCGCGGGCGCGGGTCGCCGCCGCGCATCTTGGCCAAGATGAACCTGCCGGGGGAGGGCCGATGATTATGGCTAAGTCGGGCCTGTCCCCCTACAGGGGGAGTTTGGGCGAAAAATTAAAGATGCTCAACACATACTCCCAAAATGCTCAAAATTAGTCAAAAAATAATCCCCAGACTATTTTTTTGGGGACTATTTTTGGATATTCCCCCTGTAGAGGGACGGGCCCGACTTACGATTAGGAGGCCCCATGCGAACCCTACCCCACCACCCCTCGATTTCTCAGGGGGGGGGGGTGGGCCCCACCTCCCCCCCGAGAAATCGTGAGGTGGTGGGGTAAGGCTCGCACGTGGCCTCCTAAGGATCTCGGGTGGACGTCAGCACAGGGGGTGGGGAGCAGCAACACGTTGTGCTGCATCCTCGGGGGGACCATGTCTGTCCCGTCGCGCCGCGATCCACGTGGAATTCGTGACGAATCCGTGACGAACGCGTCGAATCCGTGTCGAATCCATGTCGAAACCGTGTCGAGCCCATGTCGAATTCACGCCAGATCCGCGTCGAACCCACGTCGGAGTACAAGAAAAGACTGCCATTTACAGGACAGGAAAAGTCCCCCGAAGATGCAACGTAGAGCACGGGGGGGGAGGGGGGCAGCAATTAACTCGAGCGCGCGCTGGCAAGGAGTACGGATCCGTGGACCTTCCACGTGGGAGCCAGATCCACAGATCGGGGGGCGCACCCCTCGAACCACGAGGCCAGTGCCGCCTCCCTTGGCGACGCAGCTCGCATGGAACTGGGACGCTTCGCCAATCCGCGCGCCAAAGGTTCCATGCTTGCGCTCCCTCGGCCGACGGGGGGCGAGCGAGGCTGCGAGAGGGTGGCCGTGAAGGGGCCGGAAGGCCTCACTGCCACCCTGCGTCCAAGAGGTGATTGAAAGGTGCACCTTTGTTCCCACCCTGCTTAGAGGCCGCCTAGATGGGGTCCGAGTAGATGGGGTCGGAGGGTCGCGACGCATCGGCCATGCATCGGCGATGCATCGCCGATGTATCGGCGATGCACCAGCGATGCATCGGCGACGTCAGCGATGCATCGGCGACGCCAGCGCGGGGAAACACAGGCTCCACATCGAGCCGCATCGGCGATTCGGCGCGATCCTCCGACCCCATCCACTCCATCTGGGAGGCCTAGTCTGCTTATTTCTCTCTCCGTCGTCAGTCCGCAGATCGAGGATCTGGGTTTTGAGCCGTTCTGGCTTTTGAGGGCCTCGGAGGGTGCCCTCGTGGCGCGGCCACGGCCGGACGCGCCTCGACGTCTTGGGCAGGATGCCTCTCCTGGGAAGTCCCGGGGCACATTCTTGAGGGAGGAGAGAGGGGAGAGAGAAGCAGGCAAGGGGAAGGGAGGGGAGGAGGAGGCAAGGGGAGGGGAGGGCGCGGGGGGGGGGAAGCTCCAACCAAAACCTGGACGCTCCAGAAGGTTCTCGGAAGCTCCCAGGCGCTTCTGGCAGCACCCCGGAGCTCCCCCGGTGCTGCTGCACCTCCTGATCCTCTTTCCCCCCGTCTTCTGCCCCTGCTGCGGTCAGGAACCCTTGCAACCGCTCGGACGTCCACTCCCGTGCATTTTTTGACGCCGTGCGTGCTGTCTTGGCCAGGTGATCAAGGATGCTCCTCTTGAGCAGGGACCAGCCGTCCAGGCATTCCTACTGGCCTACCACGGAATATGATTAGAACCCGGAAGTGTTCTGAAAACAAGAAGAGTGTACTTAGAGCGTAAACCCGATGTGCTAAAGCGAGACAGCCTCAGCCAGAAATGTTCTGAGAACAGCACGTGCAAACCACAGCAGGTTCTTACAACATTCCTTGGTGGGCCTATAGGCAAGACGGGACGCTTCGCCACTGCTTGATCCCCGATGGTCCTCGCCGGGAAAACAAAAAAGGCACGCGACGGCCTGGCTCCCGCGCTCCCGCTGTCCCGCGCCTCGCCCGCGTGCCCCGCTCCCCCCCCCCCCCGCGTGCCCCCGCTCCACGCTCACCTTGGCCGAAGGTGTCGAGCACTAGCGAGGAGAGGGCTCGAGGCCGTCTCGAATCCGTGAGTGCAGGCCACACTGTGCTTGTACGCGTCATGTTGGCTTGTTGACTCTGTCACTTGGTCATGCTCGTGCTCGCGCTCATACACGCTCACCGCCCCCCCCGCCGCTCGCGGCAGCGGCATGCTCGTCGGCATCGCTGCAGCACGCCCGCGCCCCCCGAGGAGAGGCAACGGCCCCACTCCGAGCAGCGGCCCCCAGGATCCGCCGGCATCGCATCGGCACCTCGGCTCGAGTCGAAGTGTGCGTCGGATCGGGCTGCATCGGCACGGGATCAACATGGACCCTGAACCCCTGCTCCTCCGCCTCCACTTACCAGCCTGGAACATATCCCTATCCCTATGCTGGGCATCTCCTCATCACGATGCCGATCTTAGGGATTCCCTTATTCTTTGAGGGCGAATCCCTAAGACAGTCGTCGCTTTTTGGCGTGTCAATCTTAGGGATAGGGATAAGTTCGAGGCTGGTAACCCACCGCTCCTTACGCCAATGGCGGCGCGCACGAGGGGGCAAAGGGGGGGAGGGGGGAAGGCTTCCTAGACGGGGGCCGCTTCTCAGAGGGCGCCGGCCGGCATCACATCCATAGATCAGAAGCCCGCACCTCGTCAGGAGCAGCCTCCTTCTGACTGCCTACCGGACCACTCCAACCCAACCCGGAGACCCAAATTTCGGGTTTTGGGGGGGCGGGTCCATGTGCTTTTCCAATGCTCCCCGACGCCCCCCCAGTGGGCATGGAGGGCAAACGGGGGCCTTCGGGTTGGGTTCGGGTGGCCTGGTGGGTGGTGACCTTCTAAAACAATTACACAATATGAATACTACTCTCCTCTCTCCCCTGTTGACGTCTGGACGATGTTATGCCCCCCTCTGCGTATTTTGCTTGCACACAGGATTCCCTGAAGTTGGGTTTTCAGGAAGTTGCTCCCGCTGAGGCCGTGGCCTCATTTTCCAGCTTCCCTCGTTCCGAACCGTGCTCCCGCTGCAGCGCTGGCCTCATTTCCACGCTTCCGCTCGTTCCGAATCGTGCTCCCACTGCAGCGCTGGCCTCACTTCCGCGCTTCCGCTCGTTCCGAATCGTGGTCCCGCTGCAGCGCTTGCGTCATTATTTTCAGTGCCATGCCACGGCATGCAATGCAATGCTATGTGGTGTTCCGCGGTGCGATGCCATGCCTTCAGCTGCAATGCTAGGACTTGCAGTGCTTGACTACGCAGTGCCACGCCATGCTATGCCACGTCTCGCTTTGATCTTCAAGGCCATGCTATGTCATGTTCTGCTCTGTGCCGCTGTGCGATGCCAGTCGTTGCGTTGCAATGCTTTGCGATGAAATTCTTCACTACGTAACGCGACGCCATGCTATGACATCCTATGTTCTGCCGTGCTCTTCTTCGCCCTGCTATGCCGTGCTCTACGATTCGTCGCGCAACCACTCGGGATCATTGCCCTGCTCGTCCGACTGTGCGAATGGAGAGAGAGAGAGAGAGAGAGAGAAATAGAGAAAGAAACAACAAAGATCTACGCCATGAAACGGGATGGGAGGGAGGGGCAGGGAAGTCAGGTATGACGCGAGCGCACCTAGCTTTACGTCGGGCCTGTCCCTCTACAGGAGGATATGGGGGAACAATGAAAAATACAAGAAAATATCAAAACCAAATTCAGAAAAATAATCAAAACATCGTCCCCCGTTATTTTTTATTATTTTTGAGCATCCCTCCTGTAGAGGGACGTGCCCGACTTACGCCTAGCTTGAGCCTCTCCCCGTCCCCCCGACCCCCCCCCCATGCGCACGGCCGACTCTCGCCCCCCCCCCCCCTCCTCGCCGTCGCTCGGACGCCCGTCCACTATTCCCCGTGCATTGTTTTTGGCGGCTTCGAGTGCCTGGCCCGAGGGTCGAGGGCGCCTCTCGAAGGCCCTCGCCAAGATGCAACCGACCCGTCTCCTAAGAGGACGCGCGAGAAGGGCACAAAAGGGCGCCTTGGCAGGCCGTGTCGGGCACCACTTCGCGAGCGGGCCGCGGCCACGCGAAAGCGGCCAGGGATGGGCCGCAGGGGAAGGACGCAAGGGCAACCTTGGGCAAGCTGCTCATCCTCACCATGCGGACTGACTGTACGATGCGCACGTCCGAGCGCTGGTCCGCGCTTCTTTAATGGCGTCTCGACATCGGGCGGAACGGGGGGGGGAGAGAGGGGGGGGGGTCTGGCTCCGGACCCCTGCTTAGTGCGCCTGTTTGCGACCGTGCGCCCATGATGGGGGGGAGACTCCACCTGCTCGAAACAGGCGCCAGAAGACAGCCAAGATCCGCTCCATTGGGGGGGAGGGAAGGGGGGGGCAGGGATGCGAGGGCCCGCGCCGATCGGCAAAACGAAGAATCAGAAAACGCCCAACAGGCCATGCCTCCCGCTCCCACTGCTCCCGCTGCGCTCCCCCCGCTCTCCCCCGCTCCCTCCTCGCCCTCGGCCTCCGCGCCTCCCGCCCTCCACCCTCCCCCGCTCTCTCCCCTCGCCCCCGCCCCCTCTCCGCTCACCTCCGCAGTCAACGCGAAGCCAGGGCGGGGATGTCACGTCGGATTCAGAGAAGTCTGGGCCGCGACTGTGAAGGGGGGGACGGTAGATGGGGGGGGGAAAGGAGAAAGGTGCCCTGTTCTTCGGGCCCTGGAGACAACTCTCTGGGCCCCAAAAGGGCCCCCTCAGGGACCCTGAAGGGCCCCTCTACGGCAGCCCTCGCTGCTCCATTTATCGCGACCCCCATGAATCGGGAATAGCTGAGATCTGGCGGTTCTGGACGATTTTTCGGGCGCCGCGGCCTTCCCAGAGCGTTCCGGAACGCTCCGAGAGCGTTCAGGAACGGTCTGGAACGGATTTGTCCTCGTCCTAGCCCCTAGCCCCGCCTCCCTCCGCTGCCCTCTGCCCCCCCCTCCGCTTCCCGATGCCCGAGGAACAGAGCACAGCATAAACATGACCCTGCGGATGTCCGCACAGGCGGAATCGGGAAGGCACAGAGAGACTTGTGCAGACAGCGGGCGCGAGCGCAGGCAGCCAGGGAAGCGCCCGACGGCCCCACCAGAGCGGCAACAAGCTGCATGGAAGCATCACCTTCCGGATCTCCGCGCGGATCTCTTGGAGTCGGCGCTGCACTCCACCCCCCCCTCCCTGGAGCTCGGGGCGTGCCATGGGCGGCGCCGGAGGCGCCGCCATGCAGGGGGGCCCAGCACAGATCCAGGAACCCCGCTCCGAAAGTGCTTGCCTATGCAACGCTTTCCTGCCGATGTCGGGGAAGACCGTGCCCCCAGACACCCGACGCCCTGATTTTTTCAGCACGGTGCCCCTGGAAATCCCGACCCTTTCCCCGGGACCGGTTTTTCCTCCTCAGTCGTTGTGTGCACACAACGGTCCTGGGGCCCGGCGAGGGCCTCCCGAGGCGGAAAACGGCCGAAAACCGCCCGTCCTGATTTTTTTACCACGCGGTCCTGTCTGGGGCTGGAGGGATCGATCCGCCTCCTCGCCCGCTTCCGACAGCCCCGGAGCCGCGCCGCCGCGAGGGGCGACACGACCAGGCGGCGGGCCGCCGCGTGGGCGGCGTTGCTGGCGTCGTCGGTGCGCTCCTTGGCCTCCCATTGGGGGGGGCCGCGGCCCCGCAGTGGGCACGGCAGACAAGAAGTCTTGCCACGAGAGATCTAAGGTTAGGTCGGGCATGTCCCCCTTCAGCCGGATTTTGGAGGACAAGTGCAACATAGTATGTATACATATAAACAGATGTACATATACATACATAGATCTTTGTGCATACATCTCTGATTCCATATATATATATAAATATACACATATATGCATTATCAAACAATTAAAACAAGTCCCAAATCATCAGATAAAAAATCTTGCCATAAGAGAACTAAGTAGGGACACGAATAATGTCATAAACGGAAAAACTCGGAGGTCCGCGCGGATTTCTCGGATCGGCGCTGGATCCCCCTCCCTGGCGCGCGGAGCGCGCCAGGGGCGGCGCCGGAGGCAGGGGGGTCCAGCGCGGATCCGAGCAATCCGCGCGGACCTCAGAGTTTGTTATGTCCATGTCATTGCTCGTCCCCCTACTACGGGGACACTCATCCTCGACTCCGAGCTTCGCAGGGTGCCCTCGGGGCGCTGGAGGCCAATCGACCCAAGAGAAGCTCTCGTCGGGTACGAGCTGGCGGGCCAGCTTCTTGTCCCACGACCCCGCAGGCTCACGCCGCAACGACCTCGGGCCTCGCGAGGCCCTTCGGAGGAGGAGGAGGAAGAGGAAGAGGAGGAGGAGGAGGAGGAGGAGGAGGAGGAGGAGGAGGAGGAGGAGGAGAAGGAGGAGGAGGAGGAGGAGAGGTGCTTTCGGAGGGCCTCTGGGGGCCGCCGAGGGCCCCGGGAGAACGCCCCCGGGAGGGCCTCGGCCGCTCCGCTGCGGGCTCTGCGCCGCCCCGGCAGTCCTCGCGCTCTATACGGCCAGGCCCAGGGCAGAGGACCCGCCCGGAAGAGCAGGAGGCCCCCTGCCGGCCCGAACACTTTTGGTCTGCGGGTCGGGAGCGGGCCCCTTCCGGTCAAGAGCTAACCGGGACGCGGGTGGCCCTAATTGGGGAGACAGGGCGCGGGCGGGCGGGGCCTCAGGCGGCCCGAGGGCTCAGAAAACAGGCGGTGCCGAGGATCTTGCACAGGACAAGGTACGCCATGGACTGGCTGCCAGCCCAAACACGCGCAGAGCGTCCCAGGCGGGGCTGGACCCAGACGCCGTTGTTCGTGTCGTGTGCATCTCGTCGTTCGTGCTGCTCCACCCGTTTCCCTGCACCTCCCTCCCAGCACGAAAAACAAACCGCGGCCGAAGTCCAGCAAAACAGCGTTTAGGTCCAGCCCTGATCCTAGGGTACCCCCCCAGGATGCACAGGGACACCCAGGAACACACGCAGATCATCAGGGCACCCTCCCCGAAGCGACCTCGATCTTGTACCTCGGGCCGACTGTACCAGATGGAACGCCGAGCAGGAAACGAATGGGGGAGCTGTCCTGCTTTCCTGGCCACGGCGAGCGAGCCTCGACCACGAATCGTTTCCCCGATCGAGACCGAAGACCGGCCCGAAGACCGGAGCCCCGACTGAGCATCAAAGGGGTCCCGGACTGAGCCTCTCGACTGCACGGCGGGTTCCTGAGACCCGACGGGCAGGCGGCGTGCAAGGCACCTAACACGCAACACCGACGGAAAACAGTGGCGTCCCACGCCGGGCCATTCGCCAGCGTGGCAGTGCGGGGCGCCGCGGCTCTTATTCGGACAGCTTCTGAAGATGGTCCGCGACGCTCCAAGAAGGTCCAGGTTTTCTGGCGCTGACCTCGACGAGAAACAATGCACGCGTCCGAGCGATGCCAAGTGAGAGGCTCTGGTCGACTCCTGAGGCCTCCGGGGACGGGGGACCTCGAGAAGCCTCTGCAGTGGTGTCTCCAGGTCTTCAGGCGCAGCGGGAGCACAGAGCGCAACTGCGCGAGATTCGCTCGGGATCTCTTTGGCGCCCGAGGCCCGCTGTTGGGCCCCCGGGCCATCAACACATGGGGTGGACGACAGGTAGGACGGCAAAAGATAGGGTAGATGATCAGCTCATGTGGCTGGCGTCCCCGCCGCCTCCAAGCTCCAGAAGGCTCCCATGTATAGTAGAATGGTCCCGGCGGCAGGGCCGAAACCAGCTGCACGCAGCAAACTTCGCAACACCCCCTTTCCCCATCCTGCCTTTTCTGGCCATCGCTCGGACGTCCATTCCCTGTGTTTTTTTCGGTTTCGTGCGCGGCTTCTTCGCGAAATGATCAAGGATGTTCCTCGATGGTCCTCGCCGAAGGAAAAATGCACACGTCCGAGCGATGCCAAGTTTTCTGCTGGCCTGGGGCACGCAAACGACCCCGGCAGAGCATGCGGCCCGGACCGAGGGCGGGCCCGGGCCCAGGCAACCGCCGTCTTGCCCGCGTGCCGTCCACGGGGTCCTCGGAGAGGGCCCGACCGACTGCCCGGGGCCGTTCTCTCGTCCTGAGCCGCTGTGGTGACCTGAGCCGCTGTGTGGTGAAGTAGAAGGTGGACAACCTAAGATGTGCAATATACGCGGTGCGATCTGCGAGGTGCAATCTATCTGTCCTCTCCACTGCTCGTGCAAGCATCCCACCCTCCCACCCGCAACTTGGTCGCAAGACCTCTTAAGACCGTGACGGCAGGTACCAAATGGCACTTGGCAACGACACCGACGCCGAGGATGATAGCAACAACGACGACGACGACGCCGACGACGACTACGACGACAACGACGACGACTCCGACGACTTCGACGACAACGACAACGACGACGACGACGACGACACCGACGACGACGACGCCGACGCCGACGACGACGATGACGACGGCGACGACGACAACGACGACACCGACGACGACGACGCCGACGACGACGACGCCGACGACGACAGCGACGCCGACGCCGACGACGACGAAAACGACGACGTCGCCAACGAAGACGACGACGACGACGAGGGAGGAAGGAGGACGACGACGGCGACAACGACGACAACGACCAGGGAGGAGGGAGGACGGCGACGACGCGAACGACGAAGAAGGAGGGAGGACGGCGACGCCGACGACGACAACGACGAGGGAGGAGGGAACACGACGACGACGACGACGACGACGGCGACGAAATAGGAGGGACGACGACGAGACGCCGAAGACGGACGACGACGACGACGACGGGGGAGGAGGAAGGACGACCACGGCGACAACGACGACGGAAACGACGACGCCGCCAAAGAGGACGACGCCGACGATGACGACGAGGAAAGACAGAGGACGACGACGGCGACGACAACGACGACGACGACGAGGGAGGAGGGAAGACAGCAACGACCGACGACGACGCCAGAGCGCGCGCGCACGCTTTTGTTGAAAACCCGTGTTGCCAAACCTTGTGTTTTCGTATGTATTTGGGACACTAGATTTTGTAATCCTTCCGAAAACGGAAGTGTTCGAAGGATTTCGGCATGCGCGCGCAACACCGCGCGCGCGCGTGCACATCGTCCTATCCGGTTGCAAGGGATTCTCACGACGACACGCGCGCAAGGGCGTTCGAACGATTTCGGCATGCGCGCGCGCGAAGCCCGTTTGGTAATATGTTGAAAGAAATTTAAAGACCGCGGTTGTAAGCTTGTTTCGGAAATCCGTGTTGCGAAACCTGGTGTGATTTTGGAGATCAATTGGGAACTCGATTTTGGAATCCTTCCGAAACCGAAGGTTGTTGAAGGATGTCGGCATGCGCGCGCGACGACGCGGGCGCGTGCACTTCGTGACATGTTTTGCAAGGGATTATCGCGACGACACGCGCGCAAGGGTGTTCGATCGATTTCGGCATGCGCGCGGGAAACCCGTTTGGACAGATGTTCTGAAGCAAATGAAAACCATTCTGCAAATTTCGCAAGAGCGTGGGCGTAACCTTGTTTAGGAAATCCGTGTTGCGAAACCTTGTGTGCTGATATGTTTGTTTTTGGAAGCTCGATTTGTACGTCCTTCCGAAACCCTTGTTTTCGAAGGCTTTCGGCATGCGCGCGCGACGACACGCGCGCGCATGTCGTCCCATTTGTTGCAAGGTTTCTTGGCAACTTTTGATTTGTGATACACGAGTTCGCTGGCATAGTAGTTTTGCAAAGGACGGCGGGGGGGCGATACTGCCCCCCCTGGGATAGTGCACGTTCATATTTCGGACGATGGGGTAGACTCATATGTAAATTGACATACGAAGAAGGGCACCTTTAAGTCGGGGGGGGAGGGTGGTAGAACCTATCTTCTCTTTAGAAAGGAGAATGTATGTGGCGCAGGTTCGTGGTGTGATCTACGTCATTACCAAGCGATTGCGTGGGGCAATATATGCGGTGCAACCTACGTTGTGCAATCCACTTCGACTGTCTTGAAGCTGTCCTCTCCACTGCTCGTGCAAACATCCCACCCTCCCACCCGCAACTTGGTCGCAAGACATCTTCAGACAAGACCGTGACGGTAGGTACTGCGTGGCACTTGGCCACGACACCGATGCCGACGACGACAGCGACATCGACGACGACGGCGCCGCCGACAGCGACTGCGACGACACCGACGACGTCTCCAATGTTTTCGACGACGACAACGACGACGACGCCACCGACGACGACGACACCGACGCCGACGACGATGAAGACGACGACGACGTCGCCAACGGAGACGACGACGAGGGAGGAGAAAAAACGACGAAAGCGACAACGACGACAACGACGATGGAGGAGGGAAGACGGCGACGACGCCAACGTCGAAGAAGGAGGAAGGACGGCGACGCCGACGACGACAACGACGAGGGAGGAGGGAAGACGACGACGATGACAACGACGACGAAGACGACGACGACGGCGACGAAATAGGAGGGACGACGACGAGACGCCGACGACGGACGACGACGACGAGGGAGGAGGATAACGACGAGGGAGGAGTGAAGACACGACGACGACGACGACGACGACGACGGCGACGAAATAGGAGGGACAACGACGAGACGCCGACGAAGACAACGAGGGAGGAAGGACGACCACGGCGACAACG